TCCTTTCCTACTGAATACGGCTTAAACACAAAACGTGTCATAGACCTATAAAAATAAATATATATGCATATGGTTCAAGAAAATGACGCAGTATGGGAGTCATTCTGTGTCTTTCTTTCTCCGATTCTGGCTTCAGTATACAGAAATTACGATATCAGGTTTCCTGCAGTTGTTGTTCCTTGATTTATAAGGTGGTGAATCAAACTTTTTATTTACTATTTACACTCAATGTGGCACCAATTGGATGTGGGCTTAGCCAACACCTGAGGGCTGATTAATGTCAGGTGTGTGGGATTCTTGTGGACATTAGATAAGACATAAGCACGGTCAACTGATAGCCAATGTTGCCCAGAAAAGCTCTGTGTGTGAATAACTATTATTGGCCAAAGGAAAACACGTGGGACGATACCGAGAAATGTGACTAAAGAAATGTTTTTCATCTTTGTGTGATTGTCGTCTCATTTAGAAAAATATTGCAAAAAATGAATACTAGACTTTTCTGAGAATTTCTTAAGATCATTCCAATCAAAGAAGCAAGTAATAAAAGCATTTTTTTGTTATCTAAACGGTATTGATTCGGTTTGCACCCGTGTTACCCACTAATTAGGCAGATAGTGAAGTAAATTTCCTCTCACTTTTCCGACTTACACAACCACTTTTGCTGATTGATTGATAAATAAGGTTTGTAATTAAAATACAATTGCAATGGCTGATATCTTTCGGTGGCAGTTTGAAAATAGATCTACTGGATATCCATTGCAGCGATAATAAGCTTATTGGAAATAACACAAACGTTTCGTTTCTTTTCCCCAGTTATTTTTTTGTGGTTGTGGTCGTCGATTATGACAGTTCCAAGTGAGCTTATCTAAAAGAAAAACAACAACTAAAGGTGGCGCAACTCTTTCGGTTTTATATTTTTCCTACCCTTTCTGCGGGTATGTTTCCTTCTAAGCAACATGGGTTATTGCAAGAAAAGGTACAATCATTTAAAAATATATATTTAGAAAAACCCAGATTTTTTTTCGAGTAAATATTTAGCTAGACTTATTCAGATCAACTTGATGATTCATTCACTTTTTTTGTAAGATATTTTATTTTTTAAGGAGAAGATAATTGCAACTAAGTGCATTTCGACTTCGGATTTTCCTTAGGTGTAGCATGAATCACGACTTGCGCTTGACACCTGACAGCTGGCCTACCACCCGCTTTTATTTCCCCTTTCGCCACCTTTTCCACCTCCCCATTTTGTGTCTGGCAACAAAAGAGAACAAAGTCGTCAGCCCCAATAAAAAAATAACTGGCAGGCTACAACTTACCTTTGGCTGGTCTCGAACATCAATTTAAACACCTGCAATAATAAAACACAACGCAAAGTGCTGAAACAACAACTCCAGTAAGGTAACATCTAAAAAAAACATTGACAACATTGCGTCGTGTTAAATTGTTGAGGTAATGGGCCAAGAGCCAAAAGTTTACCCACGTACTTGTTTTTGCCCCTTTCTTTGCAATTTGCTGGTTTTATTTAGCCAACTTCGCATTACCTCAAGTTTAAAGGTTGTTGTTGTTTATGTTTTAATGCCCTGACCTGCCTAACATTTTGATACTGTCGAGTTCAGTATTCGCAGCTCTTTCGTAATCACACAAAAAAACGAGTGATTTTCCGCCAAAACGTAGCAATACAATAAGAAAGCATAAGACATAAAAAGACTCGACAGAAAGAGGACTTTTTGCGATAAAATATTAAAATATTTGCCAAAATATATAATATTTTCAAATGTAACAAAACATTTATTTGCGGACTTATAAGTTTTTTAATAGGAGTGTTTTTCTAAAGGTTCTTTAAATTGTAGGTAATTGGGAGTTTTTAATCTAAACTGTGTGCCATAAGGTCATTTAAATTAAAAATTTTCCAGACAGTCAAGTGCAACCGTATTCAGATGGCAGAAATGTGGACCAAAGTCTATAAAAAGCAACAACACGCTGTCTAACGATAAAATTACTCACAGTTCATAGGGTGATGTGGCAGGAGGGGCGTTTCGGGAGGGGGAGGGGAACTTAGGAAGACTGGGTGAGAATGCAAACGAGACCGAGAGTCAGCCGTGTAATTACTTGTTGACTGACTGACTGCCGTTGTCTGTATGCACGGACTTATAATTTAATACGGTTCTTTATATTTATAATCCGAGCGTGGTGACCTTCACGAAAGATAACCAGCTGCGCTGCCAAGAAAGAATCCCAAGATGTTGTGTGCGAAACGTTGTGGTATTTCAGTACCGAGTCATTAGCAAATGTCTTGGCATAATTGAATCGTAAGCTTTCTATGCAAATTTGCATGAATTCGTACGTTCAGAATAATAATAAGAGTGTCTGTTTTGCAAAACACAATTGAATAGTTAAAATGCTTTTAAAATAATTAACAGAAAATGCCATTTTACGTGATCAGTCTGTAAAACACCTTTTCATATTTTAAAGCTATTTCATTAGTAATACATGAACATGAACATCATCAAAAGTGATGATATAAAATTTTGAAATTGTTAAATTAAATCTTTATTTTCAAAACGTAGTTTAATGTGAAGATGTTTCAAACTCGATGTTCTTAGTAGTGAGGCATTGCATTATGTCATAGGTCTGTGTTTTTTTCAATTATCTCGGAACCTTACACACTTCAGATTCGATTTTACTTGCTAAGTGCTCAAAAATGCGGAACCGATTTGGCTCGTTTCCTTTTTATGAATCTCTGTTAGACTTTTGATAACCGAAAAATGTAGGGTCCGGGTTGGCTACTGCTCACTGCGCCTTATCATCTGTACAAATTGCGACTTGTTCTAAACAGAAGTCTCGAAATGAGAAACATAAGAAGGAGATACGGGAGACAAAGTCTGTGACTGCTTGAGTTTCAAAGTCGCGAGTGCAGTGACCCTGAATATTTTTTCAATTCGCATTGTAAGACTTTGTTTTTGTTCCCCTCACTAGAAGGATTGATAAGCCCGCTCCAATATTTTTTCTGTCTACAATCTTAGCTGATCTTAGCGAGTTTTGTATGCAGAATTGCAATTTTGCATTAATTTTGCAAATTTAAAAAAAATAAATATTGTATTTTAATAGAATAGACAATAATAAAGTAATTAAGATAGATTATTCCTTTTATTAATCATAGTAGCTATTTCTGGGGATTAGTTTAAAATATTTAAGATGCCACGGAACGAATGACCACAAGTGTTGCAACAAATAGATAAAGTTTTATTTTGACAATCGAAGAAAGAGCATTCCTTATTCGTCATGGCATTTCTTTGTTTCGCTTGATATATAATTTCAATGCGCTTATTGTTATTTTGTTATTGTTTTGTTTTCTGTTTAAACATCAGTCAGCGCACGAGCAAAAACAACTGTGTAAGAAAGCGAAAGAGACGCGAGCCGCGGGAATAACAAAGCACGAAAAACAGAAGAAGGTTACAAAATACGTTGATTAAAATTCACAAACAAACCGAAAGAAAGGGGCACAAAGAAAAATGATTATGCTCGATTCACACAGCAAATCGTCGTAGCTAAAGGCACCGAACCCCTCATCCGCATCCGCCTTCCTCTTCCACCGCAAAACCCATCAAGTGTGGCGCAGTCAAGTGCAGATGAGCATTTGGGTTGAAAGCGCAACGGACTGAGTAAAGTCCGGCTCTATCTCTCTGCATTCTATATCCTCTTCCAATCAGTCCTCTGTTTAAGAACAGTGATGCCATTCAGAGATTAAACTAGCTTTACAACTAGAAAACAATACAGAAATATTGCATCTAATTAATTTTTTAAAGCCAATATATTCCAAGCTATACATATAAAATCAATTTTGGATTGCGTTTAAAAGGTGCTAACTGATTATTAAGATCACCCAACCATTTAAATATGTAATCCAATTTTTTATTTTGTGATAGTAAAGTTAAAATGTTTTATAGAGTGATCGCTAGATTTCTTTGTTGACTACTCAGCTCTAAGGCTTAAATACAAAATTATTGACTGTAAAAGTGTCTGAGCACATGAAATGAGCTTAAAGGGATTTACCAAATGGAAAATTACCCGAAAAGTGTAAAGCGCATAAAGAAAAAGCAGAACGCGTGTGGAAAGTGCTGCTTGTTGACTTTCAATTGCTGCAAGTGAAGTAACAATGGGGTAGGTCTTTAGTGTGCGAGAAAGTTTCATCCGATAAAGAAGATTCCGATCTAGAAGGGCTTCCAAACCAACAAAGATTATCCGATTCACTTAGAAAGGAATACGTAAATTCAATGGAATTCAATGGAATGATATCGAGCGGATTAAATCCATAGGAATTTGTTAATGGGGGAAACTCAACTGGGTGTGCTGGCAATAAAGTAAACAAAAGGCTCAATTTTATAAATGTTTATAATCAAGTAAACAATTCATATAAGGGTGGCATACAGTGATAATGACGATGCGTCCGCCGTCTGGAATTAAAGTCCCTCCCCCAAAACAAAAACCAACATCATTGGCATGCCGCCCATGTCACTTGAGTTTCAGATGGAAAGCGTATATACTCACATAATCAATCTATATACGGTTCCCTGATATGGTCGGTCGGTAGCTGGAGGCAGTACCTCTAACAAATTGCTACCATATCTGGTTAAGAATAGATTGTATACATATCTGAAGGCGAAGCACTTGAAGTGTGTCAGTGATGACACTATTTTTGGGTATTTAAAAGTGTAGGATGGTTTCCATCTGCCAGCAAACGCTAAGAATAATGTATGGAATTCCTCATTCCATGTGCTCCAGTTTTCTTCACACTTGTGTATACAGTATATTCTGATTATGCGCGGATTATCAGTTGGCCGTCGGTTGATTCACCTTTGGACTTTGTTACCTAGCCTAGAAAATGTTCTGAAAATAATTGTGCTCATTCATGTTTTTCGTTTCTTTGCAGTCAGCGAAGTCGTCAGCGGTAACTGAATGGCAGTATGCAATAATGGACTCCTCGCGTAATGCGGCCCTTAATTCGAACCAGAATCGGGACTTCCTAACGCTGCAGCCCCTGCGTCCCTCCCGCGGTTCCAGCTCCAATCTCCGTGCCAGTCGCTCGCCCTCAGCCAGTCGAAGCACCGAGCAAAGTAATTATCAATTATGATTATTAATCCACCGGGCTCTTCCTCCTCCGCCTCCGCCTCCACCTCCTTCCGATCCACTCACTTTCCCTCCTCCCTGGGCTCCTCCTTCTCAATTAGCTAGTCGCATAATTGGAATGATTGGCTCGTGTTGAAGCTTGAGCTTCCTGCATCTTATCAGCGGGGCTAATGTCAATCTGAGGGTCTGGATGCGGTTGCTGAGCCCGATTTGGATGGGTAATGAACGCTGTGCTATCAGTGGGCGTCCGATTCAATTTGTGCTTCCGGTATCAACTAGTTTGAAGAGTTGTAGTAGAAACAGTAGATTAGGGATTAAGTGCTTAGTGCTTTATATTTCTTGCTTCTCAACCATTCGGCGGAATTTAAGATACATTATAGAGCTGTATTTAAAATAAATCGTTCCACTTAAAAAAATACAAGTAAAAACTAAAAAGACTTGTTGCAATTTTAAAAATTAAACAAAATCGGGTTGCAAAAATAAAATTTGTGATTTTTTATTGTACAAAATGCATAAAAATATTTTAAAAGCATGTTTTTTATTTAGTTAAAATGTAAAGCGTTGCGAAAGAGCTTAAAAAGTTTTTTTGAAAAGATAACATACTATAAGAATAAAATTCATAGATAAATTAGATCACCAAGATACATATCTAGATACGAAGGATTTCCCTGGTCGGGCAGTCTTTATGCTCTCGCTCGAAAATAGTCACCCCGCAAGATGACGAGCGAAGATGAGTCATCCCACAGAATCCAAAACCTCCCAAACACCCTCCTTTACGCCCATTATTCGCAATGTTTTTACGAGTTCGGCATCAACGAGCTTTCGAACGGCCATGCATAAATCATAGCCAAAATGTGTAGCCCACTTTTGAGTGCCTTCGGTCATTAATTCTTACATTTGACTGTGCCTAACATCTGTTATTTGTTTGATTTCACACTTATGTTTTTATGTTTTTGTTTATACCTTTTTTATATTTTCCTTGTTTAGCTTTGTAACCGTTGAATGTTAGCCTGCCTAACTTGCCACACTTGCAATTCAGACCAAACCAATCAGAATCATTGATAAATGTAGGTATACCCAAAGTTTATTTTGCAAGTTTTCATGCACAATCAATACACTTTCACCACCCCACCCACACACCCATTCACATAAACTTATTGCTGCTTATTTTGGTTCTTTTCACAGCGAAATAAACGCGAATTTAAACGCTATTAAACCGCCTGCCACTGCTTCTTCTTTTCCCTGTTCTCTCTCTGTCTCTGTTTTTCCTGTTTGTCTATCTTTTTCTACGGCTCACGCACCTGCCTGTCCAGCTGTCAATCAAAAAAGCGAAATAACTCTTTCCGAAAATTTATTCATCGCACATTCAGCACACAAACTGCACTATAAATCAGCGCCAGTGTGCATACAACACATTTTCAAGATCCTAAAAACGAATCCATTGTGAAACGCTGAAAGTATAAAAAAAATAGTAAATTATTTTTAAAAACCAAAAGTGCTTAAAAGAAAAAAGAGAAAGTGCATTGTATACAAAATTACAGTTTTCAAAGTAAAAGTTTAACAAAGCTTAAAGAACATTTCAATGCAAAAAATATATTATTCTTCCAATTTGTTTATTTGGATCTGTTTGTATAGCAACTTATGACAATAAAAACAAATCAAATCGATTCACGAATTTGAGTAATCTGAAGAGTTTAAACAAAATAACTTGTAAACAAAATATTTAAGCAATGAGCTGTGTTTAACAGCACAGGATTCTATTCAAAATAAAATTGTGATCTTAAAAAAATCCATAAACTGAAAAACAAAAGGCTAAGAGATAACTCATTCCATCACCACACAAATCACACAAAAAGCTAAGCTTTTTTCGAACTGACAAATACGCGACTAACCCAAACAACAAAGAAAAAACGCAGATAGACTTTTAAAGTAACACAAGTCGTACCTTTCTATGCGCCACAATTCGCCAGTGTCCCGGGAGCGAGCCAGCGAGGCAGCGGCAGCCACTCAGACAGCAGCGGCGACTGCGGGCGGAGCGAGTGCCACGAGTGCCGCAGGAGGATCAGGAACGGGAACCGGACCCGTGGCAGCGACCACAACAACGGCGGCCGGGGGGGCGACTTCCGGATCGGGGGCAGCCTCGGCGAACACGAACAGCAATTCCTCGGCCTCATCCAGCACAGTGGCAGCTGCACAGGCGGCTGTCTACAGCGGCGGCAACACGGTGACCGGCAGCTTGGTCAGCGGCGGGGTGGCGGCCCGAGGCTTCCGCAGCCACAGCCCCACCCACAGGAGGCGGAGTCGCGAACGCCAGCGACGCACCCATGGCTCCGACCAGGGCGGACTGCTGGCCTACAGCGGTCTCGTCGGCGTCAACGACATGACGGACTTCCTCGGCCCCCAACAAAGCAGTGGAGGAGGTGGCGGGGGAAGCGCCGGCACTGGCAGCGGTCTGGAGGACTCCCGGCTGTCCGGCAACGAGGACTACTACTCCTCCTTCGTCTCGGACGAGTTCGACAGCAGCAAGAAGGTCCATCGCCGCTGCCACGAGCGCAGCTCCAGCGTCCAGGCCATCGACCGGTTGAACACGAAGATCCAGTGCACCAAGGAGTCCATCCGCCAGGAGCAAACTGCCAGGGATGGTGAGTACAAAATACTAATTACTATATAGTAAGTAATTATCTAATTAAAAACGATGTGGAAGACTTCAGTTTAGTTAAATTTATACATGCATAGGTTTGTTTTTGTGACCTTTCTTTTTGGTAACTAGTAGTTTTTACCAACAGAAGGTTAAGTATTGCCTTGAAAAAAAGTTACAATGATTTCCTCACAAGAATGTTAAAAAAAAATCGTCTAAATAATTCTATACTTAGTCCAGCTGAAAAAGATACTAACCATGCTTATAAAAGCATCTTACAAAAAATGGTTAGATATTTTAAAGAATAACTATGAAAATAAATGCAAATGTAATCATTTCTTCCATAAAAGGATTTTACAAATCTATTTGTTTTCTTTTTTTTAGATAATGTGAACGAGTATCTTAAGTTGGCAGCCAGCGCGGATAAACAGCAGCTGCAGCGTATCAAGGTATGTCCCTGTACTCATTCTCAAAGGGGCACCTTTTTAATTTTTAAACCTCCAAACAGGCTGTTTTTGAGAAAAAGAACCAGAAGAGCGCACACAGCATCTCGCAGCTGCAGAAGAAGCTGGACAACTACACAAAGCGGGCCAAGGACCTGCAGAATCACCAGTTCCAGACGAAGAGCCAGCACCGCCAGCCGCGCGAAGTGTTGCGCGATGTGGGCCAGGGACTCCGAAATGTCGGAGGCAACATCCGCGATGGCATCACCGGCTTCTCCGGATCCGTGATGTCCAAGCCGCGGGAGTTCGCGCACCTGATCAAGAACAAGTTTGGCAGCGCCGACAACATCAACCAGATGAGCGAAGCCGAGCTGCAGGGCATGCAGTCCGCAAACGCAGATGTTCTGGCGGGCAGTGAGCGACTGCAGCAAGTGCCCGGTGCCGGAACCTCAACGGGATCGGGAGGCGGTGGTCAGAACAACAACACTGGCGGAGCGGGCAGCGGTACCGGAAAATTCAACAGTGACAACGGCAGCGAATGCAGCAGCGTGACCAGCGAAAGTATACCTGGGGGGTAAGTTTAATATGAATTTAACTAAACTATACTAACACTAATACTTATACTAAATATTTCGAAAACAATTCTAAAGGAACAAACTTCACTAGAGCTTAAAACATTGATATTTCTTTTTATGAGAAATATCTATTTAAATGGTTTTCATATTTAAGTGTACAAAACTATTAGTAAAACCTTATTTAGTTACTGCTTTCAAAATCAAATGTGAAATGTTCCTTCAAACACTATAAAATTTTGGTGATTGCTTTGGACTTCGACTCTTCAACTCTTCTTTTTTTAATTCAGCTTCTTTATTATAATGTTAATTAATTTTTCTTTGTTAATTGAAGGTCTGGCAAGAGCCAGTCGGGTGCCAGCCAATACCACATAGTGCTCAAGACATTGCTAACAGAGCTCGCCGAGCGAAAGGCCGAGAACGAGAAGCTCAAGGAGCGCATCGAACGGCTGGAGGTACGTTTTAGCCAATGTTAAGCCGGGACAAGCTTCTTCTTACACCAGTGATATTTTAACCCGTGTTCTATTTTCGGTAGACGGGCCAAAAGGAATTCAACAATCTGACCGCCACACTCGAAAGTGAACGCTATCGTGCCGAGGGACTCGAGGAGCAAATCAATGACTTGACGGAATTACATCAGGTTCGTAGTTCGTAGTTCACTTGGCTGACGCCTTGGCAGTTTGCCCGACATTCGTGCTCATGCTTTGCCGCCTTTGTTTGACAGAATGAAATTGAGAATCTGAAGCAAACGATTGCCGACATGGAGGAGAAAGTACAATACCAAAGCGATGAAAGACTACGTGACGTCAACGAAGTGCTCGAGAACTGTCAAACGAGGGTAAGTTCGAGCGATTGGGTGGCTGGTCCAACCCAACCAACCCAACCAACCCCAGCCAAATAAAACCGAATCTAACCGAGCTCTCGCTCTCGTACAGATATCGAAAATGGAGCACATGTCGCAGCAACAATATGTCACCGTCGAGGGCATTGATAATTCCAATGCACGGGCCTTGGTTGTGAAACTCATCAATGTGGTATTAACGATATTGCAAGTGGTACTTCTGCTTGTGGCCACCGCCGCAGGCATAATAATGCCTTTTCTCAAAACGAGGTAACTATTGGAGAACCTGAAGCAGCGATTAATGCTGGAGAAGTATTTATTTGTATTTTCTTTTTTTTTGCCAGGGTCCGCGTTCTTACCACATTTTTGTCAATTTGCTTCGTCATATTTGTGATACGACAGTGGCCGGACGTTCAGGATATTGGATCCGGCCTGGTACGGCATCTCAAGCAATCGCTGGTGGTCAAGTGAACTCGGTCGGGCTGGTGGCCACCATCTCATCTTTGAGTAGTTCATACGTTCTTTAGTTAGCCTAAGTTCTAAAGCGCATATTTTGTATATAGCTTATAAATAACGATTATACCAATTATTTTTAACTGAAATTGTATCAATTATCACTACGAACACACTCTCGAGAAACTGTACAAAACATCCATACTCATACATCTTTATCACACGCCTATTCATCACAGAACACTCTCGCATCAGACTTAGCAAAATTGATTTAAACTATGTAATAACTTGAAAATGCTGATACGTCTCCGTGCATTACTCAACTATATTTGAACGTACATAATTTATGTATAACCTATATAAAATATTTACATTAATATAAAACGATTGAAATTACAAAAAATGTTACAAGCTCGAATTTTATTTTTAGTGGGAAAATGCCTAAAAAGGTGGTTTCCAGTCTTGAAAAGTTAGTGCTCGTCCACTTCAGGGAAATTTTTGGCACTAGCTATTCATCAGGGCTGAAAAGTCATAGGTAGGTAAAGAATTTGAAATGTAATTTCAGCTCAACTGGATAGCTCCTTTTAGCCATCTAGCAACTATTGGGAAAGGAATTAATTTTATTAGCGTGGAGGAGGAAAGAAAAACTCGCACTTGCAGTCAAAACAAAAATCTAAATTACGGTCAGTTCAGATTTGTATTTCTCAAGCTAAAGCCTTAGTAGAAACGGCTGAGAATGCATACAAAATATCGAAAATAAGCAATTAATTTTTTTTAAATCGTTCGGACTTTATGTGCTGTTGTAGGATGTATAGAAAATAAACATAAAAACCTTCACAATTTGTTTGGTACCTTACCTTACAAATTTGCAATTGATCAATATACGACTTTATTAGGATTGGCAAACTATTTTTGCCATGAAAAAATTTGAAAATGAAAGGGATATTTGAGTTACACTGTATGTTAGTACATTTTTTTTATCTGGCCGCTTTAAAGATTTTAGCTTTAGTAAAAAGGATATACAAGTTGTGCCTTGTCGAAGCAAGTTTCCTTAACTGCTTTAAGTTAATTACATTGAAAAAAATAGTTACGAGAAAATTAAATAGTTTAAAATCATAAAATATGTGCTCTCCCTAGTACAAAAGAATTATTTGTCAACCAGACAGCTGTAGACGTTTCCAATGTCAAGAACCATTCTGCGAATATAATTAGTTAACTATGATTAAATCAAGAAACAATTTAATAAAAATCAGACGTTTATAATATAGCTGTCATAGCAAAGTTTGAACAATCTAAGTAAAATAAATAGAATGAAATTATAACATTATTGTTTTTTACCATACAAGCATGATTTTTAGAGTTTAGAGTTTTCTCAAGACTCATGAACTTCAAATTAAATTTCATGAAAATCGGACCACTACATCTATAGTGTTTTAAATAAATTGTATGAGTAATAATTATCCTAAATGCGATTTTTATTTCTGTGAGATCTCAACATCATACTTTTATTTTTTTTCAATCGATTTTAAAAATTATTGTATACAAAGTCAACTTTGTTCAGAATTTATTTTTAAACAAGTGTTTTTCGCTTGATTCAATATTGATTAAGAAAGATCAGTTCAACATTAATCTGGTAGCTTATTGTGGATTAAGAGTGGAAATTTTTCGAGAAAATATTTTTAAAAACAGTTTACAAAAGATGACACAGATGATGTTATATTGATAAGTTTTAAGAACAACCTGTATTGAGTAGTATTGTATGAAACCTTATGACACAACAAAAGTGGTCATTGTAAAGATGTTTTCTTAGGGGAAAAAATTAAGCATCTCAATTCCACTTATATAAGCCCATCACTCAAGAGATCAGTCATATCAAATAGATTCTCCAAGCGAATCAATCGAAAATGAAGTTCATTCTGGCTCTTGTTTGCCTCGTGCTTTATGTGTCTCTCACCTGTGCGCAGGAAAACTGCCAAGGACGTCCTAGTAGGTTTTCACTCGATAATTAAGCAAACTAACTTGAACAACTTTTCTCCCAATCAAGGACTTCGTCAGAATTGCGTCGATGCCAGGGATGAAGGACACTTTAGGGAGAGGTCATGCCGAAGGAACGCCAATGCAAACATGTGGCACTACGACAGGGGATCCAGGACATGCAAAAAGATGCCTTACCACGGATGTGGCGGAAACCGAAACCGATTCTGTTCCTTGGCGCACTGCAAAAGCATGTGTGCACGCGGTTAACAATATAAACCGATCTTGATCCTATTCCGAAATAACACAATGTTTTCAAGAATATTTTACCATTTAATAAATATTAAATTGCGATAAAATTTGATCGTTTTCTCACAATCTAAGTTTAGTTTTAGACTTTCTCATCTTCATTCGTTATTGTACTATGGATAATATTCCAAAGGTGCAAGGGGCTTAAGATCTTTACTTTACTACTACTTTTCTCTCGATGGGGTCAATCGCACCGGTTCTCGGTAAGCCAGGAATCGATACAATATGTATAATAATAGGGTTTATTAAAAAGTTCAAAAATAGATATCAAGTGATTAAATTGGAATTCACAATTTGGAAAAAATACAATACAATACAATTTTCTCTTGGGGCTACTTTTTTTGGCATTACAAGATTCAATATTTTAAGCCAGTTATACAGATATACATATATCGTAAAAAATATATTCTAGCTCGTAAATTATCAAAATGTCGACGTACATATGGACGGAAAGACATGACGAGATAGACGAGTCCTTTGATTCTCATGAAAGATAAGTACCATTCCCGAGAACTTATTGCTTGTCCTTTTCAGGAAATTCAGGAAACATACTACATTTAAAGCCCGGCTTAGCTAGTTTTTCCACTATTAGTAAAGACATTTACATATACGAAAATGTTAATTAGCGTGGATCAGATATACATATGTGCGTTGGTTTTTCCTCTGGCATTTATTTTTAACAATTACATTTTTTAAATCCTTGCAAAGCAGAGGGTATAATAATTTAGGCCAGAAGTTTGCAACGCAGTGAAGGAGATACCTCAGACCCCATAAATTATATATATTCTTGATCAGCATTACGATCAGAATCGAAATACGTCTGTACATCTGTCCGTCTGTCCTCTCTCTGTTTCTATGTAAACTAGTCTCTCAGTTTTAAAACTATGTATTTTGCTGAAACTTTCCCAAAAGTCGGAACGGGCTAAATTGGCCGACTATATCGGATAGCTTCCATTCGAGAGAAAGAATTAAAAAATTCTTACGCCGTTGTTTTTGATTAGATCGACTTCCTGATTACCTTCAGATGGCGTTTTCTAACTACAATTGAATTTCGGGTTAAATTTTATCAAATACGGATAACTCTATCATATAGCTGCAATAGGAAAGTTTGAAAAACATATATATACATATATACATAAATAATGGAAAAAAAATTATACCGTCGTTGTTTTTAATCCCTCGAGCATGATTTTCAAAATGTGGAGTTTTTGATAACCCTTGAATCAAGAAAAAATTTCATTAAAATCCAACAACGTTATCATATAGCTGCCATAGGAACGATCGAAAAATCTATATAGAAATAACGGAAATAAAATTATAATACCGTTGTTTTTAATCAGATTGTCATGATTTTTGGAATATAAAGTTTTCTAACGACTATTGAATTACGAATTAAAAAATCTCCACAAGAAATAAGTGATACATAAGTAGTACATACTGGTCTGTAAACCGAACAGATGCAGACCTTCTCAGCGTCAAGAAAAAATTGTTCTACAACTATAATTAATTAAATGTTATATTTTAATAGCTACAAATTGCTGACATTCAAGAATTTGGTTTCTTGTAGTTGTTTAATTTTATAAGTGCTGTGCACAGCTGAAAGTGATAAATTAAATTTCAAATTCCAGCTTCAATGCCTATTCGTACTGTGAGGTATCATCATCAGCTCGTACATTTCAGTTACTTCGTTAAATTGAATTAACGTAAATAAAACCCACTTTATTCAGAATTATTTTTAAACAAGTGTTTTTCGCTTGTTCCAATATTGACTAAGCTACAAGTTAATCCGATTGCTTATTGTAAATTAAAAGTGGAAAGTTTTGAAGAAAATTTTAAAATATCTTTAAATACATCTTTCACAGATGATATAATTATGCTCAATCTTAAGAAAAACTTGTTTAAAGTGGTATTGTATAATAGCTTATGATACAACAAAAGTGGTTATTGTTCGGATGTTTTCGATTTCTTACGGAACAAGACACATCATCTCAATTCCACCTATATAAGCCCATCACTCAAGAGATCACTCATATCCAACAGATTCTCCAAGCGAATCAATCGAAAATGAAGTTCATTCTGGCTCTTGTTTGCCTCGTGCTTTATGTGTCTCTCACCTGTGCGCAGGAAAACTGCCAAGGACGTCCTAGTAGGTTTTCACTCGATAATTAAGCAAACTAATTTGAACAACTTTTCTCCCAATGAAGGACTTCGTCAGAATTGCGTCGATGCCAGGGATGAAGGACACTTTAGGGAGAGGTCATGCCGAAGGAACGCCAATGCAAACATGTGGCACTACGACAGGGGATCCAGGACATGCAAAAAGATGCCTTACCACGGATGTGGCGGAAACCGAAACCGATTCTGTTCCTTGGCGCACTGCAAAAGCATGTGTGCACGCGGTTAACAATATAAACCGATCTTGATCCTATTCCGAAATAACACAATGTTTTCAAGAATATTTTACCATTTAATAAATATTAAATTGCGATAAAATTTGATCGTTTTCTCACAATCTAAGTTTAGTTTTAGACTTTCTCATCTTCATTCGTTATTGTACTATGGATAATATTCCAAAGGTGCAAGGGGCTTAAGATCTTTACTTTACTACTACTTTTCTCTCGATGGGGTCAATCGCACCGGTTCTCGGTAAGCCAGGAATCGATACAATATGTATAATAATAGGGTTTATTAAAAAGTTCAAAAATAGATATCAAGTGATTAAATCAGAATTCACAATTTGGAAAAAATACAATACTCTTCAGAATTTTCTCTTGGGGCTACTTTTTTTGGCATTATAAGATTCAATATTTTAAGCCAGTTATACAGATATACATATATATCGTAAAAAATATATTCTAGCTCGTAAATTATCAAAATGTCGAGGTACATATGGACGGAAAGACATGTCGCGATAGACAAGTCCTTTGATTCTCATGAAAGATAAGTATACCATTCCCGAGAACTTATTGCTTGTCCTTTCAAGAAATTCAGGAGTTCAGGAAACATACGTTTAGAACATGGACCGCATTTAAGAAAAAAGCTAATTTTACCACTATTAGTAACGACATTAACATATACGAGAATGTTAAATAGCTTGTACGTTGGTTTTTCCTTTGGCATTTATTTTTAACAAAAACGTTTTATACCCTTCCAGAGCAAAGGGTATTATAATTTCAGCCAGAAGAGGAGACACCTCAGACCCCATAAAGTACATGTATACATATATTCTTAATCAGCATCACGGTCAGAATCGACAGACGTCTGTACGACATATTATAAATAATAATAATAATAATATATAAGCTTCGGCTTGTATTTTTTTTAGTTCATTTAAAAACAAATGTTTGGTAAGAGTTATTTAAAAAACCATGAGTAATCGACTGCCAAGCTACTACCCAGTTAACTTACTTATAATTAATTAATTCATCTAATAAGTGTTTCATATAATAACAGCTGCAAGTCATAAATTTTAGAAGAAAATTCCAAGTCATACATTTCAGAAGAAAATTCCAGGTTATATGTCTATTTTGTGGTCATTGTGGTGAATAATTAGTGTTGAGATTTTTTTTATTCCTTACGGAACAAGATCAAGCTTCTCAATTCCACCTATATAAGCCCACCCACCACTCAAGAGATCAGTCATATCAAATAGATTCTCCAAACGAATCAATCGAAAATGAAGTTCATTCTGGCTCTTGTTTGCCTCGTGCTTTATGTGTCTCTCACCTGTGCGCGGGAAAGCTGCCAAGGACGTCCTAGTAGGTTTTCACTCGATAATTAAGCCAACTAACTTGAACAACTTTACTCCCAATCAAGGACTTCGTCAGAATTGCGTCGATGCCAGGGATGAAGGACACTTCAGGCAAAGGTCATGCCGGAGGAACGCCAATGCAAACATGTGGCACTACGACAGGCGATCCAGGACATGCAAAAAGATGCCTTTCCACGGATGTGGCGGAAACCGAAACCGGTTCTGTTCCTTGGCGCACTGCAGACGCAAGTGTGCACGCGGTTAAAAATTCAAGCCGACCTTGATCTGATCCTATGCCGAAATAACACAATATCTTCATGTATATTTTACCAAATAATAAATATTAAATTGCAATCAAATTTTATGTTTCCTTACAATCTTAGTTTAGTTTAAGAATTTCTCATCTTAATTCGTTTTGATCTTAAGGAAAACTTTCAAATGGTGATTCGCGGTTTTAGAGTTGTACTTACCAGATTTCCGAATAAAAAGATTGATTACTTTATGTCCTTTACGTTTATTTGTTGAATGTAAATTAAATTTAGGTTACACTGCCACAGCATTTTTAAATATATATATCTGCATCTATGCCCTAATTGATTTCGTTTTGTTGTGAACAGCTTTTATTGGTAGCATATAGTTTTTTTTTGGGAAAAATAATCACAAACTAGCGCTTAAGTTTTCTACTTTTAGTGGATTGTGGCAACAATTTTGACTCGTAATACAATTGATCATACTTAAACATTTTTTTTGTTCTCGAAAAGGGGGGATGAACATCTATTGCATCATTGGATTTCAGTTGCCTATTCTATGTATTAAACTTAAAATTAGTTAAATCGAGAATAATGTACAGTATACGGGCCAATGCCATATAATCATGTGTTTCAATTAATTTCATTTTGATGGAAAACAGTTTTTAAAAGTAACAAAATAAAATGACCATTTCTTGGATAAACATGACTATATTCGTGAATCATTTGAATAGCAGTGGCGAGTGCTGCTTAAGCTGACAAACAGAGTTAATGATTAATCAGAATTAGGATAACAATTAAATCTGGCATGTGGTGTATAGTTTTTTTTGTTTTCCATAAATCGTTTACATTTTTGGTTGGGACTTTGCAGGCGAGGCGGTAATTAGTATGCCAATCGGGTTAATTGTAAAATGTATATAAAATAAATCACAATTTGTATACGCATAGAAATGACGTGTGTGTGTGTGTTTCGTGTCTGTGTGGGTGCCTGTGGGTGGGTGTCCTGGAAGTAGGACAGCGCACAGTCTAACACAAGGTTCGGCTACGTATTTATTAATATTATAATAAACTTTTGTTAATTGTTTAAAACAAAGCAGCTGGCAGCCACAGCATTGATCGCGAACCCAAACGAAAAACTCGATCCCGGGCTACCGGTTCGAGGATCGACGTCCACCTACAACCTACAGGCTAAGGACTCTCGGCGGTCGAACTCGCCTCATATGAGAAACTGGCGATCGGAGGAGCTGTGCGGCAGGGCGGCCACGCCAATGGCGCCCTGCGTGGGCGTTTGGAGGAACGCCGAATCCTCATCAGCCGCCGAGTCCGCGGCAGGTGTGCTGATTGCTATAGGTTCGTAGATCGAGCGATGCGGTGGCATATCATCGTCGTCCTTGAAGGAGCCGCTTAAATTCGGATTGAGGATGTTGTTCGATGCGGGCGTGGCTACGGCGATTGTCCCCGTCGCCGGCAGACCCATGGCACTGGTACCGGACTCAACGTGCTCCAGATAAGGTGGCGCCGCCACACTAATCACAGTCGGTTGGCGGCGGAAGAACGAGCTATTGAATACGAAATGACCTCTTTAGTTATAAGATTAAATATGGGTATAATATTTATAAATTATAAAACTAACCAAAACCCTTATAGTTTTCTTGAGAACTTCAATAGAATTGAGGTTATTTATTATTTTTCTAAATAAATTCTGTTGTACCAATGATACCCCATACGAACGGACATCGGATATCTTTAAAACTATTAGGATATCGATTCTCTCTATACTCCAGTGCAGGATGTAAAGATGCTTTCAAAACTTTGCCACACACATACAAATTGGGGGCAGTTGACTATTTTTCCATATTGTTTTCCATTTCTTACCAATGAATTGATTTAAGACCCAAAATCGGACTTACCCAAAATTGATGCGCGACCAGAGCGAAGGACGACTACCAGTTAACTGTTCAGCTAGGTGGGCTGGCAGATTGGGAGCACGATCGAAGGGATTGATGCGTTCGTGTGCTCCAGAGGACGTGGCCGGACGCACAGCAGAGTCTAGCAGGACTGCAAAAGCCATTCGATTAGTTATAGTATCAACATACGACTTCATTGGCCTGCAAACGTACCGTTCTCATCGTCAGAGCTCTGGGATTCCTCGAACGGGTTTCGTCCGGCGTCTCCACGCCGGAAGGTTCCGTGCCGCGTGGTCCCAGCGACAGCAGTCGCCGCTACACTCGAGCTGCTCCCGGCAGCTGTTCCGGCGGCTGAGGAAGCGGCGCTCACCTGGACCGCCTGTCTGCCGTTTGACTGCTGTTGCTGCAGAAGTGGCGTCGTGTCGTCATCAGTATCGGTGACATTATCCAAAGAAGGCTGCCGCCTCCGACTTGCACGCGCTTCGCCCTTTGTAAAAACCTTGCGCTTACAAATGGGACAGACGCGACGGTTTTCGGTAAGCCAGGGATCGATACAGTGTGTGTGATAGGCTGAAAGAAATAATTGATTGATAATTACTTTTGTTCATTTTAAAGATAAATAAAAATTAATGTTCAATAAAAATTCAGTTTTCACCTAGTGCGAATAGTTGAACTGATTGAAACAAATTCACTTACGATGTGAGCAGGGCAGAACACGCAGCTTATCGTCCTCGATGAAGTCCTCCAGGCAGATCACGCAGGTGTCGTACTTGTTGTTCGCGTTGTTCTTGGTGTATCGCAGAACCGGCAACTTCTTTAGCATCCTCTTTGGCAGTCGATGGCGACGCTGGCGGCGTTGCTCGCGGATGCACTTGTAGATCATATAGACAACCTGTCCGGCAAACAAAGAAATTCAGTCAAAGCAAAAACAACCGATTAAACTTCATATCTCGCACCATGATTATGAAGCACAGGCCAATCAGTATGGAGAAGGGCAATATCAGCTGCGTGTTGATGTTGAAGGGCAGCTCATCGTTGATGATTAGCACCACCTCTGGAGTAATGTAAGTAGTGAGAGCCACACCCGCTGTGTGGCCCACAAAAACCGAGGGTATTCTAATTCCCGCCGGGTTGTCGGCGTACATTTGTTCTGCAAGTGGGGTGAAAATAAGAGTTATTCATTACCGTTAGTGCGCTGCAAACACATTTGCAATTTCTTACAAAACTTAAAAGGTAGCTCAACCAGTCTTTAGGAAAGTTTTGACTTAGTTACACTTGTGAGCTTGCTTACCCAAGTCGTCGCCCTCATTGTTGTAAACAATTACAGCAGAATAAGTTGCATTCTGGGCCACTCGTACCTTGCGCTCAAAGGTGCAGTTACCGCCGCTGCAAATGATCCGAATTAAGACAACGAATGCTACAAATGTTCCATATTTACTCACCGTGATACAAGTGCCACGAATTTGGCTGAGGGTGGGTAATTAAGGTGTGGTGGCCTGTCTAGAGTATCACAACCGAAGGAAGGGGGCTTGGCGGGGATCACATACACTTTGAGACCATTCGATGGCAGTTGGGGGCCGAATTGTGCTGGCTGATCATTGAACTCCTCAATCAACTGTGAAGAGACAACAAACCTGGTTAACTGATCTCATAAAAAGGAAACCACAGAATGATCGCATAAACCTAAAAACCAGACTCCTTTTTAAATTTCATTCATCATTCATCAAACATACCTGGCTCGTTGTCTTCCGATAAACCAGCACGTGACCCTCGACCAGTGCCACCTCGTGGCAAATCAGGCACAAGCCCAGCAGGGTGAGTATGTGACAACTCCTCTTGGACATTCTGCCAGTCAGAACACGACTTTTAGGGACGATCGGGTCTTCGCCTACACTGTTATTTCTCTAGTCCGCTTAGTCCACTGCTGCTGCGATTTTTCTTCACCATCCGCACAATTTGCATGTCTCATCTGTGTGTTCCTGCCAGCGATTCTGTGCGTTTGAAGCTCGGGCTATAAAAGAAGAACAAGACCAAACAATTATCAATCTGGTATACTTTCCTCTCAAGATGCATTTTACAAAAAAAAAAAAACATCAAAAATAATAGAGAAGTGTAGTGCCAAATACAATAAAAATATGTTTTCCAGAACATCTTTTTTAATGAAAAATTAAAAACTAAATCAAAAAACCTTCAAAAAAAAAATATATATTTTCGCAAATAGTTGTACGGGATACTTATTAAATATTAATTGCTATTTTAATCAAGTTTTTCCTATTATCCTGTCTGCCACTGTAATTGAGGACCCACCCAAGAGCTAGGCAAACAAACTGTTCAGTAGATAAGATAAGCAGCTTTGGATCGTTGTTTTTTTGTTTTACGACCAACTGGGGGTACTGTTAACGTTTCTTTATTCACGATGGACCTGTCAAACAGCTGTTTTGTTTGTTGACACAGCGACATTTCAGTTTAAGTTTGTTTAACAGAAAAATCAACGCATTGTACTGCACTTCTGTTATTGGTCTCAATTTGCCAATCAATTGGTTTTATCGCAATCTAATAGTGACCGAGATCTTAGGGGCAGCAACAGTAATCAAAACATATAGTTTTGCTTGCCGGCTTGAGCCAGATGATTCACAAGCCGCTTTGCTGATAAGACCCAAATGGCAAGCTATTTAATTAGTGTACGCCAGAACGCTAACGCATTCGCAGACGGTGCAGAAACAAATCTGGAAAGTTTTTCACGAAAATTATTAAGTCTGCTAATTTGCTTGGCACATACAGTTGGAAGTTGGTGTGCAAATGTGTCACAAAAGGTGTATTGAATTTGGGGTTTAACAAAGAAAGCGTCACAGGCATTAGCACATCGATAGACAAACCGAGCAGCGACTTTAATTAGAACGTGACTTTGTTATTATTGGATGGGTAAACAATAAACGAGAGGCCAACAGTTGCTGTTCGACTGCTAAATTCAATCTGGGAGGCGCGTGCGTTTAATAGAATTTTTCTTTTGGACTTGCTTAATAATTCTAGCTATGAGTGACTAGCCGCATTTTTAAGGGACACAGTAAAATAAAAAACAAGAATAATAATACACTCTTTTAAGAGGTTGTTCATTTTTTGTATATATTTTGTTAGGCTTAAGGCCAAAAATAAAATGGGTTATAAGTAAGACCTAGAGTGGCATTTCTCTTTATATAAATATAAGTTATAAAATAATATTAATAAACAGTTCTTGACAAATATGCATATGCATGTATATGATCAGTTAATCCTTGCACATTGTTGGAATGTTGACCAACAAGGAATGTAAAGCTAAACTGAAATCTGTAAAATTAGCGTTAATTCGCTTTGTTTGGAGGGCCGATATCAAATTTCACATTACACAGCACACGCAGCGCCCAACCGCCCACACTTACACACGCACACCTTGAACTTTACAAGGCACGAGTGTGGATTCAAGGTTTTTTTTGTGGAAGGGGACACATGTATTAATGCTTTCCAAGAAGGCGTACATTCGTGTTTTACAGGTGAAACCCCCCAAAGGATAAGCGAATAATGCGCCCAATTGGGGGCAGCAGCCACAAGTTAATGTACTTCAATTTCGTACATTCGCTTTTGTTATGCTTTTTTCAGGCGTATCTGCTGTGGCCTGTGCGTGAGTGTATGTGTGCATTCAATTAACACAACAACAAAGCAGCTGAGTGATTTCCTGCGCTTTTCTCCACTAATATTCACGTACACCCACTGGTCACTCACTTGATTATTGTTTTCTGGGGTCCCTGGCTTATTGTTTGGGCCGACTTCTGGCCAATTCCTATATCCAATGCGATTTTTTCAACACTCGCTCGCCTCTTCACTCGTCGCCATCGCAGTGGTATTGCGTTTTACTTTGTTTTGCTCCTGATAGGAAGTGCTGAAACTGGGATTTGCTTGATTCGTGATCGAGTTTCAACAGGGACTGCGCCGTAGCTGCGGTCAGAGCATGTCATTCGCGATAAGGAGCACTTTGGATTCACTTTTCTAATTATCGGATATTAGAATTTACATCCGCAGAGCAACCACACACATACAGAACTAGAGACGTTACAAAAGGCGATCTTTGTCCGATACTATCGATATACTTGGCAGTTGCCTCTATACAGCTATCGGTACTCTATCCTTTTCGCTCACCCCTATCGCACAAACGTAAACAAACTCTGTAATTCAAAATCGGTCTCAAGACTTTTGTTTGTTACCATTACCGTTACATTACATAAGTAATAATTAATGGTATAGAAGACTTTTTAGACAAGTAAAGATAGGCCATAATTTATTTAATTATTATTATACAATCTAAATATGTAATATATTTCCCCTTTTTTTTGCACTTCTAAATAAATTCTTTATTTATAATTATTACTTTCCTCACAATTATCTCGTTCAATTAGGACCGAGATTAATAAAACACGGATTTCATGAATTTGCGTTAATATATTAAGTGGAACAATAATGCATTTGGATTAAATAAAATCTTAAAATCACATGACTGCAGGCTATTTGATCCAGAGATACATTTTCCCCTGAATGGTGTGCTTGACAGGATTTATCTTCTTGAGGATTTTCGTCATGGTCTCGACCAGACGGTCGCTCGAGACGGGCGTCTTCTTGTTCTTGAACTTTGTGAGTAGCTCGGTTGCTGTAAGGGGTTTGCGTTTCAGGTAGCGACGAACTGCCTCCTCGGTGATGCCATAGTCCCTAAGGATAAAATAAGTACAAATTAATCTGGAAATCCAACTTGGCACCCATATCGGTACTCACTCGACTTTGCCGCCAGAAAAAGAGGTGGGCAGCGAGGTGCTGATCTCGCTTTTGGGCCTTTTCGCGGGCGTACTGGTGGGACTGTTGCTGGTGTCTGAACCAGTGAGATCGCTGGGCAGGCTATTCATCTTGCGCTTGCTGGCGTCCGTCGAGAGAGTGGGAGTGGCCGAGCGCGACTTATTGGCATTGCTGCTGCTGCTGGTCGAGGCCTTGCTGCTGGCAGCGATCTCCTTTTCCTTGTCCTTGGAGATGGCCTTCTTTTTGGGCGGCCCATTGCTGAGGTCGTCCTCGGAGTCCGTGCTGTCAGAACTAAAGTCTGTGGACGAGTCGCCGCTGCCATTGGACTTGCCCTTTTTGTCGTCTTTGGAGGGTTTCTTCTTCTTTTTGTCCTTGGAGCCCTCGTCTTTGCCCTTCTCCTTCTTTTTCTTCTCTCCGTCCGCGTCCTCCTTGTCCGACTCATCAGACTTCTTCTCGTCCTCCTCCTCTTCGTCTGAGGTGAGCAGCTTCCGCAGTGCGTCCTCCTCGGCGACACCTTTCATGTCCTTGTCCACCTTTGCCTCCGGATCTGGTTCGCTGATATGGGGAAAATATAGTAATTAAATGACAGTCAACATTGCTGTTGAGTTACATACTCTTCACTGGAGCTCGTGTCGTAGTCCATTTCCCTGCCCTCCTCGTCTCCATCGTCCGACTCCTCGAAGGCTTCGTCATCCACATCCCGCTTCTTCTTTTTCTTGTCTGCTCCCTTTTTGCCTTTGCCCTTGGCCTTGCCATCATCGCTGTCCTCCTGCTCCTTCTTCTTCTTATCCTCTTCGTCCTCCGAGTCGGACTCATCCTCGGAATCAATCCATTCGTCCATGTCAGTAATCTTGAGCTCTTTGGACTTTTTAGTGGCTGCCTTTATAAGTTTGGCCTCCTCCGGATCCTGTTCCTCCTCCTCGTCGCCGCGCAGACGCTTCCGCAACATAAGGGAGAAGTAGTTCATCACCTTTTTGCGACGACCGAATTCCTGTTCGGCCTCCTCCGCCGACAGCGATTTGTAGCGCTGAATAGGTTGGAAGTTGTACCACTCTGTCAGGGGATAAGCCTCGATGGCGCCATCAGGTGCATGAGTGAACACATAGAACGCAGCGTTCTCGCCCACGCCGCCCTCGCGAATGCCCTTGAACTTCTTCCCGGTCTTGCCGCCCACCTTCAGGATCCAAGGCTGAGCCTCTGGCCGGTACTTCCTGGCTATGATACCGAACTTTTTTCGGCGCGCCTCCTCGCGCTGATCACGATTGTACTCAGAGCCAGCACCGAACTTGGGCTGGTCCTCCTCAATTCCGCGGAACTCCTTCATATTGTTTTCTCGTTCCAGTTTCACATTTCGCCACTGGGCGAAATCCACGTTCAGCGTGGCGTTGAATCGCATCACATGGTGCTTCTTGGGCATCTTGGGCACCCGAATTTTAAACTCCTGCACGTTGGCGGAGGAGGAGGCGGATCCGGAGGCGACTGAAGCAGCAGCGGCGGCGGCTGCGGACGTGGAGCTCCCGCTAGCAGCGCTTGGCTGCGGTGAGATCAAGGGCAGTTCACAAATTAGCGTTTGTTGCACGAAGCGGTGGGATAATGGACTTACCGTCGACTTTGGCGCACTCGACATGGCAGTATGTTCCAGTACAATATTCAATACTAATCATATGTTATTAATTATTTGTAGTTTTGATGTATTTGCTATTCAAGTCGCGGGCAGAAGAGTTTGGAAATCTAGGGATGTGCCAGTCGCCGATAACACGTCTGCTGGTTGTATCGATTATGAAACATAAAATATTATTTAATGAAAAAGAACTTGACTTTTCCGTAGCTTTAAATTGTTAGTACTTTGCCTTATAGTTTTAAAAATCTAAACTGACACGATTTGTCACAATACTGTGACCAAAGTTATCGTCCCCACAGTCACTGTATAAGCAGTGACTCCTTGTCGGTTATCGCTCATCTCTAGATTTGAACATTGCGGCTCAGTAGTTTGTTTGGGTTTTATTGGCTACCGGAAAGTTAAATATACAGCAAAATGTCGCGGAATGTGACGCTTTCGGACGAGCAAAGTCGGCTAAATGCGCGACTGGAGGCACACATGGTTTACATATGTCCGGAGTGCGGGAAGGCGTTTCGTACTCAGGCGGAGTGGCGTCAGCATTTGAATACGGCAAGATTGGGTTTACCTTTTTAAGCTATTCGTTTTTTAACTTTTGTGATTTGTCCACAGAGACACGACTACTTAAAAAAGACCTACACCGACTTCAACTTTATCCAGATCGACGAGCGGTTCCATGAATGCCAGCTGTGCTTTAAGTGGGTGGAGAATGCCCACAAGACCATCGCATTGCTGCAATATCACTACTTCATGCACTTGGAGCACAGTGAAACCTACCGCTGCGTGCACTGTCGCATGGCCTACACGAGACGAAGGGCCCTGAATGTACACCTCCTGGAAACGCACATGCGGGAGATCGAAAAGTACGAGAACAAGTTGCGCCAGATGAAGCGGCAGCAGCAAAAGCCCACTACTGGGCCAACAAGTTCTCCAGGGAACCCACTTAAACCGGTTGCGAAGACACGAGGGCGTCCTAAGGGATCCGTAAGCAAAAAACGAAATGACCTGTTGCAAAAGGCGCTTATGGACATTGATCTGCACACAGAAGTGGATAAGTCCCCAACACAATTATGCGCAACAGCCGCAGTAGCTCCTGCAATCGCTGGCAGGATAAATGCAAGCGAACAGAATCTGGACCGGTGTCTTAATGCCTACGACGACATCGTGCGTAAGGAAGAGGAAAAGGCGCCCAAGTATGACGCCGAGCTGGATGCGCTTTGCCAGGAGTTTTTCGATGACGGCAGCATCGGTGACAAAGGAGGAGAGGACGAAGGGCAAAAGTTAGCAGAAGCGCAACCGCAGCAGGAAAATCAGGAGGTAGTCATTATCGAGATCGATGCACTTGGCAAGGAGGAGGTGGCCCAGTTGAAGAAGGAAATGAAATCGGATTCTGTGGGGCAAGCGGTCAAGCGTTGTCGTCTGTCCACAACGCCCACTCGAGATTCCGACTCGGAGGTGTCCAACAATGGTCTCACTAAGCTAATCTCATACTTGTGCCCCAAGTGCGGCAAGGAGATCGCCTCCATGGACGGCTGGCGGGCGCATGTGTTCATGAAGCACGACTTCGAGCACATAATAGAGAACAGTTTCAAGATCATGGAGCCCGGACGCAAGGCTATGTGCCTGCAGTGTCGCGAGGTGCAGCCGACGACTAAGCGGTCACAACTGCAGAAGCACTGCTTCAAGCATTTGCCTTTTCGTTCCTACCTTAAGTGCACCCTCTGCGACCGCACCAAGACCAGCACTTCCAAGATACTCAACCACATCCGCTACAACCACCAGGAAGAACTGCAACGGAAAAACAAGACGCAATTGCTCATTAAGCCGGAACCCAAATGGGCCAGTCCTAAAAATCCCGGGCAAACGAGCAAGCAGGGTGACGCGGACTCTGGCGACGAGGAAGAGAGCAAAGCGTGTGAGCACTGCAAAAAAATATTCGATAGCAAATGGCGTTATGATCGGCATATCGTCGCTTGCAAAAGAACGGCAGGGATTCGGCCAATTTCCCCAGTCGACGGGACCGTCGAAGCCATGCTAAACAATCTCCGTGAGGGTCACTTGCGAATGAACGCTATTTGGAAGGCGATGCAGCGCGAAAAGTATTAGTTTTATTCTAGTTTAAGTTCGTTAACTCAAAGAGCTGAAGTAATAAAAAGCATTCGCATAAACACTATACCAACGAGAAATGGAAACAGAAAACAAATCGCTTTGGGACAACGGACCACTATAGTTAAAAATAAATAAGGTAGTACCAAAGGCAATTGATAAAAAAAACTAGTTTTCGTTTAAAATTGTATATTTTCGAATTGTTAAGAGGATTTATAAGCCAGCTTTTAACTTACGACGATCCACTCGGGAGCGGGATAGAAAACCCGGTGATGACTGCGTCCAGGGCGACTTCTCGCGTGCCCCAAGAAACCCTGCCTCATGGTCCGACCTCTTAATCTACTACGTTGCAATTTATGACGTCTACTTCTCAGACTCCTTTGCATGGCAGAATCAAGATCAGGATCCGGGATTGCTTCCATGCGGTTATCGTCCACCTCATGGTTGCTGGTTATGATTACGATCTTGCGACGACCATTGTGTAACTTAGCTTCTTCCATCAACATCAGGAAGCGGGCAAACTTTTTCAGCAGTGCATCCTTTGGGGGTGGAGTTGGGATGGGTTCCAATAATCCATCCACTATAGCTGTGTCATTACCACCTGGTGTTGCTCCAGGTGCCTCATTTCCTGGTGAAAGAGCGGTGGTGTTGCCACCTGGCACTGGAGTTGCTCCCTCGGCTGCTGGAGTTACTGCTCCCTCGGCTGCTGGAGTTACTGCTCCCTCGGCTGCTGGAGTTACTGCTCCATCGGCTGCTGGTGTTACTGCTCCTCCATCTCTGCGTTGTATTCCAACCTTCTTCACAGTCCTTGCATTAACCGTGGCATTTGAGGAATTCTCAACTTTTGGTGCTATTTTTTCGTAAGTCTCGCTTGCGGAGCACAGATGCACGTGTTTGGGGTTCATTCCGGTCTTGCAGGACTTTCCGGCCTGTGGGCTGTTCTCGTACACGGTGGCACCCACGACTGGGGCGTTTCCAAAGTTGCATGTAAAGTGTGTCTGCAGCCAGTGGTTCTGGGTCTGCTGAAGAATAGCACAGCCCACGAGTTCAGCGTCCTCCAATACGATCTGCACGAAGTTGTACTTTGGGGACCTGAAGAAAACGAACAATGTTTATTAATAGAATCAAATTAGAAGTATCAAAACTTTTTTCTGTCACAAATTTAAGTAACATTTATTACATTCATTAAACTTTAACCAAAAACTATGTAGGCTTGTCGAGGTAAAATCTTCCAAAGAAGTTTAAACTTTAACTAGAAATCTTTCTTTGGAAATGGGCATAAATAAATGATGGACATCATTTAATAATCCTGGTTAAATTTACTTTTACTGGGACTTCTGAATCACTTTGGACAAAGGTACTTGATATCATAATCATGTCAATTTAAATAAGTATCCTTGGCAAACCACTAATTATTCTCATCATTCATTTAGATGCTCACCCTGCTTGAGGATGCTTGTACTTCATTATGTCCAACATGGAAATGCCTGTGCTCTCTCGCATCCACAACCCAGTTATATCCTTAAGACGGTCCTCCAGCTCTGGGATGTTTCCCTTGACGGCTCGATAGCCGACAATCTGGCCAGCGTTGGATGACGTTTTTGTGTTGCGACATTCATCGTTTTTCAGGAAGCAATTCTGCACATTAAACTCTGCCAAGTGGGAAAGTTCCGGATCCCACTTCAAAGTGCCCATCCGGGCAGCCGGACTCAATCCATTGTATCCGCCCTTGGCCACGCTGTCCCGCAACTCGTTAAAGCGATCCACCAAGAACTTTTGCAGCTTTTCGTTAATGTCTAGAACTTCAGCGTCCAAAGAGCATGTGTGGTGAAGTTCCTTAAAAAACAAGAAAAAGAAGATGGTAAACGCTTGAAGTAAATATTATAATCTGCCAAACTACATTAATTATTCATAAAATTTGTTAACGGAGAATGATAGCTATTTCGGCTTAGTGACCATTTCAATATTTCTATTTATGTTTATATTATTCTTAATTTAGCTATAATATACATATATGTATGTATAATTTAGCTACAATAGGTCCGAATAATTTCAGAAAAATTAAACCTAGGAATCAAGTTAATAATAAATATTCGTATTTTATAAAATGTAAAAATTATTATTTAATTTTATATATCAGTGTAACTGGCGTTGCTAATTCTATTTATAATTTTACGGCTAAACAGTCTTTATCAAAGTCCTAACGTAAAAGTAAGATTATTTTTAGGCTGAACTAATTAAATTGTAAGGACAAATGAACACACATAAGAACAATTTGCTTACGAGTGACTGGTTGCATGCCACATGTATTAATCCTTCCTTGCACAACGAGGGATCGCAGTAGTCCTGACCTTTTGTTGTGCCATTCTCTTTGTTTTCCACTTTATTTTCAGTAACTGCCAGAGTTGGGTTATTTGGTTCTGTTGCATTTGGAGTTGGAGATGGAGTTTGAGCTGCTTGGCCCTCCTGAGATGACGTTATGTGAATGGAAAAACTGGCTAATAGGAGACAGCCAATAGCCCACTTGTTCCTTGTGGAGATCATTACGCATTAAACTTTGTTTTGCTAAGTATATATTAAAGCCCTATGTCCATGAAATAATAATTTTCAGAGCTCAAAGCAGAGCAAATCCAACACTGGACAAAAAACTTCGAGATTAATTGTGAAATTAAAGGAAAAACCTTTTGGTAATTTTGTATTGATAGCATTTAGAATTATTTTAATTTCTGATTTGGGTCAATATGCTTTAAAATTTTCATTTTGTTTCTCTTCAAATTGGCTGTTTCTGTTGTGTCTCCCTCAGGTTATTATTTTAAAGTGTTGAATTATATTTTCTTAAATATGAATTTGAGTATATGTAAAATATTTTACTAGTACATAATTGTATTTTGAAATCGAGGATAAATTTTTTATGTAAAAGATAAATGCTTTAAAAAGCAAGTAATTAAACTTGTACTTGGTTAATACAATTTTTATTATATTGGGAAATGTGGAAAACCGTATCTCAAAAAGGCTCTCAGGACTCATAGTTTTTAAAGAATCGCGAAGTTTTAACTTTTGCAACCAACACTTAAACGTTTGAGTTGCAACTGAAAAAGCTTTTGCATTTTCGAGAGAAAAACAGCTGATAAAAGCTTTTATTTGTCATTTCCATTGCTTCTTCGAAAATGTGATAACATATTTTGTTTAATTGTACGTTTAATTAAATATTACTGGGTCAGCAATCGTGCTTGTCGCATTAAAATTTGTAAACTTAAATATGAAAACAGTGTTGGTGCCATTGTGTGAAAGCATTTTGTTTTTAATAAAGTTTTGAGTGAGTTGCCCTCTTTGTAGGGCATTCTTCTTTTCCACTGGACATCTTGGTTTTCCTGCGCAAATAACTTAGCGGATAGGACAGCCTCTCGCGTTTCCTGGATGCTCATTTCAAAAATATCATAAATTCCAGGAGTTACAAGTTTTACTTTTCAAAGGGCAGTTCTCCTGATTATGTACCATATGATCCCTGATCAAAGGGCCACATATCTGCCAATTTAAGGCATTATGCTTCTTCTCCAATTAAGTCAGAATGCGTTCCTTAACTCTTCTCATTTTAGCTTTTAAAAACCTAAACAAAACGTGAAAATAATACGTCAGAGTCCGACCTATTTTACAATCGTGATCTGTGTTGGTGCAGGTCCATTTCGGTCGAGTGTTTTCTCATCAATACAAAAGAGTGACCTTTGAAACAATTGTTATCAATTATCAAAGAACACAATATATGTATGTACTATATATGCACTACATTTTTGATTCTGTGGTTCTACTACTTCTTTGTTATAATTCCACAAACGGAGTCTTGCGTGACACTCCGGATCAACATATTAAAGTTGTTTACATTTGAATATCAGTTTAATGTTGGCAGCACAACGAAAATGTATCTCGAACAGTCGCATTGTGTGAGAGTAAAAGCAAACCGGTCGCTGATAGCAAATTGGGCTACAGGCATTCTGCCTACGTGGAATCACTCTTTCGATTGCAGTTGATCGTCGACTGCTGTTTAGCTAGCACTTGCCGCCACAGGCTTTGCTAATCTTGAGCCGTTTCTATCGCTTTTTATAGCGTTTCTTAGATTATGTACAAATATCAAAGGTGAATTTAGTACCAAGCGAGGAACCACTGCGGAGGGGCCAAACATTAACCTATGCCTCTACTTTCTCCGATTTGCAGCGATTCGCTTGAGAGACCCCTCGAAAAACGCGACGCCGAGATGAAGTTCAGTAGAAATGGAAAGTTGTTATGGAACATGGTAAGCACCCGCTGTAAATCTTGCGTTCATATCCTAAATCTGAAGTGATTTTCAGGCGAAGAGCTCCCTAGCGCAGCCGTCACAAAATGCGGTGGCCAAAAAGGTGCTACCCGCTAGCTGCAGCACAACAACAAGGGATAATTCGACCTCCAGTCAGCCGAACCTGTTGTCCTACCATGTTTTGCCGCTGGAGGAAACCCTCAACCGCTTCATGACAACCGTTGAACCCTTGCTGACTCCGGAGGAGTTGGAGCAGCAGAAGGTGATTACTGCCGAGTTCTCGAAGAAGCAAGGCCGGGAGTTACAGAAGCTTCTGGAGGAGACCGGCAGCAAGGAGAAGAACTGGCTGGCCCACCGCTGGCTAAAGGTTGCCTACCTGCAGTACCGGTCCCCTGTCACTGTGTTCGTCAGTCCAGGAATGACCTTCCCCAGGCAAAACTTTAAAAACTCACGCGATTTTTTGGACTACACCTCCAAAGTAATCTTTGGGTTGGGTGAGTTCAATGACATGGTGCAGGCCCAGAAGATTCCGATTGTGAAAATGGGAAAGAACGAGTTGGACAACAGCCAGTTTGGCAAGGTATTCGGCACATGTCGGATTCCAAAAAGGGGAACCGACGAGATAGTCTATAACCCAAGATCCGATTTTGTGGTGGTGATCTACAAGAACCACTTTTACCAGCTGAAAATATACGACAAGGAGGGAAAACTTATTGCTGCTCCACGTCTAGCAGCTCAACTCGAGGATATCACGTCGAAGGAAACAAAAGTCGGAGTTCCTTTTGGTATTTTGACCACCGACTCGAGGGACAACTGGGCCGAAGCCTATGAAATCCTGTCTGGTGTTCCTGGTAACAAAGAGGCCCTTAAAACCATTCAGAGTGCTCTCTTTACTGTTTCCCTCGACGAGTGCACCGCTTTCCCGGAAGGTGAAGATGCTGACGAACTCATTCGCTCGTTGATCCACGGCAGTGGCAGCAAAGTCAACAGTGGCAACCGCTGGATGGATAAGACTATTCAATTGGTGGTGAACCCGAATGGAAACGTCGGATTTACCTACGAGCACTCGCCTGCTGAGGGACAGCCCATCGCCATGATGATGGACTATGTGGTGCAGAAGATGTAAGTGGAATGATTCAGATACTTTTATCTCTTTAAGCTTATGAACTTGCTTTCAGGAAAGAGGATCCCAACTACGGACAATCTGGATCGGATAACGTTGCTTCTGCACAGAAACTGCAGCTTTCTTCGCCCAACAAAGGCTTAGAGCAATCGTTGGCCACCGCACAAAGCAACGTGGATAAACTGGCCGAGGAGCTGCAAGTCAAGGTTCTCAAATTCAAAGGATTTGGAAAGGACTTTATTAAAAAACAGCGACTGGGTCCGGATAGTTTTATTCAGATTGCCTTGCAGCTAGCCTTCTACAAGTAACTAGCTCCTTAGACTGTTTGATGTTTTCAAAACTAACCATGTTCCTTAATACTTGCAGAATGCACTCTGAGCCACCTGCGCAGTATGAGTCGGCACACTTGCGAATTTTCGATGGCGGGCGAACTGAAACTATTCGGTCGTGCTCGAATGAATCCCTGGCCTTCTCTCGCGCCATGCAGGACTCGAAAGCCACTGATCAGGAGCGTGCTGACAAGCTTCGTCAGGCAGTAACCTCCCATCAGACGTACACCAAGTTAGCTCTTCAGGGCAAAGGAGTCGATCGTCATCTGCTCGGACTAAAACTGATGGCTCTGGAGAACAGCCAGCCTGTTCCAGAGTTCTTTGCATCGCCAGGCTTTGTGAAGTCGAGCCACTTCCGCATGTCCACATCGCAGGTGGCCACCAAGTACGACGCCTTCATGGGATATGGCCCGGCCACAGATGATGGATATGCTTGCTGCTACAACCCACGGGAACATGATATTATTCTTGCCATATCTTCCTGGCGTTATAATCCGATCACCGATCACTTAAAGTTCGCCAAGACCCTGGAACAGTCGTTCGCTGAAATGAGGAGTGTTCTAGAGAACTCTTCAACAAACCCGCCTGAGATTAAGAGCAAGTTGTAAAAATGTTACAAAACAATATACGTTTGCAGTGATTGATAATTTTGTTTCTAAAACTCTGATTGGTTATGTTTAATTTGTCTGAAATGGGTTGGTAAACTACGAAAAGCATTCTGACTGTAATCGTCTGTTTAAATGGAACCATCATATAAATAGTATAAACCTTTTTTTGAACTCGCTCGCAACATTTGTGCTGCAAACAAAACAGAGTTTATGACATCAGCATTGTTCATCTTGTGTAGTCTTCATAAAGCATAGCATTTATATTTGAAAGCAGTTTGGATTGTTATTGCAATTTGCAAGATCAGTTCAAGATACGTAAAAAAAAAACTTATGAATTGGCCTTTCAACAAAATTTTGATTAGATTCTACCCTGGCAGATCATGTTAACAAGAAACAATAGAAACGTCATTATTACAAAAAATATTAAGTTTTAATACATTGCTTTGACCCCTGGGCTCAATTATAAAACTTCGCGGTTATAAAATTGTGGTCCGGTTACATTTATTGTTTACAGTTCTTATTCAGATACGAGACAAATCGTGCAAAGTTCGTTTTTACTGTCATAATTGTGGCTCTTCGCTCCTTAAGGTCACGTCGTTGCTGGCGCAGCTTAGACTTGAACAGCTCCTCAAGGGCTTGGACGCGATCGCACATCTCGAGCTCAGCAATAATCTGCGGCCAGTCCTCCACGGCGAAGATGTCCATTAGCGCATCAAGTCCTTCAGACAGGGCCCACAGATCTTCCTCTTGGGCGCACGAAGACAACAGGAACATTACTGTAACTTTAACCAGTGGCTCTGAGAGCAGGGAGCCCAGAGTGCCCAGCATGCGGTTCCAGTTGACCCGGATATTTAGGTCTGTGCACTTGCTAGCGCCCTCGATAATCATGTTAAGGTCATTCTCTGTCATTTGACCAAAGAGATCCTTTCGCGATTTCAGCAAACTCAGCGAGGAGCGCATCAGCGAAGTGATGGCTTCCAATACGGAGGCGTCTTCAACTCCCTTGAAGGCCTGCTGGCCCAAGTTCATCCACATACTGTAGATGTTGCTGTAGCCCCCCAAATCTTCGGCAGACAGTTCGTTGCATAGGTTCTGTAGACAAATCAAGTAGGACACCCGCATTTTCAGCACTTTTTCCGTAATATTCTCTTGGTGCGCCAGAAGTTTCTCCAATGCAGGATCCAAGGGTTGAGCTTTCTGCCACAGCTTCTCGACCACTTTGTTTTGTTTGATTGTTTCCAAGAAATTGGCGGGCAATCCATCTGCTCCACTGTCCGCTGCATCGTCATCCATGTCGTAGTCGGCCACGCTCTCACTATCCGAATTTTCGCTATCTGTGTCCCAGTTGCTTTGGTCGTCGCTGGAGCCCAGGTTCGTGATGATCTCCGCCACCAGTCGCTGGGCGTCTAGCAGATGCTCCAAGTTCTTAAGCGCTACATCTGCGTCACACTGATTCGGCTTGGACTGAATGGCGCTCTGCGATTCTGTCACCTCCTCCGTGTCCATGGAGATTTCCAAAGCCGGAGCCTCGTTTTTTGACTTGGCATTCTGAATCTCGCTCTTGCAGTTTAATAGTTCGGCCTGTGGATCGATGGAGAGCAGTTTGTCGAGGCTGGTCAGGATCTCCCCGGTGTGGGCGGCCGAGCAGGCGGGCACGTTGCACAAGATTCCAGCGGCCAGTGCATTAAGGTATAATTGAGCGTGACTCTCTGCTTGAACCCCAAGAAGCTCCGGTAATACGTTACTGCTGGCCAGAACATTCCACGAGCTGGAGTTGTTCTCAGATACCACTAGCACAAGTTGGGCCACCGAAATGGCAACTTCTAGGCCGAATTTTCTATAGTCAAAGCCTAATAGCAGGCTGGGAAGCAAGTTTGCCTGGTTAAAGGCTTCTGTGGCTGTTGGAGAGCTTTCGCACAAGTTTCGCAGCAGATGAGTCGCCTGCAGGAAGGTGTCCGCATGCAGTTCGTTCTCGAAGCCATTCCTGGTCAGATCATAGTTTCGGATCAGCGTCAGCAAAGCGGTCAAAATGTCGTTTTCCACAAGGAAGTCGCACACTTCCGATCCGAACACCGATAAGTTACGAAAGGCACCTGCCGCCGCATTCCGGATAGAGCTCTCCCTGTCGCACAGCAGGGGGCCGCAATCCGGACCAGCTCGCTACCGCATATCTCGCGCACCTTCTCCTTTCGCAGCGCCAGCACAGCGAATGAGTGCAGACCGTTCAGTTTGTCCTCCACTTCCGGACGCTGCAGGTGAACGCAGATCGCCTCGATGGGGCCGTAGCCCTCCGCCCCCTCTAAGTCCAGCGCATCCTCAAGATCTGCCGACGTGTCCACGCCGGAGGGCGTCCTTGTTTTTATTTTTCGGACTTTTCCCATTGCAACAAGCCGCACGTGTTTACAAAGCCGAAGTGTTACCAAGTTGTGAAAGAATGTTAAGGCAGGCCGGAATGTGGGCACGTTCAACAAGAAAATGAATTGGTGACCGGTGATGAGTCACTGTTTTTTTTGGGAAAACGTTACCCTATGGACTTCCTTCTGATTTTATGGAAGCCATCAAGTTTTTTAAAAATGGTATATATTTATTTTCCACCGAAAATTGCACTTGAAAATATTTTTATAACTGTCCCTTTTTTGATACAATGGATCTTAAGGAGCTGGCTTATGAACCCTGTAAAATTTTATAAGTCGTAGATGAAGAGATAATAAAATTATTATTATGTTTTTATTCATCGATTTTCAAAAACAATCTAGTAGTAGAAATCTAGTAAACTGAAACAATTCATGTTTGCAAATAGCGAATAAACCTGAAACGAATAGGGGTATTTAGATGATAATTGTTTTCCCGTTCCGGCAGCACCATTCTAGTGCTGCCACCCTTGCCGTTCTATTCGATATCGCTCTTAGAGTACACTGGGTTGTATTTACATCTCTAGCGGCAGAAAAGTGCAGAAAATTTCTGAAAATTTCTAAATGCAAAGTGGAAGAGTGTGTTTAGTGAGATCTGAGTGCAATGGAAGCTAGTTTAGAGGAGAACATGGACAGCGATCATGCTAGTTCGCCGATAGGCAAGGCGGAGGACAACGAATCTCCGCCAGGAGTGGGCCTCAATGGAATCGGCAGTGGAAATGGCAGTAGTAACCAGGAGGCCCCCAATAATGGCGTTGCTATAGCCAATGAAAAGCCAAGCGAGGCTCAGTGGTGCGTAGTCAGGGAAAAGTCAGTGTTTGAGTGATAAAACAACCATATTACCTTGACCCAATTTCAGGAGCAAACCCTTCAATGCATTCAGCGGACGACCCATTGGGGAGCACACAGCCCAGCAGCAGGCGCTGCAGCAACAGCAGCAACCACCACCGCAGCAGCAGCAGCCGCCGCAACAGCAACCTCCTCCTGGAGCAAACGGAGTGACTGGACCCCCTGAAATATGGGTGGAAACCAAGGCGGAGGATGGCCGCTCCTATTATTATCATGCGGTTACCAGGGAAACCACATGGACACGACCGGAGGGACCCACAGTCAAAATAATGACTCAAGCCGAAGTGGAGGAGATGGCCAAGCGACCCGCCCAGGCCGCCAAAACGGAAGCCAAGCCCGCCGACACGTCGAACGACGTTCCAGCTGTGTCGCCGCATATCACCTCGCAACCGCCGCCGCACCTGATGAGCCAGCCGCCTCCAAATGCGGCAGCTCCGCTGCTCTCTCAACCACCACCTAATGTGCGCCAGCAGCCGCCGCCAATGTTTCAGCCACCTGGCATGCAGCCGCCTCCAGGGTTCGGGCAGCCGCCGTTCTGCATGCCTCCGCCGGCGTACGGGTTTCCCGGTGGAGCGGCTCCAGCAGGTGCGCCCTGGGGAGTGGGACTGCCGCCTTGGCAGCAACAACAGCAGCACATGCACGGCCAGGATAAGCCAGCCAAGTCGTTGATCATCAAGCCGGGTGTTATTGATCCGGCGGTTATTGCACGGGCGGCTGAGTGGTCAGAGCATCGGGCTCCCGATGGCAGACCGTACTATTTCCATGCCGGTCGAGGAGAGAGCGTTTGGGAAAAGCCACAGGCGTTGAGGGACATGGAGGCCGCCCGCATGGCTGCCCACTCTGGCGTGGCGCCCGCTGTGGCAACGGCTCCGACGGGACTACCGCCCCACCTGCTGCCCAATCCTATGATGCATTTGCCTCCGGGCTCAGCGCCACCAGGATTTGATCCGCATGCTGCCTTTGCGGCCGCAGCTGCAGCGATGAAAGCTAACACGGAGAACACCAAGGCAGCACAGGCTGCTGCTCTAGAGAAGGAGGCTAAGAAGGCTGCGGAGGAGAAGCGGAAGAAGGAGGAGGAGCAGAAGAAGGCCGCGGCCACCGCGAAGCAGACGGATAAGAGTCGGCCGGTGACAAGTACACCCATCGCTGGAACTCCCTGGTGTGTTGTGTGGACAGGAGATGCCCGCGTCTTCTTCTACAATCCCTCGACTAGGACTTCGGTTTGGGATCGCCCTGAGGATCTAATGAATCGCGAGGACGTCGACAAGGCGGTAAACGAGCGCCCCGAGCAACTTAAAACCCCCCAGGAGAAGTCAGCCGAAGCGGAACAGAAATCCAGCGAGGAGGCCACACAGGAACAGGCTCAAGTTCAGGCCCAGGTGCAGCAGCAAGACCATGTGCAACGGATTGAACCAGATGATGACGACGACGACGAGGTGATCAAGATTCGCACCGAGTCCGAGTCCAGTGTGGAAGAGGTGCCCACAAAACGAGTTCGAATGAGTAAGTCAAATATTTTTGGGCTTCTAAATCCCTTACACAAGAGAGTTAGCTTAATAACGAAAAAACATTTTTAAAACTTCTAAATTTTTAAATGGCTCTTTACTTTTCTTTGATTCGTTTAGTTTCGAAATCAAAGCGGGCTGAGGATGCCGCTCTAGAGGCTGAGCAGCGGGCGGCTAAGGAACGGGCTCTGGTGCCCTTGGAGATGCGAGTCACCCAGTTCAAGGAGATGCTTAGAGAGAAGGACGTATCGGCTTTCAGCACCTGGGAGAAGGAGCTTCACAAGATCGTGTTCGATCCGCGGTATTTACTTCTGACTTCGAAGGAACGCAAACAGGTATTTGAAAAGTATGTCAAGGATCGGGCCGAGGAGGAGCGTAAGGAAAAGCGAAACAAGATGCGCCAGAAGCGGGAGGACTTCCGCAGCCTAATGGAAGAGGCCAGGCTGCACGGCAAGTGAGTATAAAAAATTAAATCGCTGTCATGTCTTCTTAAGCACAAGCGTATATTAAAGCAGTTGAACCATATAAAGCTTTTCTTTAACTTATTTGGAATGTATTATTTATACTTATATATATATAGTGTGTGTCATTTTGCTAATTTGACATCCTTTTTCAGATCCTCATTCTCAGAGTTCAGCCAGAAGAACGCGAAGGAAGAGCGGTACCGGGCCATTGAGAAGGTTCGCGAGCGGGAAAGCCTCTTCAACGAGTACATCGTGGAGGTGCGGCGCCGCGAGAAGGAGGACAAGCAGCTGAAGAAAGAGCAGGTAGGAATAGGGTATGCTCGAGCGAAAACCCCATCACCTTACGTATCTCGATGTTTAAACATAAATGCGCATCTCTATATATATTTAACTTACCCGTATGCCAAACGTATTTACATAATGTGATTGATTTTCTGTTAACTTTTAAACCATAAACAACGTGTGAATCGAAACCGAATCAAACCAAACTGAAAATGAAACCGAATCCGAACCCTGATCGATTGCATTACCCCTGAACGTGTTGGGTTCCCGGTGGTTTGCCACCCGATACCTTAGCCACTAGCTAGCAGGTTACAGCACAAATGCACCACCCAAAACACCAAAATACACAACAGCAACAGCGTCAAGAACCACCAGTACAACCACCTCAACAGCCAATTCCGCCCGCCGTCTGTCATCGCCGTCCACTGATCAACTTGACCACGCACATGTTTGCAATCTGTGTGGTGAGTTACTTGAAAACATACAAAGCAAAAACATTAAAATTTGTTTTTCTGCAATAAGAAACAAATTTGGAAAAACCAATCCTTTAAACAAAATATAAACAAAAATATCAAAAGGTTTGCCAAACTGAAAATTACCTGATAATCGTTGGTGTGATTTCCATCTCCCGTCCTACGCCCCACGTCGCCCCTTTAGGATGTTAATGCGATGTGATGAAGAGGATGATGCGATGATGTGATTGGCATTGGGAGATCATGAGTGAAGATGTTTGGAGTGCGCGTTGGGCTCTCGGATGGATGCCACCGAGCAGGAGACAGGGAGAGATTGTTCCAGAGATCCACAGCGGCAGCATTTCGTGTGCAGGTGTCTGCGGCGCTGAGCAAACAGTATGAATAATACTTAATTTAATTAACCCACTATTTTTGTTTTGTTTACGAATTATGAAAACACTCAGCAGTTTGTCACCTGACAGGCAAGCCCAAGGAACCGAACTCTGTCCGACCCAACCTGCGTAGACCAACGAGACAACAGATGGGTTATCACACACAGAAACCTCTTAGATCTTTGCTCTCGCAGGTTCAGGCAGCGGCAATAAACCGCTGGAAGGCTCTCTGCTCCATATCCTTACTGTAAACCATACTTATTGTAGATCTATCGACTATTGTGCCCTTCGGCTTGCTGAAGTCCCTGAACCCCACTGCCTGCTTAACAAGAGAGATGAGGTTGAGCTGATAGGTGGTCCGTTTGCTGTTCCCAACACCCACATTCCATAACTAGAGCTTGTTCCTAGCATCTGTACTGTTTTACTTTTGTTCTATAATTCCATTTTACCGAGCAGCACTGTATACTTGCATACAAAACGCACCTATGTTTCATCAGTACAGTATAATTCAAGAGGCTTATAAATATGGAAAGTGCACAAGCCAAAACATCAACTTAATAACGAATGAATGATAACTTTAAAAAAAAACTAAATTCAACGATATGCACTGTTCTCGTCGAATTAATTATTTTTAGTTGCATCGCTTTTCGTACACAAATCCCGCGAAATTGAATTTTACTGGTAGCCATTTTATTTTACTTATTTGCCATTATCCAATTTAATTTTGTGGTCCGATTTGATTCTATAGCTGTTCACCCATCTCACAGCTTGCAGGACCCAAACTAATCCGACGTTCTCTTTCAGTTAAGTCTCTGACCGCTAATCAAACACTTCTCTTGCAGGCACAAAACCGTGTAACTATGTTCAATAGCTTAAGAATCCGTAACTCTAAGCCTTAGATTAGATCGTTAAGCCATAGAGTTTTAAGTGAAGGGTGCATCAATGCCATATCTCTAATTCACTTTTTCTCTCGCATTTTTCTTCTCTTCCGCATGGCTGTCATGTCAATATACCTTTCACATACACCCACAAACTCTAGATCCGCAAGGACTTCCTGGATATGCTGCGGGAGCGACACGACATCGAGCGCCACACCCGGTGGTACGACATCAAGAAGAAGTTTGAGTCCGATCCCCGCTACAGGATGGTGGACTCGCTGTACCGGGAGGAGTACTTCGAGGATTACCTACACATAATGAAGGAGGAGAAGCGGAAGGAGCGTGAGCTGCGAGAGCAAAGGGAACGAGAGCGCCATCGCGAACGAAAATCGGATCGACGGGATAGGGACAAGGACAAGGAAAGGGAAAAGGATAAGGACAAGGACAAGGGTCGGAAGGATCGAGGTCGCAGTCGTTCGAGGGACAAGGACCGCGAGCGCAAGTCGTCCAAGGAAAAGGAAAAGAACAAGGAGGAAAAGACCAAATCGGAACGGAACAAGAAACGAGATACTCCAGTAAGTTGCTATAATAAAACTCAAAACTATCAGCAAGTAATGACTTTTGATATGTTACTTCATTTATGAATTTTACTACTCGAAAATGCAAAATAGGAATCCTTAAGATGTCCTATTTGGTTTATCTAACCACTACGGATTTTGATACCTTTGCATGACCTTTCAAAGATAGTATACGGTAGTATACGTATATGGTTAATGTATATGGGATTGACTTTAGTTATTGCCCTTACTAATTTTATACCCCGCAGCCATAAAAGAATAGTTGTATAGAAGTTATGCACATGAAATTATAGAGTAAATATATGTATTTTAAAATATAAATATATGGAAAATACTCTCTCATTGCTAATATCTGAATCTATTAACGAATCTATGTAGCTTCCATTCGTTTTACTTACAAAAAATAAATATCCCTGCTTGTTTAGGAGGAGGGAGAGCATCCCGAGGAGTCCGAAAGGGAGGAGCGAGCGGGGAGCGATGACAGCGAAGTTGCTCGCCAAAGGGAAAGCGAGGCTGAGCAAAAGCAGAAGGAGCGCGAAAAAAAGCTAAGGGCCGAGCAGAGCATCCGGGAGCGCGAGAAGGAGGTGCAGCGCACCCTGGCTGGGCATCTGAGGGATCGGGACAAGGAGCGCGAGCACCACATGCGTGAAGAGTGCATCGGACACTTTACGGCTCTGCTGACGGATCTGGTGCGAACGCCGGATTTCACATGGAAAGAGGTCAAGCGACAGTTACGAAAGGATCATCGCTGGGAACTGATCGAGACTCTCGATCGAGAAGATCGCGAGCGGTAAGAAGACAAAAATTTATTTAATAACTTATAATACGATAAAATTTACTTTCATAGAAAATTCAACGAACACATTGACAATCTGATGAAGAAAAAGCGAGAACGTTTCAGAGAAATGCTGGACGAGATTGGAACTCTGCAGCTCACGAGCACTTGGAAGGAAATTAAGAAGCTCATCAAGGAGGACCCACGATATCTAAAATACAATTCGGACAAGGGCGAGCGAGAGTTCCGCGACTACATCAAAGATAAAACAATGTCAGCGAAGACTTCTCTTCGGGAACTCTTGCAAGAATGCAAATTTATTACCCACAAGAGCACCGATCTCATTAAGGAAAATCCCAATCATCTCAAGGAGATCCAGGACATACTGAAGAACGACAAGCGGTAAGAACTTAACTTTTCTAAAGAGGTGCATCCTATTTTAAAACCTATGTTTTAATTTCTTAGCTATTTGGTGCTGGATCACATGGAAGAGGAGAGGAATACTATTGTACTCGGCTTCTTGGAGGAGCTTAACAAGCGCGGACCGCCGCCACCACCCACAGCTTCTGAGTCAACACGCCGCAACAAGTAGTGACACTATACAACAAATTCTACAACTATTCAATTTAATCATAACAATTAAATTATTATACTAAGTAGAAGTTATCTAACTTCTAATATTTTAAATGAATAAAATATACAAATTAATTCAATTTTAAAGAATAACACACACAACTCCTTTTCATTCATAAATATTTATTTATCATTTATACGTAATGTTAGTTGCATTTTTCATCTATGTATTGATCTTGTTTTACTTTTTGTTTTGCAATTTTTTATAATTCATTAAGTACTTATTTACCCAATTTATCGGTTCACCTCATCGCTACCGTTATTGTTAAATACACATTCTTTCTGCTCTGTAGCCGAGTTCACTAAAGCTAAAAAATAAATAGAAATACAATAATCCGTAATTTTTATTCGTTCTCCATCCATGTTTGTCGATTAGGAACTAATATTAAAATTAATGTGTCCTCAGAAACAAATCTTTTTCCTCTCGTTTGTATAGTTTGGTGTTTAAATGGTGTTAGCAGCAGCTCAACTAACTGAATAACCCTTGAATCATGGGCACGATGTTTTTTTAATAGGATTGGGACATTGTTTGTCCTACGTGGTTGAATTAAAATTGTAATATGATAATAAATTTTCTGAAATCATTTAAGACGTCAACTACATTTATAGATATTCGAAAACAAATATTAATTGGTTATGAATTATATAATTTTAAGTTTATAAGGTTTAATCAAAGAAAGCCAATTATATATCAATAAATCAGAATTTGAGCATGGCCATTAACGCTAGCAAAATCTTTGAACAAAAGGGATTAAAATTTAAACGAAAAAGTTATTTTGTCTTAGTGGTCTCGTTCGATCCTTTCAGCATTCCCAATATACACGCATCCACTCAAGCATGCTACCTACATTAGCTGGTGTTTTAGTTGACTGCTCTATATATGCTAGAATTTCGATTCACTATGTTACGCTACGGCTGCTAGTCACTATCAGTATAATTTTTACTTGTTGTTGCTCTTATTGATTTCATTTTTCGGTTTCGGTTAGGCACAAAGTAACTGGTTTTCATTTAATCTTTCTTTTTGCATGTCTCACGATCAAATTTACATTCTATTATTTATTTACTAGTTATATTTAGTGGCTACTACCAATTTATTGAACAGTTTAGTGTGGTTCTTCCCTCTCTTTAGAATTATTTTTTAATATATTGCTACAGTTTTCTTCGTGTTTTCTTAGTAGTGCAAACCACATTCCATTGTTGTGAATTGAAAAATACAGGTGTGTCTTTGTGTCTTCTATGTGTGTCTATATCTAAATAGTAAATCCTATTACAGTTAAATGTTTCTCTTTTTGATATACATCTACATATACAGACATAAAAAGTTGCGGGTAGCGGGCGGGTGAAAATTCTGTTCGAGTAGAGGAAGTTTTTGGTGAGAGTAAAGCATAGCATCTCTTTGTATAAGGGATAAGTTACATTTCAATCGGATCCAGAAATATCTGAAGATGCAAACTAAAAATCAAGCAAAAAACATTTTTTAAAATCATATAAAAATATATTTTTATTAAATAAAGCAGTTTACGAACTAAATGAAACTTTTACTAAAATCAGCGATAATACTCCAAGTCATAAGGTTAGTAACAGCGTTCCAAAGTTCATACTCTCATATTATTCTTTATGATTTCTTATAGAAATTTAATGACGAAGTATATGAAATTAAGTGCTTTTTACATTGTACAAAATTATATGTATATTTTATTTTTTGTTTAAATGCAAAAGTTACCAATTGTAATGTTTAATCTTGAGAACTATAATGTAAGTGTTTTTGTTTCTTTTTAGATGGTCTTTAAGCACACAATCTGAGGAGCATTCAAAATGCTCGATACAAATTTTGGGTCTATACAAATATAAATTTACGTTTTGGTATAACAAATGTTGGAAACATGTTTCGATGATGTTGTGGCCAAAGCAACGTGAAAACTTTATGCTGTTTTTTATGAAAAACAGAACACCGATTCGTGGAAATTGAACTATGCGTGTCTCTTGTTTGCCGTATGCAGTTTCTCTTAGTTTTGCAGTTTGTCTCGTTAGAATAGATATAATATAATAATATGTGTGTATATAATACGTTTATATAAATAATTAATAATAGTAATCATAATCATTAATAATTCATCATCTGTTCATATGCATAACTGTTATTGTTGCTATTGTGGTTGTTGCTGTTGTTGTTCTTGCTGTTTTCTGCAGTAGTAATTCATTAGTAATGGTTAAATAAGCGGATTCTTCTTGGTTGTCAATCAGTTGCCCTTAGTTGCCTCTTTGGCGGCCATGATCAAGGGCGTCAGGCTGGCCAATGGTCGGGCCAATTTCAAGAAGGGATGCTGCAATGCAACGTAAGGATTAGAGTCTAGTCAATAGGTCGCATTTATGACTCACCTTCAACAAGTCCAATGCACTGGCTCGCCGTTCCACCTCGACCTCCAAACACTGGTCGAGAAAATCCTGAAATGCTGCGGACAGCTTGTCTTTTTCTTTAATCTCTGGCTTGCCATTAGTGGCAATGAGGTACAAGGCTTTTAGCGGATTCTCGTTCAAGTACGGCGGCTCGCCTTCAACCATCTCAATGGCCATGATTCCCAGTGACCACAGATCCACCTGTGCAACAATGTAATATATTGGATTAAAGTTACGCTAATCACTCACTGCTGGTTTTAATGTTACAACCCGTAAGGAGTAAAAATACTCCACTATTTTCAGCATTTAAAATGCTGAGTAATTGTGCTCACCTTGGGTCCGTACTGTTTCCTGGTGACCACCTCGGGTGCCATCCAGTAGGGCGTGCCCACCATCGTTGTGCGTTTGGATTGCTCCGGCGATATTTGCGCACAGAAACCAAAATCAGTCAGCTTGACGGAGCCGTCGAGGCCCAGCAGGATGTTATCACTCTTGATGTCACGATGGATGACCTGGTTGGCGTGAAGGAACTCCAAGGCCTGCAGCACCTCGCGGCAGACGGCGGCGATTTGGCCCTCGTCCATGCAGGTCTCAGTGACTACGTCGGTGAGCGAGCCGCCGGGCAGGTACTCCATGACCACCCACAGCTCCTCGGACACCAGGTAGCTGTCCAGGTAGTTGACCACATTCGGATGCTTGTTCTCCCGCATCACCAGGATCTCGTTGATGATCAGCTCCTTCTTGGGCTGCTGCGACAGGTTCATCTGCTTGATGGCCACCTCCATGCCCGTTGAGGACTCAATGGCCGTGTATACGGTGCCCGAGGCGCCCTGGCCAATCTTCTCCATCTTGGTGTACTTCCGATTCGGATCGCCCACGGAGACGATGGTGCGCAGCTTCTCCAGGATCTCCTCGTCGGACATCTTCTTCTTCTTGGCGTTGGCTGCCCGCGTATTGGGCGTGGCAGACGCCGCCACAGCCGCCTGGGGCACGGCGATTTGGTTGCCAGCTGCCGGCGGCGGAGCAGCGGCTGCCACCTGGCCCGCCGTCGGTTCGGGCGTGTACAGATCTGATGATCCAGTGGAGGCGGGTGTGGGCGTGGCGGGCGTGATGATGGGTGGCAGGGGAACCACAACCGGGAGCGGTACCGTCGAGTTGCGAGCGGAAGACGTCGGCGTGGGACAGTGGATCGTTGGCAGGGCGTGGTGTGCGGCATCGTCGTCGTGGAACGAGGGAAATGATGAAAAGGAGGAAGCAGAGGAATGGTGATTAGTCGTTGTTTCTGTGGCTGCTGGTGCTGCTGCAGTGGTAGCTGGCGCTGTTGCTGTCTCGACGAGACTACCACGAGGTGCAGCTGGAGCAGGAGCAGTAGTAGGAGTGGTAGAACAACTAGGATTAGTAGCAGACAAAAGAGTTGATGTTGCATCGGTGCCTTCTGTTTCTGCTGTTGTTTTTGTCGTGGTTGGGGACGTTGGAGCTGGCGTCGTCGCAGTTGTTTTATTGCGTTGTTTTATTTATTTTTTTTTAGCAGCAATTAGAAGCAGAACAAAACAGAACAGAACACAGAGAGGCGATACAAATACCAAAATACACATTCATTAAATCTTCATTAGCATTATCACCACAAAAAGTTAATAGTTTTAACAAAAAGGCAACATAGAGAAGCTATAAACGGCACATCTAAGCCTCCGAGCCTTGGCAGCAAACTAGTCAGCAATGTAAACACAAAACTTCCGAATCTTTAAATCATTTAAAGACCAACAAAAGTTATTTTTACTTAATAGTCTAACGCCTTTTAATATCTTCAAAACTCTGCAATGTTTTGGTAAGTGTTTAACAGAAATCAGATTTATATGGATCGGATTCCAGAAGTTTGCCTATTATTGCTTAAATGTTTGTTGCTGCCCAAGCTTTTGATAAGGTTATTGCATCTAAGCTATTATCGAAATATCCCTGACCGTAACTCACTTGCGTTGTTCTTGTTCTTGTCCAGCGTCGTCGTGGCATTGTTGTGCAACAACGGGGATGCTACTGGCGCCGTCATTCCGCCCGGCGTCCTATGATTTTGCAGCGGCGTTGTGGGCGTTGTGGCTGGGGCCGCTGGCATGGGCATGATGGTCGGTTGCAGATCCTCGATGGGCCGCGTGTAGATGGATTTCGTTCGCTCCGGCCTAGAAGCCACCGGCGGAGGCGGCGGCTGCTGTTGCAACTGCTGCGGATGCGGATGCTGGGGCCCCAGCATATCGTCCTCGTTGGCGGATGAATGTTGCGACGTGGATGTGGAGGCTGTGTGGCCAACAAAGTTGTACGAGTGCGATTGACTGATGCCAATGTGATGCTGGTTGTTCTGGTGCAATGGCTGCTGCTGCTGCTGCTGTTGAAGGAGGTGCTGCTGCTGTTGGTAGTGGTTGCCCAGGATTTGGCCAGCGACAGCCACATTGTTGGCATTGGGTCCCAGAGTCATGCTGCCCAGCTGTACGCCTATCAGATTGCCACCGCTATTGGAGCCGTGCAGCTCGGAGTCCGTGGGTGTGCTGCTCGGACTGCTGCTGCTGACCCGACTGAGCGAAGAGCCTGTAAAATGCCAAGGTTCTCTATTAGCAAAGCAATACAATCACATTTGAATAGGACGCACTTGGAAGTTAACATTTATCTTGCATAAATTTTGGGAGTTAAATATTAATATTTATATTTTATTAATATTTATTATTAGACTGGCCACCGAGTTAAACTAGTTTAATTTCTTAAATATGTAAAGTGCCTATTGAATACTTCGGAAAGTACGCAAACGGTTTAAGTCCATAACAGTTTCGATTTGAGATAGTTGGAGCTTATTCTTGTAAGTATCTAAATTAACTAAGCAAATTATTAAACCTATCCAAATTCGTAATTCAGTATGTTGTTTAATCGAGTTTCTGTCCCACTTAATAAAATATGTGAGGAGACCAACCTGAATGCGTCGTAATGGCATTTGTCATATATTTTGAACTTGGCCTCTGTTTGGTTGTATTGTCGAACCATTTGAGCACATCCAGCACGGCCTGCGGATTCTTCTTCTGCTCCTGCTTGCTAATGTTCGAGTTCATCAGCAGACGCGCCCATGCCTCCGGCATGCCCTGCAAAAAGGCAACACATTAATTATTTTTAGAAATTTTTTTTAAATTAATACAATAACAGCGATAGGAGTACATCTAGAAGGCGACATGTAGGGGTTAATTCTTGGATTTTGGGTACAATGCACGGCCGATAATTTCTGATCGGGGGAATTATGAGAAGCCTGCGGCAAAAGGTATTTTAACTACTAATTCTAGACTGCATGTGTAGGTGTAATGTTGTATGGTCTAGTGTAGAAAAAGTGTGTACAAAGATATGAAAGGACCGATATTGACAAACAAAACTAAAACTATGAGTAACAACGGTCGAACTGACAAAGGAACACAGTGAACACTTTATTCAGAAACTAATGAAGGCAAGTTCCGAAGAGTTAGTCGTGGAGTTTACTTACTTTCATTGGCAGCTTGAAATAATAATGAATAGTAATCGATATAGAGCACGTATCGCGAGAGAAAGATATAAACAACATAATGTTTGTACAAGAACAGTGTATTACATATTGAGAGCGCAGAAACAAAACTAAAAGTAATAAGAAAAACTTTGGGTGAACAAGGGAGCAACCTTTTAATGACATTTATTAAAATTAAACCCAAAAAATTTGTTATTTGTTTGTTTTTGTTATTATACATTCATCTCGAATAACTACAAATTTTTATAATATTAGTGAACCGGACATTGCGCTTAAAAGAAAAAAATATTTTACTTTTTGTTATACTGAAAAATATTATTAATAATTTATCTGGAATTTATAATTTCTGACAAAAGGTATTAGGTTTAAGCGAGCGAGTTTTGAGTTTTTATCCAGCAAAATATTGTAAAACAAAAAGAATGCAGTGATTTTAAAACATCACGGGGTATTCGAAACACTTTTCTATTCAGTTTTTCATTTTTCTTTTCTAACTAAATCCTAACAAAAGCAGTAAAAATCAAGTCTTTTAATATAAGTTGCTACCGATCATCACCCAAAAATTTATCAAATGTACATATAGTCTGCAAACGAAACTTAAAGTCGTATGCTGGTGACTGTGTTTTTTGCATATCGATTTGTGGTAGAAAAGCTTATCAAATGGAGGACATAAGCAGCGAAAACCGAAGATCTTTGATTTGCTATTCTTAGACAGCAAATCGTAAACGTAATGGCGAGGCAAACACGACTGGGTATCCGGAAATGAACACAATATAGAACTCACGGTAAACTCGCCGGTGACAGCATCGAAGCCCACATGGACCGTGTGCTCAAAGTTCGTGGGATAGGAGATGTTCGGCTTGGAGTCCGTGTGCGAGGGCTTCGAGCCCTTGATCTTGCTCTTCAGTGTTTTCTTCTTGCGGTCCGAGTCGTCGGGTTCTTTTGGGGGAAAGAGAAAGAAGCACATTGTTAAGCGGACCAGCGGTGTCCACATGCCGTGTTAAACTAATCGAATCGTACTTACCCTTGGGCAGCGGACGCATGTCGGGCGGTACATCGCCACCTCCCAGTCCTCCGCCGCCGACGCCCACTCCTCCCCCCGCGGATCGTTCGATGCCTCCACGATTGCTGGTGAGACGCACGGGCGGCGCCGGCGGTTTGTCTTCCTCGCTGGACATGCCTCTGACTTTAGTGGTTAGCTCCTGCTTCCTCAGCCTCCGCTTAACTCAGCGCCCCTTTATGCACAGCTGTTCTAAGCCCAAAAAACAGCTGCAAAATGGGGAAGCAAACGATTATTTACTGAACGATTATTAATAACGTAAATACGATTAGTGCTTCCCTATTTTCAGAACTAAATCGTTTTGGCGCTTATTATAGAATCAGATAAAAAAGACAAGAAATTAAAACTAAATTAATTTGGTTATTTTAACAGACAATTAAAAATAATTGGTTTTATCGTGAAAAATGACATCATTAAATTCAAAAAAATAAAAATTACTAAGTTTTTCAAAACAGTGATGCTATCAAAAATAAATATGTATAACTTTTAAAAAGCTAAAATTTTGTTTATTTCAATTTCATTCCATCTATTCAGGAGTAACTTTCCTAATATTCACCGAATTCGAAAATAGAAGAAGGAAAAGTGATTTAATGTTAAAAGTATTTCCAGAGGTTCCAATCTTATGTTATCTATTGCGAAAAAGTGTATAGCACCTTATCTATCCATATATTTTTTCTGAGTTCCCCGCCCTATTGCAATCGCGTCATGTGTATGGTTCCGCAAAACTTAAAATTTGTCATACAACTACAAAAGATAAGTTGTTTACATATATTTCGCGGACAGCTAGGCAGCGAGTATTTCATAGAATTCGGCACAAAATTATACAACTTTGGCACTTTATTATTCTTTTTTTTTAAGCGATCTTCTCGAAGATCACGTCAAAACTGTGTGCTCCCGATTTTGTTGGCATGCGAAAAGCATTTTGTTTTGTTTTTTTAAAAATGGTGAAAAAACTAACAAAAAACACCCACACATACGAACACTCAGAGGCTGTTGCAGGAGAGGACAGATATAGCCGCAATTATAAATTTATCAATATGGGCCGTCCGGCGAACTAAATCCGACTGTGGGGCCTTTGCTCAGTGCTCGGCGGGTCTCTCTTTTTAGAGTGTCACTGCCACTAGAACAGCCGGCGAAAGCCAACAAACAACACTTATCGCACTAAGAGAACGGGCGCGAAGACCACAATACCCGAGAGACGCACAGTGCGTTAGAATTGATTTGATTAGTAGAAAGACCTGTTGTATTTTAAAATACGAGCATCCCGATGTAATGTTTCTCAACAAAAGTACTCTGAAATGTACTTAATAAATTTTAATATAAGTAACTTAATTCTGATCGATTTTCGATATTGGACAACCACTGTATGTTTGAAACACACTTTAACGGTATCAGTGGGTGCGCTCTGTCTCTGGTGCTCTTTCGCCCACACAAACGATCGAGAGCCATTAAGAATTCGTTGCGATAACAAGAGTGGCTCCGATTAACACTCGAAACAAAAAACAAAGGAGCTCACGCATTTGGACTTACAGCAACACGAAAGAGGAAATTAAACGCCGGGGACAACAACAACATAAACACACTCGTGTGGGCGGCAGCGCAGCCAAACATATGACCACAGAGAGAAAAAGGAGTGGGAGAGTAAGAGAGAGCACGGTAAGGCGACGTTGGCGCCTGTCTGCTTTTGCCGGCGACGTCGACTGCGCTGCTTTTATGATTCATTTATCAACGTCAGGGCGTTAAGAGTCAATGCAACTGACGTGAGAGGGGAAGAGGGGAGGGGGAGAAGTGTGAAAACTCAGGCCAAACAACTACATCCAGTACCAACAGCTGAGGTCAACATAACAGATAAATTATAAGGATTTGCTAAATCTATGTTTAAATATATTTAATATATTTGAACTGCTTATTTAAGAAATAAATAAGTGTAACTCTTATCGATTCATTGCTTTTACGAACATTTACTTAACAAACACTTAACAGTATATTACAACATTCAATAATATAAATATACATGTTTTTGGTTAAATTATAATAAAACTGCGAACAAGAACAAATTTTTTAGAAATATGTATAATCTTGACCGCCACCGTATCTGTACTATCTTTTTTGTTGTTATTTGTAGGTTTGTTGGCCGCTTGCCGAGAGATCTAGACATACATATGTATATATATGTATTTATATATGTATATACATGCAAAGGTAGGAATTCGTTTTTAGATCATACAACAACAAACTTTTCGGGAACGTGTGGGCGGCCAGAATTAGGTTAATGGTGTACCGCATTGTGTTCGATTTTTTTTGTTGGTCGAACTTCAGGTAAAATCAATAAAATAAATGTTTTTTTTTCTGCAGGGCGCAATGCAAAATATTTCCCTAATGAGCAAAACACACATAGGCACAGGAAACTCGACAACACTTGCGGCATTTAAATTAGCGACAGGGGTTGTAAGAGGAGGAGGCCGGAAAAGGGGAAGACTTTCCAAGTGGCGCAGGCATAGGTGCATGTTGCAACAACAGCAACAAAACCATGGCGCTTGCTCCAAGAGCTGAAAGAAGCCACAAACATATGCAGACTTTTTTGCTCCGTTTATGCGAACTGAGAGTTCACGATACTAAAGGAAAGTTCTCGATAGAAAGTGAAGAATATTAACGCTATTTTGAGTTCCAGCGCATTCAGAACATTTAAAACGCTAAATCAGTGATTGCAACTTTTTTATCTACTAATGATGCGATTTGAAGTAGCCATTATATAGTCTAAACATTGAACCAAATATAGAATACAAACAAGGGGATTTTCCAAGTTTTAAAAATATTTGTATCCAGTATGCAATACAAGCTTTTTATCTTTGTGCGTTTATTTCTAAAATTTATTTTACTATCTGACTATTTTACTTGAATGTAGGTTTAGCAGCACTTGTAATGGGCTTGGATTTACAAGTTTTTTCATACATGCGTATTATATACACATAGTTCAACCTATAAAGACTTCAATTAGCAGAAGAATCCGTCCTTCCTTTAACCAATTAATTTCGAATTCTTGATCAGACAGCACGGTATAGTTTTAAGAAAGAAGTATTTAAACACAAATCTGGCACCACTTCGCGAGTTCTCAAGGCATAACCGCTCTCGACTCTGCCGCGGCGACGTTGTCTATTTTGGTTGCGGACGCCAGCCGAAAGCAGCAGGCGGAAATGTTATGCCTTTTATATTCCTCTTTTCAGTTCCCTTCTTGGTCCACTTCCCCCCGCCCCACTCTTCCGCATTTACCTGTGACCGTGCTAAGCAAATATGTTTTTCCTCGAGGATGGTGGCGTGGAAGGGGAAGGTGTGGGGGGCACTGGACATGTGCCGTTAGGACGCTAACTGTTAAATGCCAAATCGACTGCGAAATGTTGTTAGTGCTTTATGTAAATGTCTTGTCTTGTTTTGTCACGTGTGAGGGTTGCGGGGGAGTGGGAGGGGCAGGCTGTTGACATTTGCCTGTTTTATTTTTATGCTGGAAAAACGGGAGCAGCATTGCGTTAATCCCAAATAATGTGGCATGAAAACCACTTGAAACGTTTATCTTTAATCCACACACACACACAAATAAGTTGGAAAAATCAATGTGTGCAACCTCCTGAGCCTGTGTGCGTGTCTCTGCATTGGAAGCCAAACCAATTGGACTAACGGTGCACTCTCTTTTTATGAATGAAACTCCCTCGCCCCGCTCTCCACCTGTTCCCCCCATTCCCCCACCCCATCTTTCTCCACTTCAACTCACTGCAGGTACATATGCCTTGGCTTCTTTTCTTTTTGCACGGTTCACCCTGTACACCGCTTGCAGTCGAAGCAACGCTTGGGATTTAAGGCTTGGACTGGACCCGATTTTTCTTTTCCCACTGGCTCTTGGAGTTTTCCGAGCTCGCAACACTGCACCGCACACTGGCACACACGTCAAACACACACACGCACTCAGTATTGTTTTTCCGTTTTTCTGGTGTGTGTCTTAATGGCCGACAGAGGAGAAGTTCAAGCAGCAGGAAGAGCCAACAACTGTTTCCCGCATAAAAACGTTCTAGCTTCTTATCTCTTTAGGCAACACGCGCGCATTTCGGGCCCTCGGTTTGGTTTACCAACTATCAAGTTTACATTATATACGGATTGGTTAAAAACGAAAAATAATTACAGAAAGACGGCCGCAGCAGACAATATAGCGATGGCAAAAAGATGTTAATACATCGATATAACAAAAAGGAACGAGTATTTTTATCTCGTGATTTTCACTACTTATCGATAAGTTTTGGTATTTTAAGATGGGCACTTCAAAATTTTAAGATTTTAAGTTTTCCTTAAAATGTAAGTTTAATATCTTAGCATATATTAATATTAATATATATTAATATGGGAAAATACTTTTAAAAATTTTGGACTTTAAATTTTGAACCTAAATAAAAAAGGAAGGTGTAAATAACAATTTAAATTTAAGCGTTTCGAAAATGTTAAAAATGAACAGTATAACTACAACAGCTGGTGAGCAACAAAAGACAACCCAACTTTATTTTCAAAATCAGTAAAATTAAAAACGTTTGTTTAAAAAAATGTTTCGTTGGTCTCTTTGTTTTTTTTACCTATCTCATAAATTTAATTAAAAACAAAAGTCCTTCAAACTGCTTTTCCAGGTAAAAGCTGATATCATACATTTTTCTATATTCCAATTGCACGGGTATAAGAGCTTATTAATGCTTTTTATGCAATTAAAATTATTTTTCAGGAGATTTTTCGGTTAAACTACCTTAAAACCGCTGGCGATTTGGTATCTCTACATTCCTTCTAAAACAATCTTTTTGTGGTAATTACAACATTTATTAAACTTAAGCCTAAAGTGTTTTCAGTATGTCCCTAACCACTGTGCGAAACATACAGGACAATGCACAGTCGAAGCGTCGCAAGCTGAGTTGCCTCAGACCAAGAAGGAGCTGTCCAAACCGCAAATAATTTGATTGCTGCAGGGTGTAACGTGCCAAGGAAACCAAGGCGGCGTTTGAGTGACTTCCTAGGATAAGGGCGTACTCCTCACTAATGGCCAGTTCTGAAAATTATATTTTAGGATTAATATATAATTATGGAAAGGGTTTTCAAAAAAATTTTTTCAACTAAAGCCAACGTTAAAATTAATTCAAGGTCCCCAAACGATTTAAAAAAAGGATGGCTTTAAATATGAAATCAAAGACTTCACAGTTTTTGTAAAACCGATGGTATTGCTCAATAAATTTGAATCGAAGTCCATAAAACAATGGCTCAGGAAACTGTTTTTTAAACAACAAACAACATCCGTTTTTTAATATCGCAATCAAAACTTAAAAATCAAACCAATGTTTTATTGACAATCTATCTGATAACGATATGATTATAAAGGAACATAAAAAGTCTGTTAAAGACTAAGTTTTTTAAAAGCCTAATCTTTATCAGTTTTCAAGGTACTAAAGTCATTTAGAATTTGACTTGGTGTGATGTTGGAAAACATATAAACTACGAGAAGTTTGATTTGTCTTGCTTTTCTAATAGCCTTACCTTTTCTGCAGAGGATTAGGGACTCCAGAAAGTTGAGCTCCAGCACGTCGGCCTTCAACTGTTGGGCGTCGAAGATGAGGCGCTTGAGTTGCTCATCGCCGCATCCTTCGATCATGCCACTGATGTCCAAGGACCAGTGGGATGCCCGCAGGACAAAGATCTCGCCCCACACCACCTGCAGGATGGCGTCCTGCTGGCTGCGGTCCAGGAGGGCGAACTGCTCGTTGCACTTCGCTTGTCGTAGGCAGGTGACGAGGATCTGGGCAAGAATCTGGAAGTGTATAGCCTGGGAGTGGGGCGTGGGCGACGAAGCTGGCAAGGATTGCGGCGGAGGCCGCCGGGAGTTCCGGTAGAGCGTCACCTGCTGGTTCCTTGGACCGCGCTCCTCCTGCACGGCGGCGGCGTTCATTCCGACGGCCAGACAGCGCTGGAAGCGGCAGGAGGGGCACCAGTTCCTCCGCGCCTTGTCCACCACACAATTCCTGGCGAGGGCGATGCAGGAGTAGCTGCTGCCCCGCCTTACGCTCCGCTTAAAGAAGCACGAGCAGCCGTCGCAGCAGGACACGCCGTAGTGCTTCCCGGAACTCTGATCGCCGCACACTGCGCAGTCACTGAAGCTCGACATGGTCACCTGAGGGTCGCGCCGAACTGAGTCGGGTCCTTCAGGATATTGGCAGTTTTATACGCGGCCGGGATGTCCCATACCCGCAAATGATATGCAAACCACCTACACATTAAAAAGAAGTTGTAATAGCTTAACAATAGCTTTTACTTAACACAGAGCAAAACAATAAGATTGAGTTCAAAATTTGTTCAGAGATTTATAGAGTGGGCATAACAGCTTAGGTCTTGTCAGGAAATTAACAAATAAAATAATATTAATAATAAATAATAGCTCTAGGATTAAAACAATATGGAGTTAGATTACATTTCACACATTCATTTTCCCCAGTGTAGGAGTGCATTGTGCTTAAGCGTGATTCGAGGATTTTTGTTTGCCCGAGACGCTCCTGGCAGAAGGCGTTGCCCGTCAAAAGTGACAATCATCTACTGCGATTGCGGAGCGTGTTAACAATTTGTAAACAATTATTGTTTTGCTCTGTGATTGGACGCGCGCTAGCCACTTGAAGTGTCCAAGCTGATGTCCTTTTTTGCTGACATTCCGAGTAAACACTGTAGACGTTCTTGGGTGGAAAACTGAATGGGGTTGGGTTTACTTGGTTTGCGTTCCGCGACTCTGACAAACTGTTTAATTAAAGTTAAGTCACAGGTATTGTTTATTTCAGGGTAAATACAGCACTCCTGAGGGAGCCACGTTTAATTTCTAATTTATTTTATTCCTTTGTATAAGAATTTTGTCCTCATTCAAACTTTTTGTTTTCAGGATAATTTGAAAATTTTGGAATTATGTATAACTTTAATGCATTTTAACTTGATTTTACTAAATTCAATTTTTGTAAATATTAAACCAGCCAGAGATTATTCGGCAGCTCTCTAATTGCCCCTAACGAAGTTATCTGAAATAGATTAAATTTTTCTAGTTTTGGGTTTTAACATATTTACATACATAAATTTTTGCATAAGTGGACGCATTTGGTTAGCACAAATACTGACGTTTTCATCAACATCAGGAGATAAGTAAATGCTGGTAAAATAGCTTTCAAATTATTATCAAATAAAATTTATAAAGTATTATTTTTAAAGGATCCTAATTAAGTTGGTGTTCGATGTATTTGTGCCTGGTTGGCATTCTAATACAGTTATAAGTTTGTTTTATCTCTTCTTTCAGGGTGCACATAAAAAACATCAGATAAAACACAGCATAACCAATTCAAAATTTGTTGCCTTTCGCGTCTGGTCGTCGCTCAAAGTACAACGTATCCCCCACAAAATCTTAAAAACAACAACAGGTTTGTACATTCAACAGGTCAGAAAAGTTTTTCAACTACAGTCAACTGTTTTTATTTGGGCACTCTTGTTTAGAGTTTGATGGCCTTGCCAGCAGGACCACATTCTCCAGAGTCACATCCCTCGGAACGTAGAACTTCAGCTCTGCCTGATATCCGTGGGATCGCAGGTATTCCAGTCGTCCGTAATCCAACACCCGCTTGCACTGGTGACCAATCTTTTCGCGCTCCTCGCGACTTAGTCGTTGGGTGTTCGTCTCCGCAGTCTGGTCGTCCGCCGTTTCCATGGCCTTGCGCCGCTCGCGACTTAAGCCAGTGCCGCAAACCGCCCAACTGACCATTTTGGTTAGGATGGCGAATTCCCTTGCCCCGATTCCGGACTTTTCAAGAAAGTACCGTCCCACATAGGAGCGCCACGAGCAGCGATGATGGCAGCAGAGGGCGATTAGGACGTAGTCTGTCGTGGCACCTTCATCACCTAGCATACACCTGATTGTTAAATCGGTGGCTGCTCCACAGAGATGCTTCGACAGGGCCACCGTTCGTTGTGTTTTCTTTAACTCCGGCAAAGCGGAAAGTTTTAAATCGGCAATATCCGCCCGGATGCGTTGCACCAGTTCCTTGTTGGCCACCTTGTTGTCCTTTTTGTGCCGCAAAGACATCCGATCGATGAGGATCACCTGGGAGTGAGTCAGTTGCTGAGCCTCCAAAACAGTTGCTAAATAGAACGCCAATTGACCTTTTCCTGCACCGAACTCCACGTAGCTAGTGTGATCAGTAAGCTGATGATCCTTCTCTAAGATGCCCAGCAAGCTGGAGGCTTGAGTGAGCTGTCGTAGCGTTTCTTGGCCGTAGTCCTTGCGATTCAGTTCCTCCTTCAGCGATTCGTGCGTCAGCTGGAGTTCTTTTATGCTAGAATTAATGTGCTTATCATAAAGTTCTTTCACTTTGTCGATCAACCCGTAGAACTCTTTATCAGACAGTTCGTGAAGTTTTATTTGATTCAGTTCCTCTAGGTCCTTTTGTTGCTCCTTTAAATCCTCTCCTGAATTTACTCCTTTGACAATGTAAGGCAGTGAGCTTTCCTGATCTCTTGCATTGCAAATGGTCAAGTGTTTCGCTAGCTTTCTTTTGAAGACGGTGTGTTTGGGATCCAGCGGGCAGGGAATTCGATCTTGGTGGGAATCCTCACCAGATTTTTCATCCGATGGGGCGACGGTGGGCGGTGCATGAGCGCCACAAAAGGGGCTGCCCTTATTGGCTGTCATCTTGCACCGGCGCTTCTTGCGTGGCACCCAGTAGGAACAGGTAGTGGCCTCAGTGTTTTCCTCCTCTTCAGCGTTCATCTTCGGCTTCTTGGCTTCAATTCGCCGATACTTCTTAAAATTAGGAAAACGAAACGTTCAATTCGTAACTCGTGTTAGGAGGTGTGACCGTATCCTACAAGACCTTAATTAGACCTCGTTTAAACCAGAGTCTTATCTGTATTTGTTTGATGACGCCAGTAAAAATGCTTCAAATTTATTAATAAATAAGTTGACTGTTATTGAATATTAAACAAACAAATATTTTTTTTTAAATAACACCTATCAATATATGATTAAAATATATGATTGCCCGTATATAAAATAAAATATACCAAGAAATATACCACAAAAAACTGTTTCCCACCGATAGTGTCGTCGCTAGCGTATCACCTCTAAAAAAACAAGCAAAGGAAAGAAGCCGCGCTAGAAAATATTTAGTGAATAGAAAACACAAAAACAACTGAAAAAAAAGAACAAAAAGACTTAACTGCATTTACAAACCCATTAATAAAGTCTGCCATGTAAGTACCACGAATAAGTACTGACCGACCAATCAGAAATGGCAAACGACCAGCGACATGTGCGCCGGCATTTTGGATTGTTTGTTGTACATTTGGAAAATTGGCGAGTTTTACTATACCCTTCTTAACTATAACCTTCCTTTTAGGGCTCTTGTGAAACCGAAATCGGAACTGACTCCGGAAGAGCTGGCCCGCCAGGAGGAGGAGGAGTTCAACACCGGCCCGCTGTCCGTGCTCACGCAGTCCGTGAAGAACAACACTCAGGTGCTCATCAACTGCCGCAACAACAAGAAGCTCTTGGGCAGGGTCAAAGCCTTTGATCGCCACTGCAACATGGTCCTGGAAAACGTCAAGGAAATGTGGACGGAGCTGCCGCGCACCGGGAAGGGCAAGAAGAAGGTGAAGCCCGTGAACAAGGACCGCTTCATATCGAAGATGTTCCTGCGTGGGGACTCCGTAATTCTTGTACTCAGAAATCCCCTGGCCACGGCGGCCGGGAAGTAGTCCACCATAGCGATAGCGTACAGTAATCAACAACCACCATCTACAGTTAATAAATTCGGAAAACGACTCCTTTTAAAAAGAAACCTGTGTCAACGGAATTTTCGCTGTGGTTACAAGCAAACTTTTCTAAAGCGATCAAGTATGGAATTTAGCTCCCAACTGTATAAAAAACCTAAAAAAGGGGTTTACCTTTAGCTAGATTGGAGGTATGGAAGGGCCTATAACTTTTTTACTAAACTTAAAAGTTAAATATATTGATAGTTCAAATGAAAATTGAATTTCAACCAATATAACAATTTGGTCATAGGACTAACACATTTAGCAGCAAAACTATATGTTTAAATATTTAAGAACTTGAACACACGGAGATAAATCTTATGGGCATCTTGATATTTCGATTGAACAATATCAGTTCCCAAATTATTTACAATCTTTTTAATCAAAAAAGGGTACTTGGTTTCACTTTATTTAATATTTTCCCCGTGACTGGAAATCCGTATAAAAAGTGCAGAGAAAAGAAAAATTAATTGGACGAAAGTTGTTGGTGCAGCAAGGGCACATAATCATCGTATTGGGCTTGGTAGAAAGTACCGGCGATGGGATTGCCGAGCTGGTGTTTTTCGGCAAACTTGGCTGCGCTAAATTTAGGTCGATCCTTTCGGGATTTATTGCTCACGCGCTCTTCGTCGAACTCCAGTTTTCCGGACTGCTTGTACAGCAGGAAGACGTAGCGATGCAGACCCGTTCCCTCGGGTGGACCCGAGCCAACATAACCGGCGATCTCCTCGCCGCTAGCCAAATCATTTCCAGCAATGTTGACCAGCACCCAGTGCTTGAATTCTCGGAACTTGGGGTTAGAACGACTGGGTGCATCAGGATCGGTCATGATGAGGGTGTAGAAGTCGCCGGGCTGTGCGTCCCACTCCACAATCGGCTGATCCTTAACCTGCGTGGGCGTTAGCTCCACTCCATCCTTGGCTACCAGGCCGTCCTTGTACGTAACCTGTGATTATAGAGATGTTTTAAAATTTTAATTGGCTTTTCATGGTCGGGTGCATTTGCATTGTTTTAACAATGAATATATACTTCCAATCCAATGACATAACCATTACTGGGACTACTATGAGCAACTGAAACACTTGTAGACTTAATGTCCTCGGTTTCGATTAAATATATCAGTCGTTATTGCAGCTGGTTTCCATTCTTTTATTGTAATTACTTTAATCAATAAAATACTTTATGTCAAAGTTAAAAGTTTAATGCCAACTCTTATAGATAAACTTTCTATTGATGCTTTTTATCCAACTAATTATACCTTTTACCTGTTTGTTGATGGCCCTACCTTTAATAACTGGTTTGGTGGCTCGGTAATCACATCGGGGACCACCTGATGACTCCTAAAAACCTCATCCACGGATTCAGCTTGGATGGACATCAAGCAGCTTATTAGTGGCAAGAAAACCAGCAGCATCTTGCAATAAGAAAATTATACCCGAAGATCGACAATCAAACTGGAGAAAAATAGATGTCAGCTCTCGAGCAAGGTTTGTTGAAAACTGAAACCAGTTTGCCGTGATGCCACATTTTTAAAACTAAGCAGAAAGCTTTTTATTTTTATCAACAGCTGAGCAAAAGTGTTCTCAGAACAGTAATTAATGATATATTTGCTTTAAGTCACGCTTGAAAGGAAACAGACGCATGCAACTGCAACTATTCACAGTTTTGTTTATCAAGTGATTAGTTATAGTAATTGGCTATTATTAAAAATATAATTCCCACAAAGTAACTATCATAGAACTTGCCTTATCTTTAATTCGCAATGCAACTATTCCAATTATTTTGTTGAGGTTATTTAAATATATTATATAATTACAATTTAGGTCAAGAAAAAAAATAAGTGTTTAGAAAATATGGAGGTAATATCAAATATAATTGTCCAGTTTAATTTACTGAATGCGTTTCTCAAGTAATTTATTTATTTTAGCAAACATTTTTTTACAGGAATATTTGTGTGAATTTCAAAACAGTAACAATAAAATAATAAACACTTTGTTTTGACATTGGCAACCTATTGTGGTATTATGAGGCTGATCTACTTCTTGCCGGATAGCTGTTTGTATAACTTGGGCACATAGTCGTCCCACTGGGCTTGAAAGAAGTTGCCGGCGATGGGATCCCCCAGCTTGTACTTGTTGATGAACTTCGATGTGCTGAAATTGGCTCGCTTGTCACCGGTCGTCTTTGGGATTTTGGGCTCGCTGCACGTGAGCTTCTGCGGCTGCTTGAAGACCACGAATACGTAGCGATGGAGCCCAGTGCCTTGTGGCGGACCAGAGCCCACATACGCGGTCAAAACCATACCGTTCTCCACTTGGTTGCCTGGAATATTGACCACCAGCCAGTGGTGCCACTCGCGGAACTTGGGATCCTTGCGACTGGGCGCATCCGGATCGGTGAGGATCAGCGTGTATAAGGCGTTTGGATCAGCATCCCACTCAACCTTTGGCTGATTCTGTACCTGTGTGGGGGTCAGCTCCCCGCCCATGTCCACCACCTGACCACCGTCGTAAGTCACCTGGAATCACATAACATGAAGGCACATTGCAGTTGTTAGTCGGCTAAACCTACCTTAAGCAAACTCGTGGGACATGTCTTCAAGATATCCGGAACGATCTTGTGCTTCGAAAAGCAAACGGTAGAATCGGCCATTTTTGGCTGAATGAATAAGAATTTAGACTAAATTAAAGACGTCGAAAAGTTTTATATTTGTTGCTCTTCGCCATCGACACTTTTCTCAAACACGATTTGATGGGAAGGGAAATATTTTTATTGTACTATTTTAAGTACATAATACAAAATTTTAAATAAGGCAAGCAAAAAAAAAAAATGGTAAAAGGTTGTTTATAAAGTTTTATTAATTTTTATTAAAAATATAATTTTATATATGTATGTATATGTATCTAATATCTAGCTTTATCAACGTAATATACACAAGGTTATTTTGCATTGCTCACTTAAGGGGTTATATCCAGTTGCGATTTTGAAAAAATCAAAATTTTTTTTTGCCTATTTTGAATGTAAATATATCTAAGAAGATTATCTGAAAATTTCAAAGTATTCCGGTAAATAGTATTGGAGTAATTAGTGTATTTGTAAAGACGTCTCCCATGTACAATAGTTCAACTAGTAGCCAAAACTTTAAATTCGTTTTTCTCGAAACTATGTCTTCAAAGTCGGTGAGGAAAATTTCTCAGAGACGGCTTGACCGATTGACTTGAAACTTTCACATTCTTTTCTTAGATATTTTTTTCAGGTAATGAGACTTGGAATTTTGGCTCCGACAAAAATTTCGATTTTTTTAGCCACTTCAAAGTTGAAATTTTTGTGCCAAAAACAAAGTTTTATGTTTGGGAAGCCGCCATTTTGTCAAAAATCAAAATTTTGAAAATCCCAAGTCTCATTACCAGCATTTGTCTATTCTTTACGTAATCCTTCTGGTTTTTTGTATTTCTGATCGTTTGGACCGGAGATATTTTCCTCACCGCAAAACCCTTTTTTGAAGTGGACCCTCGGGAGATACATTTTTTTTAAATGTATTCTAAAACTAGAACAAATTACCTATCTTTTCATATATAACACGTATACATACAATAAATAGCCTCTCCAAAAATAATTTTCAAAAAAGCTCATTTTTTTGGCCCCGCAACTGGATATAACCCCTTAAGAAGAATCACCAAGAATTTTCAACATTAAATCCATGGTTTTGAATGCCATATCAGCATAATTTTTTTTTTTTAATTATTTATTAAGTGAAGAAAGTACCTTAACAACACAGGGGTAGTAAATAAAAAAAAAATAAACCAAACCTCAACTTAAATATGAAAATTACATAAATATGACCCTATTGGCGCCTTATTGTTTTGGCAAAGCCTTGTCAGTTAATGTTTTTTTTTAAAGAGCTTACATCGGTTTAATAACTATAAATAAATTTGCAACTGCCCAAATAAATATAACATAATAAAAAATAATCTCACATAGGTTGATTTTTATTAGTATGTAAACCATTCACTCATGTTAATAATAGTAAGCCTTGTGGGAGCCGGGTGATACGATTTTCGTGAGCGCTGGCACATCGGTATTCCAGCTGGCGGTGAAAAAGTTCCCAGCCACGGGATACCCCAGTCTATATTTCTTCGCAAAGTCTTTGACCGTGAACCCATTGCGTCCCCTAACGGAGTGCTTGGGCAGCTTTGGGAAGGAGAACTTGGTGTAGTCCCGCTGCCTGTAGAGCAGGAAGATAAACCGGTGGGTTCCGGTCCCCGCCAGCGGAGCGGCTCCCATATACCCCACTCGCACGTCGCCGAGGGGCAGATGATTGCCGGGGATGTTCAGCACCATCCAGTGCAGGAACTCCCGGTGCGTGGGCGTCACTACGTTGGGCACATCCGGATCCACCATCAGCAGTGTATAGTAGTTTTCCGGTTCCGAGGGCCATTTCAAGGCGGGTTCGTCGCGCACTTCCATCGGCTCCAGTGGCTTTCCACTATGTGCTATTACATTGCCGTGGTATGTGACCTTTGTAAAGACAAGGGAAACGTTTACTTAAAGTAACCCAAAAGCTTGTTCTATTGATGTTTGCTTTCTTTAAACAGATTGGCAGACTAAGCGACTTTAGGAACCATTTAAATATAAAGTGTTGCATACACATCGGCGTTATATGTACCCATAACATATATATATACACATTCTGAAAACTTTCTTAAATCATTGCTGTTGGCAATGTTTAAAATGTTTGAAATTATTACATTTATTATTTATTTTCTCTTTAATAAACTTTCGGATCGTGAAACCTTTACGTTTATAAACGATTCAGCTGATTATGAAAGCTTTTAACGTCTTTAAATTGAATTTAAAATTGAGCTGAGTTTAAAGTTCTTATTAGGTAATTTTGTTCTTTCTGTCACCGCTATATGACATTAATTTTTTGCTTACTTACATTAAGGAACTCCTGCGGACCGATCTCGATCACGTCTGGTATAACATCCATTGTCCTCATGATCTTGCTGACTTGCGTATCCGACTGATGATCTCCCCTGATTTGCCTCAGACTGAAACTCAGATCGAAGCTGAAGAGAAGAACAACCAACAGGATAAACAGCATTGTGTAGAAACTCTATGACTGACTGAGGATCTGATTCTTGCTGCCCTTAAATACTAAGTCCGTCTAGCAATTGAATTCTACCTGGCCAATTGGCCAAAACAGCTGTTAGTACCAAATGGTTTGGCCATTCGCGCTGGGCTCCTAAAACATCATAAAGTAAACTGTCGTGATGCCGGCCAATTAGAAGTTTACTACCACCACCCACAGCAATTGCGTGTTGGCGGATTCTAATAACATGCAATACGATATCAGTTAGTACCTCGTTTAGTTGACAGACTATTAAGCTAAGTGCCGCTGACTCTTTTACATGCAAATCTGGAATACACTTTTTTTTGCAGGGTATAGTTAGTTGGCCAACTGTAATTTGGGAATTTTTACAATGTTTAACATTAAAAACATTAACAAACTGTTTGAAAGTAAGTTTTTTTGCTTTTGTAAGTCAATAAACTTAAAAAAAATTAGAAAATAATAAAGGTCAAATCAAAAATGGAATCTCTAAAAACTTTCACTATTTCTTAAAGTATTCTGCGGTATGCAAACTAATTAACTGATAAATATCGAGCCGAAGGCCTTAGCTGCTATGGCTCTTAACCATAAGTTAGCTCTTAGTTTATAACTATTTGTTAGCTTTAGATAAATAAATAAATAAATAAACTGATAAATATTTAAAAAAAAGGAAAAACTACAATAAATCAATTTTTCCCCTTTCCCTAAGAAAATATAATATTATTGTAAGTGCATATTAAATTCATTGTAGAATCTTTTGGTTAAATTCAATTAAATAAATAAAACCCAATCTTAGTAAACACGAAACCCCTTAAGCAAAGAACGAGTGCAAGGCATGTTTTAAATTTTTGCATTTTTAATAAATTAAATAAATATTAATTCAATTCAGTTTGATTTTTTGGTCGATTTGTGACGAAGAGGCGAAGGCAAAAAGACAAAAAGGGAGAGTGAAGAAAGATGGTATGAGAGGGGGAAAATCAGGCTAAGTGGGGGAGTGGTAACAGCTGAAGAATGGCTAAAACTCTCGCGTGCTTAACCCTTAACGACTACAATTATGGCCTGGGCAGGTTCCGGTTCCATTTGGTCTGTGCGACTCGCAGCGATCCCTCCCTCGGGAAGGACCACGAATGTCCTTGGTATGTACAATGCGGTGAATGGCTTTCCCCTTGCTTAGGAGGACGAGCTGTAGCTGGACGAAGAGCCCGAGGATCCCGACGAGGAGCCCGAGGAGTACGACGACGAGCTGCTGGGGTGGTACGAGCTGTAGGCAAGGTTCTGCGAGTCCCAACGGGCATAGGGTCCTCCGCTCATGGGCTCCCAGCTGCTGGGATCGTACGAGGAGGCCGTGGTGCTGGGAACGCCGTATTCGCTGGCTGGAACTGGAGCGGGCATGGGCACCATGTTCATCTTCATGCCACCGAGCTTCTGGATGAGGTTGTAGATCAGGAAGCCGAGCACCAGCTTAATGGCGATCTTGGACAGGATCAGAGCCTTGGTGGCCTTCAGACCGATCAGAGCCAGCAGGATGGGCATGATCACCTTCAACTTGATCTTCATCAGCAGCAGCAGGGGCAGGAACAGCTTGTCCTTGTTCTTCTTCTCAGCACGACCTGGGGAACCACTTTTAAATTAGCATATATTAAGAGTAAATTTCGCATGATTACTGACCCTCATCCTTGGGCAGTTCCAGGTCGAATCCGCGGTCCGAGCGATAGGTCATCACGGAGCCGGCGAAGAAGGTCTGCGGCAGCTGCAGCCGCATCTCGTTGGTGTTCAGAATGCGACCCAGGCGGTCCACGATGACCTTGTCGATGACGTCGTCGCTCAGGGCACGACCACTGACCTCCTCCTCCTCCACGTTGGCCACCACGTCCAGGTAGCTGAGCACCTTCTCCTTGAGGCAATGCATGGCATTGGCATGGAAGCACTTATCCACAATGGTCGAGATCAGCTCGTCGGAGCTGTGGATGCGCGGGGTCACCGCGTTCTCGATGGCGGCTCCGGACACGGAAGATGAGGCCACCAGCAGCAGGGCACAGCCGATCGCGAGCAAGGACGAGAAGCGGGAAGCCATTGTGTTTGCAGTCGAGTTAATCACTATCTAATATGGATTCCACACTACCAGAGCGCGTAGTGTTCACTGTGGAGTCGATGCGACGACAATGTTGGGTGATTTGCCGATCGGTTCGGGTTTTATACTGCCGCTCCCCGAGAGCGCCAAAGAGACCCGCGCTGGTTTTTTGGAGTGCACAATTTGCTTTTGGACAGCCCGGCGCACCAAGTGACGAGCGACGAAAGTCAAGCCGCGGCCAAGTCCACGGAAAGCAAGTGGCCAAAGTTTTTCACCAAAAAAAAAAAGTGAAAAAGAAAACAAGAACACTGTGGGGGAGGGTAACGAATATTTGATACCTCTTTTTCAGGACACTGCTTTTCATATCTATCTAAATATATCTAAATATATTCAGTTGTTAAAGATTAAAGGTTAATAAAACACAATAGTACATATCAAATGTATACGTACTGATATCCAAAGAATTGTTTTTAAAGTTGATATAACGATTATTTAAAGGACTAAGGCCTAAAGACTCATAAATCATGCCATAACTTGGGATGTGGGTAGAAAGATAAAAAGTATAAAAACATAGATCCAAAAATAAAATAATTACGGTATTAAAAACTTGAATTTCATTTACATTGGGAGGGTCAGGGTGAGTATAAATGAATTGAAAGAATTTATCATTGTATAAAAGAAAAGCCTCTAATCTGAATTTTTACTGCTTAAGATATCGGGTTAACTTTTGCAAATGAACGAATTGGAAATGGTTACCTTTTTTCTGGATTCCTGCGAAGTTCATTACTCAAGTATCAATCGATAATACGTCATTCAAAGTTCAATATACCCTTGCCCTTTTCAAATACCCAGCCCCAAAACAGTAGCCTCTCCTCTGTTAACTGGGTTGCCGTTGCCCCCCAAGCTTTCTCGCTTTCCATATCGGCCTCAGACACCTAACCCATCTAACCCTCCCACCAGCCACCAGCCAAAGTTGCATTATTGACGCCTCGATGGAAATAACTTTTGTTGGCCATTAGTATGCAGGTCCATTACTCTTACGCGACCGTCCGCAAGAAAGCCGAATCGAAGACACGTACATACTTTGGCGTATTGTGTCAAATTTCGATACAAGAAATCAGTACGGAACTCAACTTCGATTTGGTATTGACTCCTCAGTGGACTTGATACGTTTTTTGTAGGCGGAACTGCGGCTTCGATTTCGCATCGCCTTCAATTATTATTTTGTTTGCTTTTCTTCCGATTACGAAATAGATTTTCGTTTTTATTTGTGCCACATCTATTTGGATGACACACTTTTTAATAATTAACATAAACTGAAGTTCCTGTCCATATTTGTCTTTAAATTTTAATGAAAGTTGTAATCATTAAGTCGAGAATTTAATACTATTATACAATTTCATAAAGGGTTGGTGGCAAGAATTAACCTAACTTAATAAACTCTAATATTATCTACCTCGTGGTTTCCTGCTTAAATTTAAAACAAGATAAAAAGGATTGTAATTTTATTAGTTCTCTTAGCTTTGCTATATTTAATTGTAAACTAAGAATAAGGATATAAGGCGGTTTCTTTTAACTGCTTTGCATTCTTCAACACGAAGAATTCCAAAAGATTTTTATTTTGCGACTGAAAATTTCAAAACAAACTTGGTTGTGATTCAAACACTAGATCGAATTTTTGAAAAACGCCAGCAGATTATGCAAGTAACATCTCTACTTCGCCTGCCAAAATCAACGAAATCATCATAGATTATCTAATCGTCAGTTTAAATAATTCAAAAGGTGTATTTGCCTTGTTTATTTCACCGACAGGTTATTTTATGTGTAACACCCGCATCCTACGATAAAAGAAATTGGACAGCTTAATTTTTATTTCACTAGCGCCACACTTTGCTTGGTTCGTGCCAAAAAAATCAGTTGAATGTTTTATTCGCTGCGATAAATTTCCATAAGCTCGTGTCTTGGCTTCAACTCGATGTTTGTGATGCTCGTGATGATGTGTGGTTGTATGTTGACCAGCGATTATGAAAGCGCCGCCACCTGTTCAGGTGTGAACACAAACCACCGGAATCCTTGTTCAAACTCCGGTTCACTCGCCTGACAAATTGGCTTAAATTCTGTGAAAATTGCCAGCAGCGAAAGGCCAGTGCCCGAAAATGCCTATGTTAAGCCAATTTTCACACTTTGTTTGCTCCCTGAACACACATGCGCTGAAAATTGGTGCTTGACCCTCCTAGAATTTCATTTGGGCCCAATGAAATGTGTGCATATTATCTTATGCATAAAGCGAAAATAAAATAAATATATTTGCATAAAAATACATACCAATTTTTTCCAAGGAAGTAATTGAAAAGCATGACTTTGCAACATATTTTTAATAAATTTATTTTTGTGAGATAATTTAAAATAATACAAAAATAAAAACCATTTAATATAAAATTTAAAAACAGTCCTTTTTATTATTGTTACCGATCAAAAAATACCTTATAAATCTACTGATTTCTTGCATAAAGTTTTTACTCAATTTAATGCAACGAGATGTTTCAATTTTAACTAACTTTTTATAACTCAGACATAAATTGAGGAGCATTAAAAATCTAGAAATTTCTTTCGGCAGCGCTTTTGCTTCAGCGGTGCAATTTGTCGAAATCAAAAAGATTGTCCTTTGTGGCGCATTTTTAATAAAATTCCTGCGAAGACCTTCTCGGTGCACTTGAGCGTAATCAAAGCTGAGGCCGACATTCATGACAAGGATTTATTTGTGAGTTTTCAATTTATATTTGGGCCACCCATCGATTTGTGTCTGTTGCCAGACATATGCCTCAGTGAGCGGCATTCAGGACAAAAATGTCCCTGATCTATTGGCCCTCGCTTCTTTCTTGTGGGCGAAAGAATATAGAAAGACTTTCACTCTCCGACGCCTGGCAACTTTCGCACAAGTGAAATGAGGAAATTTCAATTTAAATGCTTAAATTATATGCAGTTAATCAATTTAATCGACTCTTCCAGCCAAGCCTAAAAAGCGACTTGAGTTGAATATTTAATTAGATTTTCTGCCGTGGGTCGGCGTCTGCTGTGGATTAAATTTGGCTAATTAGGACACAATTGCTGTGCCGGCGATGGCTTATACATATTGCATGCCAAGTGAAATTGGCCGAGAATCCGAGAGCACTGCCGTGGGGTGGAAAGGTTAATTAGGCCTGTTGGCTTGAGCATTCAACCGGTGCGGTTTAAACCACTGGCTGTTTCCGCCAAACGCCATGAGGTTAATCTTTAATCTGGTCTTAAATGCTGACCTGCAGGAGCTCCATCAATAAATGATACATAATATAGCATATTCAAGGCATTTATTTTGCTACTTTATTTTGGTGCTTTGCTTCTCTGTGCTCCTAATCTCTTGTTTTCAATAAATAGTTAATAAATATTATAAGTAAAGTCTAAGGAAACGAGCAGCGCAGGGATTATGGCACAAAGTCACAGAATATTCCTAACAATTAACAGATGATTTTGTGCTTTTGTGACCACTTGTTGGCTTCAAGCTGCTCTGCTCCACTTGGTTCTCGGGGGATCTTCTGAGTGGCTTAAGCGTAGGCCTGGTAGGCCAGGGTTTGGGCCAACTTCTGGGGCTGCTCAACAACGGGGGCGGGAACAGAGCCAAAGGTGCGACCATCCCAAGGACCATGGGCGGTGATGTGGGCGGTGTGATGGTGATCATGCGCAATCTAAAGGGTAGATTACAAAACATATTTATAAATAATGATCTATATTCTATTATATAGATTATCTCTACTATATTTAATATATTAGATGCTAGTGTTGGTTGGGTTGTCAGTTTGGTGGTTTGGTTGGGAAGCGGGAGAGTGTGGGCGAGGATTCTGGCTCGACTTACCCTGCTGCTGCCGCCCTCTTGACTTCCTATACATACATACATGCACTACATACGACACTTAATTGCAATAAAGTTTGCTTCGAGCTCCACGCCCAACATCATCCCAACACACCAAACGCACACTAATTACCACATCCGGCGAATGCCTAGAAGACAATTGGAGAGGCGTTTTAATATCCTGGCCGGCTTACCTTTTTGCACAATTGGAAAATGGCCAAACCAACCGAGACAATGAAGGAGAAGAAGCCCAGAGCCAAGGCGTTGAAGGCCTTGATCTTCAGGATGCCAATGGCCATGGGGATCACGGTGATGGCCTTCAGCAGGATGAGCACCAGGATGGGCATGGCCAGCTTGCGGAGGCGGTGCTTCTTGCCTGTAAAATCAAAAGCGACTCAGTTTAGAATCTGATAAACAGTCTAAGAGGCAATTAGGCATGCGGAAAGTGAACCCACCCTTCTTGAAGATGTTGCCCTTCTTACCCCTGGCTTCTTCACCGGTGCTCTCGTCATCGTCGTTCAGCTGGAGGTTCAGGTTCAGCTGGTTGCTGGCCAGGTTGCGGGCCGAGACGGTGACCTTGGCGTCGGCCAAGGGCAAGTCCATGCTGACATCGTGTCCGCGGATATAGTTCTCAATGGCATCCACGAATCCATCGGCACTGCTGGCACGAGCTTCGCTGACTGGAGCGGTCTTTTGGCCATTGGAGCGCACCTCCAGGTTGGAAACCTATTTTAGTTATCATTCCGTTTTAGACAGTATTTTAAAAGGGATTAAAGAAGATTTTCTAATTCGCTATATGGATTCTATTTACCTTATTAAGATCATTAAATGAACTACTTTAATTTATTTTTGAAAATTTTTAAATTCAACACTAATTCTCTTTAAAGTATGAATCTTGTATCACAAATAGTAATTGTATTTAAACTCACCTGGAAGCTGTCTTTGCTCATCACATTGTCCACGAACCGCATGGCCCGCTCTTTGATGCAGGCCATCGAGTCTTGGCCGCTGGCGCACTTGCTCTGCTCCTCGGCGATGAGCCGCTGCAGCTGTTCGGTGGAGCTACCTGCCGCCTGTCCCATCGCCACGAGGGCCGCCACACCGATAATCACAAGGAGCAACTTGGCCATTTTGCTGTTTAGGTTGTTTGTTCAGGTTCGCCGCTGGTTAACACACAACTCGCCTCTGCGCTGGCACAATTGCGTTTAATAATCGTTTTTCTATTGTTCACGATTTTTATACTCACTGGATCTTTAACTCGTTCGCTGCCGAATGGCCGGACGAAAGAAATGGCCGGAGAAGACATGAATGAAGCGAGCGTCGACAGAGCCGCTCCAACTTTGTTGTTTTCGCCGTTTGTGTGCGTGCCTCGGCGCACCACGTGTCGTATGCTTAATGTGGCTTTATTTCCAACGCGTGCCGGCCGCATCCACGGGTTTTCTTTGTGGGTGGATCTCTGCATTCGAAAATAATTTCAAAAACAGTAAAATACACCTAGAATGTTATCTTTTTCTATTTTTTAGTATTCTTTTTATATTATTGTTTTAATATAGGTAAAATAATGTTACCCTTTTACCCTATCCACAATAATAAATCAACTTGTATACCACATTTTGTAAATAGACTTAGATATGACTTATTTTCAGAGGCCTTTAATTATTTATTTAAATACGAATGTAGAAGAGTATGAGAAGGTAAAAGGTTGAGTCTAAAAATGTATACCTAAATATAATAAACTACAGACAAATATTTAAAATCATAACATTATTGAAATTATGTTGCTACATTGCTGCGCTTAAATGTATGCACAGCATTTTGAACATCTTTTACATAAGTTAGGTTTTGTTTATAAAGTAAACCCGCTTTTAACTGAACTGTTCGCAAAGGTTTATTAACAGGTGTTGATTTGAACTTGATTCGAAAGTGTTTCCCAAATACTTTTTTCAAGTGTAGGAATACTATTCAACAGTTTGCTCTTACATAGATTTTGAAACGCCATTAAGAAAGCTAAGATGGGGAGTGACCCTTACCATTCACTGATTCAATTTGGTCACAATAAAACAGCCCCATACTTTTGGTAATTAGTTAGGTCCAACAAGAAAATGACGACTTTCTAGAAAAGGAAATACGAAACCTTCTTAAAGTTGTTGTCCCAAAGCAAACTTAACACACACTAATGACTAGGGAAAAGCAATTTCAGAAACTTTGCTGCAAACAGAATGTTACACTTGATTTATAAAAAAGTTCTTTAAGAAAAGGGAACAAGGTAAATAAAGTTGCGGACAAAGTATAAAAAGAAAGTTTGTAATAAGAATTTCGCATTCTTCTTTGTTTTCTTTCAGGTACTAAATGAGTGTTCCCCTGGCTCTTTAAAAAACTAAAATCGATTAGCGGGTCTTTAAAAAGTTTTAATTGACCGTTATCATAAAAATTCTTTACTGAATAAATAATGATCATAGGCTTTTAACAGGAGGCATTTGCAGGGACCTTTTGTGGTCGTAAACCGTTTATTGGCCACAAGAAACTAGCAATTAAAGTAACGCAACACATAATTTTATACAGCCGGTTCACGCCAAATTGCGCAAACTAATTACAGCACTCAAATCATAATAATAATTATTATTTTAATTGGGGAAGGAACATGGAAGCGGCTCAATGGACTTTGATTGGTCGGTGGCCAAACCGAGTGACCACCTACATGTCAATGAAATAGAAAGTGTTTTTCCTAAATGAAAGCGAAAGTGACATGTCCACCACCGTTCCTCCGAGTTATCCAAGTCATGCGCTGAATTTCGAAATACGGTTGAAATATGAATCTCGTGCATTGATTACGCGCGGTTCGCCATGAAAATTGATTTGATAGCGAGTCCAGTGTTTCGCTGCCATTTTTCGGTTTTCGATAGTGTCGTTTGGTCAAAAGTTTCACCATTTCATTGGCGAACAATTTGCCATTCTGGTCGCATTTCTTTTCGGAGCCAATGAAATTGGAAAACTTTTTCATATTCCAAATTGTTGCGTAGAAACGATGTCCAAGCGATGGCGGCCAAGTGCATGCCGTTAAATATAAATGAAGTGTCGTAGCTCAATGGTGTTATTGCTTTTCAATTTCAGGTTTTCGGTGTTGGATTCTCTTTTATTTTTGTTGGCGCCACTGCCATTTTGCATTGTTTCACGCCGACGCCGCCGACATTTTAGCTAGGAGATATGTGTTTGCGGCAGGCAGCTTTCCAACCATCTGCGTCAGGTGGTTCGGTGGTTTCGTTGGGCGGCTATTGGCAATTGATATGACCGCACCGCTGGCCATCGATTTTCTCTCTGCGATGGACAGAAGCCCAGCAAGTAAGAAAAGAATGCAATAAATACAATTTCCATATTGCTTTCAGGTTTATTTTGCTTCCTGTGGCGAGAGGAAATGAAATCTCCTGAAAGTATGCTATAAATAAAAGATAGTTATATGGGGTCATAATTGCATTTATTCAGAAATAACATTAAATTAAAAGAAATTCTTTGGTGAAATTGGTGATGTTAAAAAAACTCTGCACTCATTTTTAAAGACAATAAAAACAGATATTCTCGTTAAAGTGGAAGCAAATGTATAAAGCTCGTGCACCAGAAATAAAAATGCATTTGATATACGTACAAAGTATTTGCATGGAACTTTATCCCAAAGAAGCATTAACCTAAACACCCCTTTGAATTTGAATACGCAGGGTGCATGTGGGAAATAAGAAGCATTTTCTACCTGGAATATAAAGTGTGTGCATTCCATTTAAGGGTTTCTCAGTGGTTTTGCTCCCCCGCTGTTTTCACCTCCTTGCATGTATGTTGAATTCAACATAAAATCTCGTTGGCATTTTTATCAGGCACTTGGGAAAAGTTGCACTCGTTACTCTGTGGTGTTTAATTTGTTGGATTCTCCGGAGGAACTGTTGACGGATCTTCGTAAAAGGAAACTCCGCGCATTAGAAAAGTTTTCGGGTTAATTACCCATTTTTCCTGGGGTTGGCAAGACCCAAAAAGTCTTCAATTAGGCACATTTGGTTTGCATGCTTTTATTCAAGTAACATTTACGCAAAAGGACAGCAGAGCTAATTCCCACTCAGTACCTTTAAAACGCCTTGGGGTTTTATTTTTCTTTATGGTTCTTTGCTTTGTACACTTTTCAATAAATAAATAAATAAACAATACGCCGAGAGAGCCGTGCGTTTCAACTACTTAGCTTAGAGCGAAATAAATAAGGTTGCAGTTTGGCCAAATTTCGTAAGAAGGGTTTTGGTTTGTGGTCCACGGCTCACTTCTGACCCGCGTAGGCCAAGTCCTGGGCATCCTGCGGCTCCTGCGAGGATCGGGCCCAGGCATGGGGATCCCAGGCGGGCGAGGGGTGCTCCAGGTGCTCGATGTGCTCCACCGGCAGGTCCACGTGGTGGTCGATGTGGTGCTCCAGGTGGTGGTCGATGTGATGCGGCACAATGTGCTCGATGTGGTGCGGCACCACATGCTCGATGTGGTGGGGCACAACGTGCTCAATGTGGTGCGGTACCACATGGTCCACGTGGTGGGGGTAGTGCACCACCTCGTAGTTGACGATCTTGGGCTTGGCAATCTTGAAGATAACCAAGGCTCCAGACAGCACCAACGAGAGCAGACCCAAGGTCATGGCCTTCCAGGTCTTCAGGGCAATCAGGCCCAAAGCCAGTGGCACCAGCACAGTGGTCTTCAGTTTCAGGCCCAGCAGGAAGGGCAGAATCGCCTTGCGGATCATGCCTCGTCCTGGAAAAAATAACATAAGATTGGGTTTAGTATTCATTTTTTAGTTTGTTTTAAATATCAAGTAGAAAATCTTTGGTCCAATTTAATCTTGACCAACCTTACACTATAAATCTTTTAAATTTTTTATTGACCAGCATATTAACCTTAACCCAACTATGTCAACTAAGATGTATGCTAATATATTTATAAAAACCGATGAATGCTTTTGAATTTAAATTTCATTTATGCAGATAAGAGAAGTATTTGAAAGAAATTGAGAATTTAAATTTCAATTTTATAATTTAAATAATTACATTTTTGTTGGCGGGCTTAAATGGCAAGTAAAATTTAATTTGCACGTGTTTTCATAGCTCCCTAGCATGTTTGAAAGGGGAGGATGTAACTGGCAACTCTAGTATGGGTAATATTGAAAAATTTCAAATTTTCGAAGACTTTTATCACAGCTCAGCAAATGCAGTCAAGTTATTAATTATTTTTTTGCACTTTTATAATATGGTTTCATACACACCTTCATTGGCAGCTGCCAGAGGAATCACTCCACCCTGGGTGAGTGGGTTCGCCATGAGGAAGTCGGGCACCAGGGAGCGGGCCTCCGAGGAGCGGAAGTACTCGGGAGCCTGGATCCTCAGCGAGTGGCTGGCCAGATAGGCGTCGATGTCGTCCAAGAGGCGTTCCTCCGGGTTCATCGAGCGGGATTCCATCTTCTCCGCGGTGCGAACAATGGACAGGCGCTCGGTGATGCGCACCTCCGGCTGGCGGAGGGCAGAGTTGAACCACTGGAGGGCCTTGGGGCGGACGCAGGAGACGCTCAGGTCCTTCAGGCAGCCGTGGTACATATCGAGGGCCAGTTGGGTGGCGCTCTGGGGTGCCGACTGACCTTCGGTGGGGGCGGAGTGGGCGGCGGAGAGCGCCGCAAGGGCGACTATCAGACAGGCGGCGGTGCTCTTCATCCTGACGGCGGTTTATCCACAACTCTCTCTCTTTTCGGATCGGTGGTGCGCACGCGTTGGCCACTCAGCGGGTTATGCAAATGTCGCACGGGCACCGCTTGGTTTTTATACGGCGGTACTTTGCTAATTGAATTGCGTATGCCAGGTACGCACGGGCTCTTTTTCCACACTGCTTTGGGCTCCAGCTTTAGCGACCATTTCGCTTTGTTGTCAAAGTCATGGAAAGCGCAAGTTGACCACCTGAGTTTCACCTTTGTGCAGGTATGGCTCTAACTACTTCTGGCTTCTAATTCTATCTCTATTCCGATACTGCAGTATATTGGGTCAGACAAGCGTTTTATGAGCACGGTGTTCCCTTTGTCGGAGGAATCCATCATGACGATTTCCCGCATAATGCCCGGCATAATGTGCCGCACATAATTGAAAGTTATTCGATGGCTTCTTCTGCATCGACGGCCGGGGACTCCGCTCGTAAAATCAAGTGCCCAGCAATCCGAGTGCGTGCCTGGAAACCCAATTAGAATACGACTGGATATCTTTGAATACTGGCAGTCAATTGCACCTGCTGACCACTGGGTCAGAAACATAGATTTGCTCTTCATTGTGAAGCGAATAGCTTTGATTTCCTCCATACCTTTTTTCTTTATTACCAATTTGCTCTTATGTACATGCACAACATCAAAGATGCCACTTAAGTCATTTTAGCAGGAATTCCATTTGTTAGTTATTGAAGTGTGGGTTGAGTTTCGAAAAAATTCGTTATATGTATATACATTTTACTACTAACAGCTATAGTTGACCTTTGACCTTTTATACATATGTTTTCTGTAAACAGGATTTTATTGAATATTAAAACCAGCTAATGCCAACTAATTTAATATGAAATCTTATTAAAACAAAACAAACTAAACAATTAATGAAAAAGTATTAAAAAATGTCAGTAATTTTTTAAAATATTACTACTGTTATTACCAAAAATTGTTTTTTGAATTCGAAATTTGTGTTCAATTTTAACTAGGACCATAAGCCCTTTTCTTTATTTGTTTCTATAAGCTTCTTGTTCTGGAACAATATTAAAGATAGAAAGTTGTTTACAATATTAAGATGTTAATGTTGACTACGTGAAATTCTGCTTCAATCACTTTTTGATGGTAGAGACATGGTATTGAATATATACATACGTCAAACATGTCAATTTGCTATATAAAGGTTTACTCTGATACTTTTCAAGTTTTTCCCTTTAAGGCTATAATTATTTTATCATATCTTTGAGGGGAAATTCCAGTCAAAATGAAACTCGATCCAGATTTTTTTTTGGTCAGTGGACTAAATGATTTTATTATTTACTGGTTAATGGCGTATTTTATAACATCTTAATTATTCTTAACCAAATTTTTTTTTTGCTTTTTTACAAAAATATTTATGTTAAAATTTAAAAAAAACCTGTTAAAACTTAATGTTAGGAAATTCTGCTTCTAGTTATATGAGAGCAACAGAATAAATAAGTTATTTATGCAATGAGTAAAATTCTGTAAAGAGAAAAAAAAAAGAAAACACAAACCTCTCACAACAATCTCATGTCCTTGTGCTTCAAGAAGGTCAGCGGAGGTTGAAGTTTTTATACCCTTGCAGAGCAAAGGGTATTATAATTTCAGTCAGAAGTTTGCAACGCAGTGAAGGAGACACCTCAGACCCCATAAAGTATATATATTCTTGATCAGCATCACGATCAGAATCCAAATCCGTCTGTACGTCTGTCCGTCTGTCCGTCTGTCCGTCTGTCCGTCTGTCCGTCTGTCCGTCTGTCCGTCTGTCTGTCTGTCTGTCTGTCCGTCTGTCCGTCTGTCCGTCTGTCCGTCTGTCCGTCTGTCCGTCTGTCCGTCTGTCCGTCTGTCCTCCTGTCGGTTTCTATGTAAACTAGTCTCTCAGTTTTAAAGCTATCTCGCTGAAACTTTCCCAAAAGTTGTGTAGTTGTTGCACGCAGTATATAAGTCGGAACGGGCCGGATCGGGCGACTATATAGGATAGCTCCCATACGAGAGAATGAAATTAAAAATTCTAACTCCGTTGTTTTTGATCAGATCGACTTGATTCCTTCCAGATGGCGTTTTCTAACTGCTATTGAATTTCGGATTAAATTTTATCAAAATCGGATAACTCTATCATATAGCTGCCATAGGGGAGATCAAAAAATATATATATAAATAATGGAAAAAAAATTATAATGTCGTTGTTTTTAATGCCACGAGCATGATTTTTGGAACATCAAGTTATTGAAATACTCTTAAATCGAGAAAAAAAATTTCATAAAAATCGGAGTACTATATCATATAGCTGCCATAGGAAAGATCGAAAAATCTATATAGAAATAACGGAAATAAAATTTTGACATCGTTGTTTTTCATCAAACAATCATGATTTTTGGAATATAGAGTTTTCTAATGAGTCTTGAGTTACATATTAAATTTGATCAAAATCGGACGACTATATCATATAGCTGTCATATGAACAATATGGTAAATAATAGAAAAATCGTCATAGATTCGATGTTGTTAGCCTTTATGTATTTTGTTTGACATATTTAATGACTGCAAGGGTATATAAGCTTCGGCTTGCCGAAGCTAGCTTCCTTTCTTGTTTTTTTTAAATGTCTTATCATTAGAGTTAATTAACAGCGTTTAGAATGTAGAGCTCAACCAAAAAGTTTCGAATAGCGGAAATATTTGGGGGCCAAAATTAAGGCGAGCCCATTGAATATACATATAAGGGCAGAGTAGGAAACTTCGTGTCGAAGTACTTTGGCTGCTTTGGCATTTAATGAGCTGCCAATTTGGCAATCGGTGTTTTGATGTCAGTGCAGTTGGCTGGGCCCACGAACCTTAATGTCTTACTTACGCTTCCGCTCTTTGTTGTAATTTTTTGTTTTTATTTTGCCTTTGTTTTATGTTTGGGCAATAAGGAATTTTTGTGCTGGAAAAAAGTGAAAGCTTTGCCATTTGCGTGTTAATTGCGCCTGGAATTTACATAAATATTAATTTTAGATGAGTTCATGCTCGTCATGGAGACATCAAAGCCGCCCCCGACGCCGATACCCAGTGTAATAAATATATTTATGCAAATAGGTTGCTTTCCGTTACGACTGTTTGCCAGGAACAATTAGGCGACATATTGGAGCTCCATTCCTGCTGGGCCAAGAACGCCTTGATTTATGCAAGGAAAACGCGTTATTATTGAACCTGCTGGTCTGAGTGAATGATTTCCCAGCGTGAGTGTTCCAAATATAACCTGATTTAATATAAAAGCAGATTGCCCTGAGTCAGCTGAATTGATTTAAAGGCCATGCACCAGCTATCAAATAAGTGTACTTATTTATTCCATTTTATGCCAAGGCCCCAGGTCAATTTGAGTTGGCACATTAATATTTTACGAGTAACTTTATTCGAAACTGACTTCGATTAATATACGAAGGATTCAATAAATAAACGAGTCTGTTGAGATTATCAATCATGTTTGTCTCTGGGAAATTCTAAGTTTTAATGCTTTCAAAACATTTATTTAACAAATTAAATATTTTCAGCTTGCTAACAAATATACACTATTAAATTGCTTTTGCCGACAGTTGAGTTACAAATGTAGGAATTAAAATGTGTAACTTCTATTTCAGCACCTCTTTTGAAATTATAAAAGAATATTGAATTTTTGTTTAGTGTTATTTCAACCTAATGTGAAATAATCAAAATCATACAAGTAGGTATAACACAATTTCAATTTATTTTTCATTTTATGTGTTGGCGACAAAAACTCTAATAACAATTTTTGTGTATTGACTAATTGAATTTTCAGGCTCACCCGTTTGACCGTCAATTAATAAATATTCTGATTTCATTTTTTTTTTATTTTTAGTAAATGATCTGTGAAATATTCGTGTGAAATTCACGTGTGTTTCAAATTTAAAAAGTGTCCTGACCGCAGCCGATTCTAGTGAATAATGTGTAAGCAAATTTCAACAAAATCAGAATGAATATTAATGCAGTGTTTGGGTGACCGAAGAGAATAAATATACATAGGTAGGCGAACCTTAGACTACAATAAATCAATAAATAAATAAGAGTTTAACAATAAATTAATCTTAGTCTAGGTTAATTATCCTATTTACAGTTCGGTTTTTAACAAGGAAAAGTTGACTTCAAAGTTGCTCGTACTCTTTCAGCGTCTCGCTCTCTCGAGGATTTAGGACCTCCGGCTCACTTGGCCGGCATGTTGCACTGTGGATACAGGCTTTGGCAGTCCTTTTGATCCTGGCCATCGCGGGCAGCCTGAATCAGCCGGTAAAAGCGACGCACTGCCTCATTCGCATGCGTTACGGGCTCCAGTTCGCTGGTATCGCTGCAATAGACACGAAACAGGAAACTTTAGCAAAAGAACTTTCCGCGTATTTAATTAAATGGTATTTTTTGTGTGGCAGATGTATTCATTATTGGTTATTTTAATACACTGGAAAATTGAGATTCTTACATATTCAAATTAGAATTTCTCTTGGTAAAAAGATAATAAGCTTTACATTTTATTCTATACCTAAAAACAACTTTCATTCAAAAAACACTACAGAAGGAGTATCTCTTAACAGATTAAGTTCTTTTTAACAAAAATTAAATAAATTTTAAAATGCTCCGCTTAAATGAATAACATTAAACGGTAATAAATGTTGATGTTGTTAAAGGCATTTTCAACTTTCTTTTAAATTTTTTTCACTTCCCAAAAATAATATAATTATTTTGGTATACAACTTGATTTTTCTTTTGAGTGTTTATTTAGTTAGTCCTAGCTGCAGGCGAAAGCCTCAGAATGCCTTTTTTGTGGGTGCCAGGAAGTTAGCTAATTAACTTTACCACTTCGTCCCATCGCAGTAAAGTTTTTGTGGAAGCAGGTCGAATCGTTCTGCGTACTTTTGGGCTTACCAACACGCGTCTTTGTATGCCAGACATCCATGTTTCACCCAAAAACACCTAAACCCAATCCCCTGACTTGGTGCTCAGCTATTCAAGCTTAAATTGGAGGCGTCTGGGCAATTGATTCGGTGGTTGGGGTGTTGCTAATGGATTTCATGCGACTAGTCAGTCGTGCTGGGAGGTGGTGGCCGGAAAATCGCACACACAAAGCCAAGGCCAAACTGATTTCCTATGCTCTTTACCCACATAAGGAAGCTCACGAGACGTGACCTGGTGCAAGAATGTGTTGTCCGACTTTTAATGTTGCAACCTTTCCTTTATAAAGCACTGGCTAAACAATAAAACAAAAACTAAATGCTGCTAAGCTTCTAAAACTTTTTTCGGACAAAGTCAAGTCTCCTGAGAAGTGAATTATATGGAGTAGAACAAGTTACAGCTTGAAGGAACGAGTATTGATTTCTTTTCTTATATTTTGGGTATTTTATTTGACAAATTAATAGCAGCCGAACACTGGCTGTCAAAAATTAGGTTTTCTAGGTTTGGGTGATTAAAGATTTAAAACTCAAGCCAAAATATAAGCTTAGGAAGGAAAAAACTATTTTTGTTTTTAGAAATGTTTTTAAATTAAGTAAAAAATTTAATTAGAAATAAAGAAAAAGGCATAATCGAGTGCAAATATCAAGACCAACTCATGAGTAATAACTTGTGTCATTCTTCCTGTTACATACAAGGAATACATTCAAGGAATATAATATACTCAATGAAATATTGTTTTCTGTTATTGTTTGTTGTATTTTTTATTATTTTAGGAAAATTTCTTGAATTTAATTAAACCTCCTTGACAAGCTTTAACCTGTTAATCGCATACAAGTCAATAATATTGAAAGGGCCAATTAATATTTTATATTCAAAGCTGACAAAACAAACCTATTATAAAAGTTAGATAATTTCTCGAATTTTCAATTAATTATGAATGTTTTCACTATAGATACGCTTGATTGCAGACGGCGGACGGTTAAAATAACCGTTGTCTTTTATCAGACCAATTTATTTTAATTAATTGTCAACTGCTTTGGCCGCAAACCTGAACTTCAAGCCATTGTCATGGGCGTTCCGATAAGGCAATTAAGCACACTTTGGGCCACTCAATTAATGACTTGTCATGGGCACGCAGACTCATAAATCATCCGACAGAAGGGACTAGGTCTAGATGACTCCTCCTGGGACACGAGTCTGTCAGTCACAATTATGTCAACGTAGTTATCTCGAGTCTAACAATTTTGCACTCATTGTTGTCAACGCGAAAAAAAGGCATAGGCATGCCCCGAAAGATAATGAGCCGTAAGAAAAATGATGAATACCAAATGCGCGTTTATCTGGTCTGCGACATACTCGACTGCCTTCGGAGTGACCGACGTGGGTGGAACCGGCTCGAATGCGCCACACGGCTTGTGGCAGGCAGTTCCTCTTGGCTGCCCATGTGCAGTGTGCAGTTCAATTAGAAGATGCAACGCGACAGCCACGAACCCGCGATGACAAACTGCACTCCGACAGCTCCGAGCTCCACTTTCTTTTCACGCTCTTGCCTATTAATTGAAAGGCAATGATGGGGAACCCAGCCCGAGTTGGGCCGTTAAAGTCTTTCCCGCAGCGAAAACGCACCGAACTAAGCTTCGGTGCAGAGCGAATTTAAGTTTTGACTGCCTGACATCACAATTTGCAATGCCTGGGGAGCAATTAGAGCACAAAATACCATTTTATGGCGAATGACAAGCTTAACTTCGTGTTCCGAAACCATACAGCCAGCCTGTCTCGGGCATTTATCGCCAAAATAGGTAAAGTAGTAGGGTTGGATTGTCCAAACCAAACATACACTTAACTCAAGTTCTTGAGGGAATAATCAACTTTGTAACTAATCGCAAATTAAAAAGAAACTGCACAAATAAAATCTTCAAAGCTGTTACTTTTATGGTACTAAACATGAAAATTTCTAATAACGGATGATTAGGTTTGTATTCTTATCTATGAAATAAACTTTAATGAAAGTTAAAATCTTCTGTTCTACATTTGCTTACTCTTTTAAGAGACCCTAACTTGTCTTCGAATTAGGAACCAAACGCTACCGTTAAGTTTTTGTCTTTATAAAAACCTCATCTGCCTAAAGTTTCGATACACACTTTCATAGTTGATTAGAGTATAAGGCCTGAAGAACATTAATAACCAACTTTTCTTTGTTTTAAATGCATTTCCTATAAACTTTCCATGTTGCACTTGGAAGTCTCTATCTGTGGCTTGACTTACCGACTCAGTTCCGCGGAAATGAAGTTGCTGTGCGGACTGTAGGTGGAAGGGTCCTTGTACATGCTGCACACAATGCGCTCCTTGCACAGGTCGTTCTTCACGCCCAGCTGCTCGACGATTTTGTCGATTTTCAGCAGAATGGGACTGTAGAAGGGGTCGTAGTTGAGCGGATACAGCGGCTGAAACACACAAAAAGCGCACAAGTTATTCAGAATGAAAGCAGATTAGTGCGGCGGATGCGAGTTGTGGCAAACCTGTCCGTCCTGCACGAATGGCTGGTGCTCTAGAATCTTCTGCTGTTGCTGGATAATTCGCTGCTCGGCCTGAATGCGGATGGCCTCCTTCAGCTGGGCGGCCAATTCGGGCTGTGGGGAGTGGTATCAAAAAGAGGATGTATAGTTACCCATCTAAAAAACTGATATTTGTACACTTATCAATGCAGGAGCATGTAAACACGGGATCTAAAGTTAAGCACTTGGAAAACTTATCATCAAGAAAATCTTTGTATTTCATTTTAAGAAAAAATAAATTAAACTTCTGTCATACATGACTTCTATTTGCATGAAATTTATAATAAATTTATAATCGTTTACTTAGGCAGATTTTTTAGTTCTTAGTATTTGTAATTTTTTTGTATAACTAACAATTTATACAATTTAATTATTGATTGAATATTTATTAATTATCTATTTATTCAAGTCATAACTATTAATAAAAAATGTTTCATACCAAACCCATCCTTTTTCGACTAGCTTTACCAGAATTATTCGAATGGTTAGCAAATTTAAACAGAAAAGTAAGTTACAAGTTTTTCAAAGTGTTCGTCCTAATGTAAATGAGACATGAAGCACAAAGTTTGTTGCAGCCAAGCTGACAACATGGTATTAAAATAAGGTAGGAAGCTAAAGCAAATGCCATTTAATGCGAAAAGGGCTGGGTTTGCGTGAGTTGTTAACCTTTTGCTGCGGACAGTTTAACCGACCAAATGCAGAGTTGCCGGCACACTTTCTCGAAAGGCGTTGTTCCCGTCATATTCGGGCCTTGGCGAGGCGTGCTCATTTAATTAAGGTGAGCAGCGGGGTGTTTCGCAAGCCTACAGATTTTAGTGTCAGGCGGGCAGTGCAATGGCAAAGTGCACTTTAATTATGGCTTACTCGCCTGAGAGCCCGGACCGCATGTGGCCATCGGCTTTGCACTCTTGAAAGTGAAAACTGTCATTGGATGTCAGTCAGCCAGTGTGTTTTGTTCGGCAAAACTGTTTGCCAACCCATTCAACTTGCAGGGCCCTGCATGAATGGTTTCGCTGGGCCGAAAAGAGAAAAGAATACACCTCCGCTGCGGAGAAGAAAATTTGCATCATAGGAAAACCATTTGTACTCGAAGAAAAGTGTCAATAAATGCAGCCAGGCAGCAGACAATCGTTGGGGAGTGAAACTGCAGCAGCACAAATGGTTGTGGTGTTGTTCAGTTGTGCAAATGTTCGGAGTGTAAATGGGAACCACCAGTCAACGGTGGGAGTAAACCAGAAGATGGTAAGGTACACAAAAATGTGCTGCCTGTGAAAGCAAAAAGCACTTAATTCTTACATTTTTATGTCCCGGGAAAATATAAAATAAGTATTGCTTCCTTGAGGTGCTTAACCCCACCCCCAAATATTACGAGTTTCTTAACCACAACTCTGGGAAAATTATAGACATTTGGTTTAGAAATTAAAATGTCCCCTCAAAAAACTCCTTTTAATATTTTGAAAGGAAAATGTATTTGCATATTGTTTAGCTGTCAAAAGAAAAATGAAGTTTGGCTAAACTGCTGTTAATAAAATATACTCTAAAAACAGTTACTATTTTGTTTGTTTTCAACTAGTCTCATAAAATACTACTATTCGCATCGAATATCCAATAACAATATTTGACAGGTGAACTTTTATTTGTACTGTGCAATCATTTTGTTTGACTTTGAAATATTTCTGTGAGTTTGTTTTCCTTGAAATTGTGCTCCTTACCGAGTGTGTTATAAACACAAATTTAAATAAAATGCCGCAATTTTTTGCTATAACCACACATGGGATATCTGATTTCACAGGCTCCCTTTTTTATGTACGTTATATGTACGATTAGAATAAATGCACATTTTGCGATTCCTTTTGGCTGCTGAAAATGTATACGTAATGGGCTGAAAGGGGATACTCACAGGGAGTTGGGGCTCCTGATTTTGTTGCTGTTGCTGCTGCTGCTGCTGCTGCTGATTGTTGCGCGCCGGGTCATATTGCGCAGCAATTGTGGCCGCCGCCGAGAGTCCTGGCCCACTTTGAGGTGGATGGTGTCCCGGAACGAAGACCGGATGGGGCTGCGAGTGTGACGGCCTTGAGCTGGAAAAACCGGGAAAAATTAGGTGCCGTAGGCGGGGTAAGTGGGTCGGTCAACTTCGGTTGGCTCAATAGTTTCATTCGAGCGCTGAATCAAATTTCCTTTGCGCTGCTCTTTTTAATTGGCAACAATTAACGCCCAACAGCGAGTGTTGTTTGGCTTTCATTAAAGAATTTTAATTACGTTTGGATAAGCAGGAAGGACATGTGAAGTGGCGTAAAACAAACATATGTGGGAAAATTCATGTTCAAATGAATGGTTAATTGTAAGTCACAAGCCACCGGAGAATTGAGTGCAATAAACGTAAAGTAAGTCCCAGGAAAAACCGATAGCAAAGTGAAAAAAAGGTTAAAGGAGCAAGGAACACAACATTTACAAACTAAATGGAGTTGTTGAAAATATTTTTATATGATACACAAAATGATGAACTCGATTTGAAAGCGCTTTAGCTACTTTGTAATCTTTTACTGATAAAACAAGATGTCTGATTTTTGAATTGTTAACAAAACTATTTGTGTGCTCGAGCCCAGCTACATTTCTATTTCCGTTAAAGTGTTTTGTACTTCTCTCAGTGCAAAAAGTGAGTGAGTGCTAGATAAGCACTTGAATATAAAGTCACCAGAAAATACATAATGTGGCCTAAGGCTGGGGTTAGTAGCTTGTGTTTCGGCCTGATTTATGAGGAGCGTTTCTGTTTGCTGTGGCTGTGCAAGTGAGTTTTCATGTGCGTGGGCGTACTTGATTGTCGGTTTTCGGGGCCCTTGCGTGGCATGTACCTTTGTTTGTCCTGACTTTGAAATGGGTTTAAACTGTGACTAGAGGCTTGTGCTTTCTGAGCACTTAATTGCTGCTGCAGTTGTTGAAGCCTGAGCTGTTGCTGCTGCTGCTGCTGCTGCTGCTGCGACTGCTGCTTCTGCTGCGTGGGTGGCCTCGACTGCTGGGTGGCAGGTGGCCAACGTGCCTGCTGCTGACCCTGATGTTGCTGGTGTGCCTGGTGGTTCTGGTGTGCCTGGTGCGACTGCTGGTGTGGCTGTTGTTTCTGTGTGGTGGTGCCCAGGCCCCAAGCATGCAGGACCCCGGCATCGTTCGCCGGGTGGGGCTTAAAGTAATGCGCATTCTCCTCTATTTGTGCAACGCGATTTATATCGCCTATGTATCTATTGTATTGTGATGCAAGTCGGTTGATGTGTGATGTGTGACGTGTGAGTGTGGTTTAGAGACAAGACAGATACACAGACAGTTACAGACAGTTGCGGACACGGAAAGCGGGGGGTGCGATTTAAGAGGCGGAACTTACTCGGATCCCAGACCGGGTCCACTGTTCTCCCAGGCGCCCTCAAAGTGCTCGAACCCGGGACCGTAGCTCTCGTGCACCGGAGCTCCATGGAGATACGCGGACGGGTGACCCTTCGGCGGGTGGGTGTAGATGATCTCCGGAACCGAGTGGTGCTCTCCACTATGCCATGGCGGAACCACCTTAAAGTAGAGAGGAATTTTATAAGAAATATAAAATAAAGCAAAATAATATAACTAAGCCATGCTACTTCTATAATAACGATATAAAGTCATTAAATCATTTTCTTAAGGAGTGTACAGCATTTACCAGAAGAAAATATTATCTCCCTTTTCTTTAATCTCACCACCATTCTCATATACTGAATTGTTCCTTAAAAAATGAATATAGCCCACCTAACTATATTATTTTTTAATTGTATTTAAACTTAATACGTAGATATTACGAATCAAAGATTGGATTTATAAGTTAAATCAAGCTCAAAGCAAAGGTGGCTATAACTGCACCTACATTTGTTTGTTGCAAGACTTTTTATCATTTCTGATTTACGTACATATAAACAATGTTATAGATTGTGTAACCTTATTGCCCTGTATTAATTTTTTTTTGTTTAGAAAGGCAGTATGCCGTTCTTTTTTTAAATGTGGCCTTGTCAGACATAGACATGGCGCAAATTAAAAAAAAATGGAAATGAAGCAGCCGAAGATGCAAGGCTTCGGCATGACATTTAATGAACTCTGCAGCAAAAGTTTTCTTCACTGCTCCGGTGGGCTTCATTTCGATGCGACATCTATTCGGCTATTTATAGTCTGTGCTTGAGCCAAGCAAATAATACGCATTATGCTACTTTTCGTCTGCCGGCTGGGCTGGCTTAAGCCCAGTTCAATGACTGCCAAATAGCCGTAAATAACGAACAAAATGCGACTATGTCATTGCCTGGCAGCTCGACTTGAGTTCAAGCTCTGCCTATTATTTCTGGATTTTTATTGTGCTCCAAATTCGAATCATATTTCATGCTGTGCCGCCCGAAAACTTTTCCTAGCAAAGAGGTGACAAACGCTCACAAACAGACGACATGTTAAGTGGCTGTTTTTTGGTCCTCGTGGCAGGAAAGTCTCTTACTCCCGTGATTTAATTTAATTTAAACTTACACTGATTTGTGAAAGCAGCCAGGGATGGCAACGATTCTTTAATAGACTGCAAATTGTCTAGAAAATATGCACATATCATTGGCCTCTTGGGTGTAAATTAACACTCGGAATTCATATTAACTACTCCCCTATCGATATTGCGTTTTTACTGTCGTCATCGCTTTCCTCTTTCAACACTTGAAATATTCATATATTCCATTGAAGAAGAAGTTAAATTGCCAGTATTCCCCACTGATTCCTGCTTTCTCCAGTTGTCTGTTTGGAAATCTTTTAACTGTTGGCCTAAACCTCAAGAAGCAGCAAGCTTAGAGAATTTTAATTGCCGAATGGGTCGTCTTTCTCAATCGATTCTCGGGAAAATCGCACTTAAGCAAGATTGTCATATGCAAACATGAGAGCCCGGATTATCCCGCGAGCTGAGGCCCTGGTCCCAGCTCAATAAAATTCCTGCCGACATTATTGAATGCGCACATAAACATCTCATAAATACGAGTATCTACGCGTGTGCACTCTTCCGTGGTAAATGGGGAGGTGACAGCCATGGCCCTGTCTAATCCCCTCCAACGGGCGCAATTGAAAGACGGGATTTCATTTGACGATATGTCAAGCTGGGTGCTGTCTGTGTCAGCGTGAGCTCATTCTTGGGGCACGTGCTACGCCAACTCGGAGCCGGGAATCTTCAATGGAAATACTTTTCCCTAGACTTTTCTAATTGAATTTCCGGGAGCGCGACTCGCACATGAACAAAAGAAACTTCCGACCGGCAGACCTATAGACAAAACTGAATCACAACACGACTGCTGACGAAATTTCTCCAAAAATACGCCGAAAAATTCAAACGGCCTAACCCAAACCTGTTAGTGACGTATGTTGGTGTCAAAGAAAATTTCTTTCCATCCAATATCATATTTCAGTTTCATTAATATATTTTTGGCTTTAGTCATTAGTAACACCGAACAACTGAAACAATATTTTCAAGAAATTAAATTCGATTGTATAAACTCTGAGGTAAATTATAAAATAAAGGATACTTCAAACAGTTTCCTTTAAAATTTGGAAGACGTTACTTCTACCTCCTGCATATTTATAAAAATTAAATCACAGCTAATATAAAGCAAATGTTAACTGGGTCATGAACCCAAATTTCGTAAGCATTGATGGGTAATTATAGTTTTCTTTCTCTAGCTCAAAAAATTCAGTTCGAAAATATGTTATAACATCTGTTAAGGGATATAAATACCAACATTGTAAGTTTCCTCTTGTCTGTTCGATGTGCTTTCTAGAGATCTATGCGGATAAACTGCAACTTGGGCAGTATAATCCGCAATCTGCGCTTACCGTGTGGTGATGATCGATGAGATGATGATGGTGGTGGTATTTAGCGGGTGCGTGGTAGACCTGTTGGTAGTGCGAGCACAGCTTGAAGAGATGCGAAAGAGCCGGGAACAGGAAGAGCAGGAACTTGAGGAGCAGCTTCTTGGCCGCTCCGACTCCGATGACGATTGGCAGCAGCCAGAACAACTTGATCTTGATGATTTTAATGATCAGCAGCAAGGCCAGGAATGACAGCACCAGTTTGCTGCGTAGAAATTTTTCTGGACAAACGAAAGTAGCAATCGAATCAGACTTTTGGTTGCATTTGTTGCTCCGTGCAGATTCACCGGAGAGTGAAAGCGGTTTCGACTGCAGAATTGCATCTGCATATGCATACACATCTGCGTGATGGGGAAACAAATTGCGAGTATTACTTACGTATCTTCTTCTGGATTATCGCGCCAGCGAGTCGGGCCTTGACTACCTGTTTGGGAATGAGCTCCAGCTTGGCGATGATTCCGTTGCCTTCGATGGCCCGCGGCGAGATGCGAAATGTGGCGCCGTTGAACATAACCTCTGGCAGGTCCACCTCCAGATCGTGGGTCATTGCGAATTTAATGCTCTTGCCATATAGAGCGCTGGTCACTTCCTCGATCGGGGTTTCCGCACCGGCTGCTTGGGAATCGGACAAATAGAAAGAGAAACAAACAAATACTCATGAGTGACGCTTTTGGGTTAATGAAAGTTTGGCAGAAAGCGATTTCCTCCGCTCAGGATGCTGGAGTTCTTGCGCAACTGTGAGTAAACATTCGCTCATTGAGTTTATAAATAATTTTCCATTTATGGCCAAGCGTGGGAAGTGTGTGCTTCCGCTTGGCAAACATTCTTCCTTGGGTTCAAATGTCAAAACCTATTTTTACATTTTTAAAAGTCAAAAAATCAATACTTTCCTTCAATGAATCTGGTGAATACAGTAAAATAACTAAGTTGCTTATTTATAGGGAGGATAACTTCACTTTAACACCTCCTCGAAAATATTGTAAGCTTAGTTTTGGTTTTGTTTGTTTTAATTAGAAAGCTCAAATGAATTAAATACATTTATTTTAAGAATTTTACCTACAAAAATATAACATTTACAACCATTTCTATTTACAATACTTATACATTGACTTACTGATTATTAATACTGATGTGTTCTGCCTGGTTAATACTTCTTGCTAAAAATTTAAACGCTATCAATTCTGCTCATTTTTATCGACAACCAAACGCTTATATAATTCTTAATTGATTCGATAGCTGTTAATGGGCGATTGTTACACTGTTGGCCATGGTAAGAGCCAAAGAAAACATCTCGGCCTGGCAAAAAGCCGCATAATTGAGCGCAGTCAAAGCGCCGTGACTCACATAAACGAGAGATCGTTGCCGTAGCAGATATTTTACTGCTCTCTGGCGCAGCTAAAATACGTAAAAAATCAAATCAAAACGCGGCAAGTGAAAGTTACTGGCAGTGGCAGCGGCATTTTTTGTGAACGTGCTCCGGTATAGGTAAACAAAACGAAGAAAAGAATCGACGTGAAAACTGATCGCTCACACAAAATCGACCACAAGCAAGGGCTCTTACATAAGATGATGCTGTTAGTTAAACGCATATAAGCGGGAAAAAAATATATTTAGAAAAGAAATTGGTTTTAGCTAAGTTTGCTAAACAAAAAAATACATAACAATTTTATTTAAAATTCATTAACTTTTCGTTTAACGTTTTAATTAAGTTTTTGGTGTTTTTCTACTGAACGTTTTTTCTACGGAACGTCTTGATGCCACTAAAACTTAAAACAAATGACCAGTTGAATAGTCTTATTTGTGTTTGCAGAAGCATTTTAGTCAATTTTAAATCAAATTATGATTCTTTAAAATTGCAAAAACATGTCATTTTTTCCTGCACGGTTCTTCAATTAAAATGTGCCCTAGCAACGTTTCGTTATTAAAATGTTAAAAATTTCCTTTAGGATTTAGAAAACTCCTTAAAAGTAATTGTTTCACTTACCGGCACGTGCCTCCGAATGTTCCTCCTTTTCCTTCTCCTCCTCGTAGTCCACTTGGTTCCTGAAGAACTTGAGCCTCTGTGTCACATTGACGTCCTGCACATCCAGAGCGTTGTCCAGGTAGCTGAAGACGTTCTTCTGGAAGCAGGACACGTCTGGCTTCAGGTAGCAGTCGCGAACAAGGCCATCCCACAGCTCGTTTCCACTGGTGAACCGCCTGGCCAGACGGAGGAGCAGGGAGTCGGCGGGGGCCACTCTGTCTATCCTGGCCGGAATCTCAGTAATGTTCTCAATGGGCTGCCACTCTTCCGTTGGCGGTTCCGTTGACTCCGCTGAGGAATCCGTCGCCGGCTCGGTCACCGTCTCATCAGCCTCCTGCATCTCATCAGCCTCCACTTCCAGGTGGTTCAGAGGAGTGGTGGAGATGTGGCGACCACGACGGCCATTCCGAACCGTCCCATCCGCTTCGACGGCCGCGTTTATTAGGCAGATCAAGAGGAGGAAAATCAGGTAGCTACGCTTTGATCTGGCCATGCTCACTGGGTGGCTGTGATTGCAGGTGCGATTTCTACTCGAGGATGTTGTCCACTGACGCTGGCTCTCACCGGGGCTCCAATTATGGGGCAAATCACTGTGTGTGTTGGGCATTCTCGGTTTCGTTTTTCGGTTTCACTCGGCCAGTTAGCACTGTTGACGGCTGATTCACACCTGCAACCTGCAATTGAGCTGGCAATGCAATTCCACCTTGGCCCTGCAATTTAGCTGCAGCCCAACTGTTTATCTAGCTGATTTCGCTGGGACTACGTGCCCGGGAACTCAGGTCTCTTCGGCTGACACAATGGCCGGCTTTATTGGCGAAATCGTTAGCCAATTGACAAATCAATTTATGAGGCTCTCGGCTTAGCACGCAAACACAATTCCACTGATTGACGCTCGATTTTTTGTAGCAGCTCAATTCTTCCGAACGGCTTTAATGTACTTTCTTCGCGGTGTTTGTTTTGGACTCGTTTGTTTGGAATTTCGCTGCCGCATTTAGCGCGTTTTCTATTTACTATAGTCGATTATCTAGCTAGCTGCAATTACTTCATCGCGGCACACCTACGGCCTAACGGTTTCGTATGTGGAAGGCAGCTTGTATCTTGTATCTTGTATCTTGTATCTTTCGGATATGCAAATCACCTGTTAGCGCGTTTCGCGTGCGCATGCGAGCGCGTCTGGCAAACAACTGATCGTGTTGTGGCCCAAACGGCTGGCCAAGATCATGGCCAGGCTTAAAGCAGACCGGTCGCTCTCTCGCCTCTTTCTCTCCTGCCTTTCGTTCAGTTGTCGTCGACTTTTTGCACTGCAATATCGCTTGTTTCTCGTATCTGGTATCTGCTAGCTGCTTACTGCTAACTGCTATCTCCCCTGCATTCACACGTCGCTCTGGCCAGATTCTTCTGCCGCGCAAAACCTTAACTGTAGTTTTCTGCTGCGGCGGCTGCGGCTGAAAGTTGTTTCGTCTACACTCGCTTCTCTATGTTTGTTTATACATTTTCCAGTTAACTTTAGATTGTTTCAAGTGCAGTTTGTCTGCTGGCTTGACGCTAATTTTCCTTGTAGTTTTTGCGCGGCTCTTCCTTAGTCGGCGCTTTTCACGGCCATTTGTTGAGCGACGAACGGGTTTCCCTGCAGCGACAAATACATAGATTAAGCGATTTTTATTATGTTTTTATGGCGCCAATATGGTTAAAAAGCGGTTGACTTTTCCGGCAACTTAAATTCGAGTTAAAAGAGAAAATGGGTCAAGGGGCGGCGGACTGGAAATTACCAAACGTTCGGCTACGTAGCCAAAAATATATAATTTCCTTTAAAGTTTAAACGGCCTTAATTCCGTATTTTGGAGGTCGAGATTAATTTATTTACTTACACAGTTATAAAACTACAGGTTCAACATTTTAAAATGCTTAACAAAGTCAAAATAGATGAAGTAGAAAATGCCCAATAAATTCGATTCAAACATAAAGAATGAAATGAAAAACCAATATTTCATCGCAGGAAAATGGGTCAACAACTGACCTACTGATATACACCTATAAAAATCGGTCTTCAAAAATTGTATGAGCTTCAAAGTTTATCTATTATTCACAGCGATTGAATTGAGACCGGCATTAAAAAGCAGTTCTTGGGGAAAAGAAAGCAATCAAGTTGTCTAAATCGCCATCTCTTGAACCACTTCCGATGAGCAACAAAAGATGTGTGGTGGCACACTTATGACATATGCCTTTCTTCTTTTGTTGTGCGTGGGCCACTGAAAGTGCTACAAGTAATGTGCCGTTCTTAATCAAGATATCAATCCACATGCTTGCACTTTGGCTCCTTTATTGTGACCCTCAACACAATTGGCAGAAGTCTGAGACCTTTGAGGCATTCTAATTAGCTGTTCCATAACACCAACCGAGACATCAGCCATCCCACAAACTGTTAGATCCGTTTATAGTCATGTTTCCGATGCAATCAATTAGACCGCATTACGCGCACAGCTGCAGGAGTGGAGTATGACTTACGATTATTATTTTTAACGAGCTGCTACTTAGTGGCTTTCTGTAGACGGTACGTATGCGTAATGTGCATAAGCGACATATGTTTCATGTAACGCGTCGCGTTGTTATGGCTTTTCATATTAAAGGCATTCTATTAAAGTGCCATGGCGGCTTATGTCATGCCGAAGAAACAGCCATAAAACAGCGAGTACACAATTGCTATAAAAATAATGGCCAGCTAAATCAAGTTTAGGGAGGCAGCAGCCGCAGTAGCAGAACTCGCTCCGCACCAAAAGACCAAAAAACATATGATGTAAGTTCTTCGCGGGTTCAAGACGAGTCGAAGACCCAGGTTCAACCGTTAGGTGGCTTTAAGGGTTAGCGGCTCAGAAACATGAAACTTGGACTACAAACAGCGAACAAAATATTATTTCTTAGCTAGAACATGCAAAGGTAAATATTGTTTTACATTCTGTTTGTATATTTTACCCAGATAACTCTCTTTAAAGCGTACATAATACAAAAGTATTTTATGTGTATGCGCCTTTAAATATTATCTTTGGACTTATGCAACCCCTGAGATACATTTGTTTTGATTGCTGTTCTGTTGTCTGCTTTCACTCGAATGCTTTCTGCTCTTTTTAATAATGATTCAATTACATCTATCTTAATGGCACTCGAAAATGGCCGGCTCTCGGCTGGCTGGCTGGCCAGATTACGTTTCGGAAGGTAACAAGCTTTCCCTGCACGTTGTTTTGCCGCTGTCATTCCCAGCATTTCCTCGAGATTTTATTGCATTTTTATGTGACAATTTCTCGGGCAGACGCACGCATCCGAACATCGCAAATACTCGAGTCAACCCGCGGTTATGTAAACTTGTAAGTATTTGCATTTCATTAAATTGAATCAATGGTCGGCGCAGACTTTCGGTTTCAGTCAACCGCTTAGTGAATGTCTCAAATAGATTACTAATTTCTCCTAATGCGTGCTTGGAACTTAGTTCGCCAAGTGAGGTGTGATTCGTGTTAGCGTGCAAATATTTTAAAGAGTTTTTTAACTCTTTCTACATTTCTTCGGTTGCGATTCAGAGAAATCTATAGGTAAGTCGAACGAAAAGCAAACTCACTTTCGTTGCGGTTAACCAACTTGACTCACTAATGGCTTATTAAGTCCAAATAGATCGGATTCAATGTACTTTTTATGATCCATCTGCCGGCTAGCGTAGCGAATTGAGTGCAATAATTGGCGGGGGGACATTAAAAAGTGAAATAAAAGTTATTCGAGCTCGGAATAAAAACAATTCTGCCACTCTGCATATATTGCTGCGGTTTATCGCCTGCAAATTATGAAGTACGGTTTCGTTTTCAATTAATTGTTATTATTTGGAGTGAACCACAATTAAGCTTGGCCCAAGCAATTTGTTTACTTTCTTCTTCTCTCTTGCTCTTAATGGGTGTATCACTGCGAACACTTTATTGTTTTTTTGTGGACTTTGTTTCGAGAATCTTCAGCAGGTGAGCACGCGAAGCAAAACACTGAACACTAATTGGTATTCTGATGTGTATTAGAGCGCGCTGAGATTCCCATCTGGCATGCGCTAATTACTCAAGTGGAGGGTTTTTAAGAACTTTATGAAGGCAGCTGGTGGATTTATGAAACCGCAGGAAGTTTCACTTTTACCCACTGGGTTAACTGCACATGGACATGCAGCGCGTTTCCCCGCCAAACAGGTTTCCGTATTTCGGAAGATAAATGCAACCGGCTTGCCAGCTGTTGGCTTTTGTTTTGTTGGTCACTCAGTCGATCAAAACTGGGTCAAATATTTGCATGCCAGTTCGATTCAGGTGGGAATATTTGGCTTCCTGCTTTTACCTACCCGCTTGGAATGATGTTCCTCTGGCAATTAACACGCACTGTCACTTAAACCAACACTCGGCCCCTCAGTTGACTCATAATTTCTGGGCGCAATTTGTTGTTGTGCCCATGGCGTGTCGTCTAATTAGCAAGATATTTTGTTTTTTTGTCCGGTGGTCACTTTCGCTCTCGCTTTTCACAAGAAGTAATGTGGTAGATTTGATTTCCAGAATCCGTCGTGTCTTTCACTTTTTACAGTTGCCGATAAACGTAACCAGAGAGGCGCGATAAACGTGGAAGACCGGCGAGCGTGGAAGACCAACTGAGCGGAGGTGCCGTCGCACAAAAGATGCGGCCAGCTTTGGGTGTTGGTAGGTGAGTTTAATCGTGCAGATACAAACACAGAAACAGGTACAGATACAGATACAAACAAAATCGAGAGAGAGTGAGATGAAAAGAAAGCAAGCACTGACTGCCTGAAAGTATGCGATAACTTTATTGTCTGAAATGCTTTTCCTAGTTCTCACAGTAAAGCCTGAAATATGTTGCAAAATATCCTTTATAATTTTAGTTAGTATTAAGCATAAATTTATTTTACCATAGTATATTTTTGCTTAAATAAATATAATTATAAAATCTGTGAATAAATTTGTCTGCAAATAACTAATGTATTAATAAAATGCTCGAAATATATTGTATAAGCCAATCGTTTACTATTTATTTGTTTATTTGCTACATGATTTTGTTTCTGGATAGGTTTTTCTCCAAGATTGCCATTTTCTGAAATAAATTCTTCACCTGTAGTGGTGCTCCTTTAATTTATTCAATTATCTGGCTGCTTGAGTTGTCTCATTGTTGGGACTGGTTTCGGGGGATTTTACCTCACTGTCACTCTGGTTACTGCTATTCATTAGTAATCTTGTTGGCTCAGTTGGACTTGGAACAGGAGCTTCAGTTGTTGTGGTAGTTGTACTTGTCGTTGTCATACGCCACTTGCCCCTCCACTTTTTTATACCATTTTGGTTGGCCGGCTTTATGCGATTCTTGGTTGTTTCCTGCCATTCAGATCCGTTGTCCAGCTGGAAAGAGCTTCTAAGCAGTTTCTCAGACATCATTTCATTAAAGCTCATTGCAATTTGATCCTCCACCTTGTCCTTGGAAGGTCTGCTCATTAGATGCATTTGTTGATTTAGCATAAAAGGAATGGGATACGGAATATAGACTGGCATGGGATAGAACACAGGTTGAACTGAAAATGCGTCCACAGTTGTACTTGGAAAACTTGGAAACTTAGGGAAACTATCCCCCAGTCCTGGCATCAGCAATAAGCTCTGATATGGAAGCTTAGGTTTTATTCCATTACCAAAAGCTGGTTTTTGTTTCTGAGGAGGTCGTGTCTTCTTATTTGGTTTTACTATGGAAGCTGATTCATCCGTTACTGGCGGAGTAGTTGTTGCCGCATCTGGTGTTAATGTGGTTTCAATATCCTGTTCTGGTTTAATTGACGCGCCAAGTGTTGTCTTAACTACGGAATTTGAAAGCAAAATCAGTGGAGTTCTTGGATCATCTGCACTGGCTTTCAGGACTGCTACCGGCTGCTCGTTTTTCAACTGTGCAAAAACTTGCTTCGTTTGCCACAATAGAACAACAAAAACTGGAAGGTTGTTCGAAAGGCTTACAAGGGTTGTTGCAGCGTTTTTTTTTTCTACATACCACACTCAAGTAACTTCATGGCGACGTTAAGCAAACTAAACTTCTTCGAATCGATATTGTCTTTTATAGGTCAGATTTTGCTTGAATTGGAAAGTAGGTTTCTTGCTAATCAAACCTTAATATTATTGCTAATATTGCTAATATGTTTGCTTTCTACGAAAGCTTCTAATTTTGATGGATCTAAACTGCATTTTGCCGTCAAAATGTATACATTATTGTTAGAAGTTTGTGGTTGGTATCGAAAGATTATATTTTGATTTTTGAACTTTGATTGCATAAATAGAAATCAAAGCGCTTAGGCATCAAGCCATAAAAATATCGCTATCCGCTTTGTAAAAAAATAACGTTAACTAAAACGAACTTTTAAATTTAAAATCAAACTTTAACTTCTCTTAACGCAGGTCGATCGAAAAAAATTTATTTTCCGGAATTTATAATCTCTTCTTTAGTGTTTCCAGGTTAAGAATTAGTTATAATATTAACTTAAATGTCTTGTTTGTGTTGGTTGTTTCCCTCTTAGCAGTATTATAAAACAATTTCGCTAATTTCATTGATCATCACAGTCTTGTTGACATGGAAGTGCAGTGGAGGTTGTTGGTGTTTCTGTAGAAGTTGTTGCTGATGTCGCAACTGCAGTGGAGGTTGTTGCCTCTGTGGTCGACGTTGTTGTGGTGGTTGTCATTTCCGTTGTAGTTGTTGTTGGTGTAGAAACTGCAGTGGAGGTTGTCGCTTCTGTGGTCGTCGTTGTTGTAGGTTCTGTAGTCGTCGTTGTTGTCGTCGGACTTGCAGTGGAGGTTGTTGTGGCTTCGGTAGTAGTTGTTGGCGATGTCGCAACTGCAGTGGAGGTTGTTGCCTCTGTGGTCGACGTTGTTGTGGTGGTTGTCATTTCCGTTGTAGTTGTTGTTGGTGTAGAAACTGCAGTGGAGGTTGTCGCTTCTGTGGTCGTCGTTGTTGTAGGTTCTGTAGTCGTCGTTGTTGTCGTCGGACTTGCAGTGGAGGTTGTTGTGGCTTCGGTAGTAGTTGTTGCTGATGTCGCAACTGCAGTGGAGGTTGTTGCCTCTGTGGTCGACGTTGTTGTGGTGGTTGTCATTTCCGTTGTAGTTGTTGTTGGTGTAGAAACTGCAGTGGAGGTTGTCGCTTCTGTGTTCGTCGTTGTTGTAGGTTCTGTAGTCGTCGTTGTTGTCGTCGGACTTGCAGTGGAGGTTGTTGTGGCTTCGGTAGTAGTTGTTGGCGATGTCGCAACTGCAGTGGAGGTTGTTGCCTCTGTGGTCGACGTTGTTGTGGTGGTTGTCATTTCCGTTGTAGTTGTTGTTGGTGTAGAAACTGCAGTGGAGGTTGTCGCTTCTGTGGTCGTCGTTGTTGTAGGTTCTGTAGTCGTCGTTGTTGTCGTCGGACTTGCAGTGGAGGTTGTTGTGGCTTCGGTAGTAGTTGTTGCTGATGTCGCAACTGCAGTGGAGGTTGTTGCCTCTGTGGTCGACGTTGTTGTGGTGGTTGTCATTTCCGTTGTAGTTGTTGTTGGTGTAGAAACTGCAGTGGAGGTTGTCGCTTCTGTGGTCGTCGTTGTTGTAGGTTCTGTAGTCGTCGTTGTTGTCGTCGGACTTGCAGTGGAGGTTGTTGTGGCTTCGGTAGTAGTTGTTGGCGATGTCGCAACTGCAGTGGAGGTTGTTGCCTCTGTGGTCGACGTTGTTGTGGTGGTTGTCATTTCCGTTGTAGTTGTTGTTGGTGTAGAAACTGCAGTGGAGGTTGTCGCTTCTGTGGTCGTCGTTGTTGTAGGTTCTGTAGTCGTCGTTGTTGTCGTCGGACTTGCAGTGGAGGTTGTTGTGGCTTCGGTAGTAGTTGTTGCTGATGTCGCAACTGCAGTGGAGGTTGTTGCCTCTGTGGTCGACGTTGTTGTGGTGGTTGTCATTTCCGTTGTAGTTGTTGTTGGTGTAGAAACTGCAGTGGAGGTTGTCGCTTCTGTGGTCGTCGTTGTTGTAGGTTCTGTAGTCGTCGTTGTTGTCGTCGGACTTGCAGTGGAGGTTGTTGTGGCTTCGGTAGTAGTTGTTGCTGATGTCGCAACTGCAGTGGAGGTTGTTGCCTCTGTGGTCGACGTTGTTGTGGTGGTTGTCATTTCCGTTGTAGTTGTTGTTGGTGTAGAAACTGCAGTGGAGGTTGTCGCTTCTGTGGTCGTCGTTGTTGTAGGTTCTGTAGTCGTCGTTGTTGTCGTCGGACTTGCAGTGGAGGTTGTTCCGGCTTCAGTAGTAGTTGTTGATATTGTCGGAACTGCAGTAGAGGTTGTCGCTCCTGTTGTACCTGTTGTTGGTGTCGGAAGTGCAGTGGACGTAGTTGGGGTTTCTGTAGGCGTCGTTGATGTTGATGTCTGAACTGCAGTGGAGGTTGTTATTGCTTCTGTAGTTGACATTGTTGATGGCGGAATTGCAGTGGAAGTTGTTGTGGGATTCGTAGACGTTGGAATAGCTGTTGATGTGGGTAGACTACTTGTTGTAGTTGTCTTTGTGTTTGGGTCTTCGGTCGTAACAGGTGCAGTTGTTGTTTTCTTTCGTCGCCACTTTCCAAAAAACTTTTTATGGCCGTGATGCAAGCGAGGTTCTAAATCATCATCGTTCAGGGAAACTCCAAGAGAAATCGTGCTCTTTTTATCATTTATGTTTGCTTTAATTACTTCATTCTCTAATTCATCAAAAAGGGGTTGCGTTTTGAACTGATTTAGAGGACTTTTAATACTCATCAGAATGGGAATTGGAAGATTCGATTTAATAGCTTCTTCCAAAGTTGGTTGAACCACATTAAGTGATGTTTTGATGCTTTGGAGCTGATCTGCTTGTGCTTGACCAAAGTGTGTGTCCAGGCATAGTAAAACAGTGAAATATACTGAAACAAATGTAGTATAAGTATAGAAATTTTTAGACAAATGCGTTTGCCGAACATACCAATATAAATCGCACCCATGCTGTTGTCACTCTAACTAACAAATTTAAGGCTTACCTCGCTTTTATACCACAAAATGTGCTTCTCTTAGAAAGTAGGTTAAACCAATCGCTAATTGAGGGAATATTTATCACTAATTTTTTATGGCTGATTCTTTTTTATTTTTTGTTATGAGTTTTAATGTTCAGAATGGGAGTGAAATGCGAAAGCACATACTTATCGTGGTAAATTGTGAGTTTGTAACTAAGTAAGTTAAACATTTTTGCCATCTAGTGACAGCTGAAATATCTGAAATATTCATTTACTTTTTATAATATAAATATTATTTGCAACGCAGTAAAGGCGTCACCCTAGATTTCTTCACCATCTGAGTCGATCTAGACATTTACACTTTAGGCGTTTTTTTTTCTATAAACTGGTTTAAAGTTTTAAAGCTATTTCGCTGAAACTGTATGTCGTAACGACCCGGATCGGAGGACAATTTCAAATTAGAAATGAATATCATAAAGGCCTTATTGTATTGGGTTGGCAAGAAAGTAATGTCGTTTTTTTTAGTAATCGTTTTTAATCTAATTTATTTGCGACTAATCGAGCACCAGGGTCACACTTTTTAGTATCGTTTTAAAGCTTATCGTCTTAGGTACTATCGACGACAATTTGGTAATTATTCGATAACATTTGTGGAAGCTATAGCAAATTAAACATGGAGGACCATCGGCCGTTTTTGACGGACAAATTCAGGCTTTGCTGGCTGAAAACCGGCGTTATTCAACGCGGGAGATGTCAGAGAAGCTCAAAGTTGTCGCATACAACGGTTGAAAACCATTTGAAGAAACTTGGCTACGTAAGCAAGCTCGATGTTTGGGTTCCGCATAACTTAAAGGAAATTCATCTAACTAAGCGTATCAACATCTGCTATTCTCTGCTGCAACGGAATAAAAACGATCCTTTTTTGAAGCGGATTATTACTGGCGACGAAAAGTGGGTTGTTTACAATAATACCCAACGAAAAAGATCATGGAGCAAGAAAGATGAGCCAGCCCAAGCCACATCAAAGGCCGATATCCATCAGGGGAAAGTTATGCTGTCTGTTTGGTGGAATTGGAAGGGTGTAGTGCACTTTGAGCTGCTGGGACGGAAAGAAACCATCAATTCAGATGTGTACTGTCGCCAGCTATTCAATTTGGCGGAAAAAATTAAAGAAAAGGAGCCGGTACTAGCTAATCGCAAGGGTATAGTCTTTCATCATGACAACGCTAGGCCCCACACATCTTTGGTCACTCGGCAAAAAATTAACGGAGCTGAATTGGGAAGTGCTACCACATCCACCTTACAGTCCGGACTTAGCACATTCAGATTACCATTTGTTTCGCTCTCTTCAAAACTCTTTGAATGGTAAAAACTTTGATTCGGATGAGGCTGTCGAAAACCACTTGTCTCGATTCTTTGCTGGAAAAGACCAAAAGTTCTTCGAGCGCGGAATTATGCAGCTGCCCGAGAGATGGTCATGAGTGGTCGAACAAAACGGCCAATACATAATTGATTAATTAAAAGTCCTGATATAAATAAATCATCTTTGAAAATATTGAAAAAAAAACGACATGACTTTCTTGCCAACCCAATACTTCTTTTAGTTCTACTCTAGATATGATAGTCTTTCTTGTAAGATTTGCGTGTTTGCACGCACGACATTTATTTATCGCATCATCATACAAGCAATTTTTTTGGTCTCGCTTACATGCTCGGATAATTTTTTTTCGCATAAATAACTTGATGTTTTTAGATTACGTGCCTTTAACAATTCTTATCAATTTCTGCCTTTAAACTAATAATAATGGAATTGACATTCTTTTTGTTTACGGATACTTTGCACACAGAACTTCAACTGCCAAGTAAACAAGAAAATTAGCCAAATTGGTTTGACACATTTAAGGACTAGAAACAAGATTGACACAAGCAGCAGGTGATTAATTTTTACTATAAAACTTATCAATGTTTGAAAGTAAAATTTAAATTCAGTTTAATTTTAGGCCTATTAAATATTTTGGGTTTTCGCTGGCTGATGGAAACACCCTAAGGGCGCCGAAAATCGTGCGCCTAAAAATGTTGTTAAGTGGTCAACTAATTTGGTGGCATAACTTCGTTCTATTGTTCAACCCAAGATTACCTAATCAAGCCAAAAAAAACTAAAAACGCAATAAGCTGCTGTAAATATGCTTATATTGCGTTATTAAAGTAAAAATAAATAAATAAATAAATTATGAGATATTCCGTTAGTCTTCTCTGGTCCAGAGTTATTGGATTTTGTTTGCTGACTGGTCAACTTTTAGGGACCTGGCATAGCCTCCATATCCAAATCCACTGGCGGTACCTCCGCCACCGCCTCCAGCGGCAAAGTGGGGACTGTGACCTCCGTGACCTCCATCCTCGTGGGTAACCGAATGGGAGTGACTAGAGGTGTAAATGGGCTTAGCCACTATCTCGTAGGTGGTAGACTTTCCACCGCCACCGGCCAAGCTCTTGAGGCCCAAAACTCCAGACAGTGTCAAGGCCATCAGGGCTGTCATCAGGGCCTTTCCGGCCATCAGAGCGATGGCCCCGAAGCCCATGGCCATCAGCATGCCCTTCATCATAACTCCGGCTGCCACCAGCGCCTCCAAGCCTCCTTTCTTGCCGAACTTGTGCTTGCGACCCTCTACAAGGGACTTGTCATCCAGCAGGCGAAATCGGAGGAAGCGCGTTTTCAGCAGGTTCTCCAGCTTGGCCACGATGTATCCGTTGAGGCGAGTGCTCGGGTCGCTGGGGTAGCTACGGGCCACTTCTGCAAAAATGAAAATGGTTAAACACGATGGGAAAGATAAGAGTCCAGATTTATGCAAATTAAATTATCCTTTGTTCTCTAAAATTAACGTAAGCGGTAAATCCTTTATATTGCTAGTGGAATGGTTAGTACAATGAAAAAGTATCCAAAATGATGGTCCGAGTAAAAATAACTGGTTGAAATGCAATGCAAAATATAAAATAAAATTTAAATAAAAAATGGGAAGGTTATTGACAAAATGATTTTGATTTTTATAAAATTCCGAAAAAATGTTTGGTTTTCTTGATGCTCCAAAAATAAGAAAGTAATTAAAGAGGAATGTTTTTATCTTGAAAAACTAAAGAATCTTTGGTATTTTGGTTTTTCCGAACTTACCTGCCATTAGCTCGGAAGTCTTGAGTTCCGTGGCATTCTCATCCTTGACCACACTGACGCCGGGCAGAACATTAAGTTCCTCCTGTTCCGCTAGTTTCTCCATGATCTTGACAAACTCGATCTTAAGGCACATCCAACTGAACGAAGACGCCTCACATCCGCTTAGAAGGTTTTCAGCTCTTTGGGGTTTTCTTATTGTTTGCGTTGGAACTACAGGTGCTTCCGTGGATTGGACGCTGGCCGCCTGGGCGTACTTGCACATGAAGGCGAATAGGGCCAGGTAAAACAGATACTCCAGGGTCTTGGTCAACAACATCTTAGCTATCTAATGCCTTGGGGAACGTAAGAGCGACTGCAACGTCTCAATTTTATGGCTTTAGCTTTTATACCCGCTGCCACCGCTTCCATTCCCATTTCCCTTTCACCAAAGCCGCCGGACTCCGCACTGGGGCCCTTGTGCTTTTCTAATTACCCAAACGATTTGTGGTCGAAATTCTTCCCAGCGTCAGTCAGCTGCGTCCAACTGGGCGGCACTTTCGCTTTCCTCTGCCGCAGCGCTAAGGTCAGTCTTGCGAAACGGGCGGCTAATTCTGTCACCAAAAAGTTCCAGCCAATGAATTCCCCGAGAGCCAAGTCGAGAAAACCCAACTCTCCCAGACTCTTGCATCCAGGTAATTAAGAGTGCCGGATAAAAGTCGCGTGCCTCGGACCTCCATAAATTAAGATCCAACATTTTGCCTGCCTAACTGGGACTAACTAACAATTCATTGTTAATTATTACTACGTTTTCATTTGTGTCTGGCCCAGCTTCGTTTCGCTACTTTCTTTGCTCGTTTTGCCCATGAGGTAATATATCTTTCCACGACGAGACTTGCCTGCTTAATATTCAGATTACATGCAGTGCTAATGACCAATTTGTTGGTCGCCTTTTGATTTTTGCCCATTTCCAGTCAGGCGTCTTGGGCAAAAAATGTGGGGGTGTTTATTTTCGTAACTTGTATTTAATATACTCAAATTAATATTGATAGCCCCTATCCACAATTTTGATTTATGGAGCCTTGATAACAAGCCTGTGAATTTTATATTAATTAAATATTGTATATAATTCCAAAAAGCCAAATTTTAAAAACATATTTGGTAAATGTGTATTGTAAAAAGATGGCAAAAATGAGTTGTTGTTGATTAAGTTGAAATTTGCTTAGTCCCAGACAACATGACTTTATACTGAACCAGTTTAAAATAGATGGGAAAAGTTTAAGAGAAATAAAATAATTGTTTATTCTGATTGAAGCCAAAAGTTACACCCCTTTCTGCGCAAAATGTATTCTTATTTTAAAAGTTACATTGATGTATTTTTATTTAAGAAAAAACGAAGTTAAATTTGAATAAATAATAATATGGATGACAGCTGATAAAGCTGATGTTATTTTTACTTTCCAGAGGGAGCTTGTGTTGTTGTAGTCGTAGTGGTAGTTGTTGTTGTAGTGGAACTCCACTTATTTCGGAATTTCTCCCCGAACCTTTCAAAGAATCCAGTTCCATTATTATTGTTATTGAAAGGCGGGAATCGAAGCTGTCCAAGATTTTCCGACACCTCCACCACTGGAGCCGCTTCAATGAACTTTTCGGTGTTCACTGCATCATCCTTGGCTGTCAAGGAGGTTTTTTCCTCGTCGACAGGAAGAGTCCAGGCCAAGGAAACCAAGAGGCCAACAATAAGGGCGAATTTAATCTGGCACCCGAAGAGTTTGTTACTTAAGCTGTTCATTTTGTATCTGCTGAATTTTGGCCACATGGATTGGGAGTTTTATACCAACATTTGATTAAAAAGCAATTAGGAAGTTCGCGCAGAGAAAGCCTGTCGGCCTAAGCCTGCCAATTAAATTTGCTAATTGAATTTGGCTAGATTTTATTGTGGGTCTATGGAAAGTGTTAAAAAACAAAACTAATAGACGCATTTAAATTTCAGTTCATCTATGCTTTGTTAGTTTGTTCCAGCTTGCTTTATGATTTGATTTATGTTAGTTGTGTCAACAGAATGAAACCATAAATCAGTTTGGTTGTTCGTCATTTATCTCTGTCCAATATTTTCGTTCTATACAAATCAAAAAGCATAGCTCGCAAATATTTGTGAATCGATGCTTTTTCGTTTGATATGACCCAAATTCTGATATTTTTGTTAGCTTGAAAATATTAACCAATGTTTTTTTTTGCATTTGGTGAATCATTTTTATTCAATTGCTTTAAGTTATCTGAATAAATACTTAGTAAGTAAGCTCTTTAGCAGGCATAATCTTCGTTGTTTTCTGTGAACCTGAGTGACATTTACAACCGCCAAGAGAGATGTGGGTTGTGAAAATGTGCAATAAATATGGCGCAATCATGATTGACTTTAGTATCCTTAAGCATTGTCCTTGAGCTAGCCAAGAGTCGTGGACCGTTTCGATTGTTCTCTTTTTTTGTGGTTTTCTTTTTTGGTATGTCGCAGCTAACTAACTAAATGTAACTAAATAATTATTGACTACGAATTAGGCCATTCTTCAGGGAAGTCTTAGAGGGATAGTTTGTGGAAATGAGGAAGGTGGGAGGAGAGTGAAGAGAGGTGAAGCTTTGGTAGGGTAAGAAGTAGCGGGTGAAAGATGCATTCTAGTGCAGCGCGGGATGGATGGATCGCTTGGTGGTTTTGGGCTTAGAAGGGCTGGGCCAGGCCATAGTGGTTGTAGGCCAGATCGGCGGCTCCAGCCTGACCATTGCGGCTCCAGTCGGAGTGCACGATGTCGGCGTTCAGGGGACTTCCGGTGATGTAGGCGGTGGTGATGTGTTCCTTCTTCTTGGCCAGCAGATCCTTGAAGAAGGTGGCACCTGCAGGGAAAACCAGTTTAATGGTGTCTTTCTTAAGCTCGTTTCACACAAACTTACCAGCCAGAATGAGAGCCAGGAAGGAGATGGCCAGAGCCTTCAGCGAGATGAACTTGATGATGGTGAACAGAATCTTGACGACGACGGCCTTCTTCAGTTTCAGGGCCAAAAGAAGGGGCAGCAGCATCTTCTTCATGCGCTTGCTGCGGGACTCTTTTTTTTTTGTATGGGGAGAAAGCAAAGAGAAAGCGGGGAATTTAGCAGTGCTCCAAAAAGTATTCAACGCTTGGCAGCCGAGTGAAAGCTTTCACATTGCTTTCGACCAGAGCATCCAAGTATGCAAGTAGTTTTGCTTTTGGCAGTTGGCTTTGTGCACAGTCGAGTGGACCTTAGCATATTTCGCCTTTTGTGGAAAAGTTCAAGTGGTGATAAGGCTTAAAAAAGGAAGTCGTTAAAGTTGGAGTGGAATTCGCTTGCAGGTATTTTGTGTTTCATAATAATATGTGATACTGAATTATGCTTTTATGTCCTAAGAAGTTTAGTTTAAGATAGCTCAAATACCTTTTGGGATAATTGTACTCTTTTTTTATCGGTAGATTTTTATGTTTGCTTGTTAAATCAATCTAAATAGGTTTATCATTTGGGGAACATGACAAGTAAATAATTGTTTTACACAAATATTATAATTGTTTTGTTTTTGAAATTGAAATTGAAACTTGTTCAAAAAGGCTAAACAATCTTTAAACCTTCAATTTTGATGAAAACAAAATACAAATGTCGCGAAGTAAAAAAAGTATCACCAAAGCACTTTTGAAATTATTCCTCAGGGGAATTTTAGTTCTGGAGAAAGTGTAGACCACTCACCCTCCATGGCGCGTCCGGTGTACTCGTTCTCGGAGTTCTCCTCCTGCTCATCGCCGGAGAAGGACAGGTTCAGCTCGTGGGTCTCCAGGTAGCGCTCGGCGCGGTCCTCGAAGGACTCGACGGCCTTGGCGGCACCGAAGCTGCGGCCGGTCTCCGAGCGGTCGATCCTGAGGCCGCCGAAGAGTGCGACGGACTCCTCGCCATCCAAACGGTTCAGCATGTTGACCAGATCCCGCTCGCTGCTGTCCTGCGAGGGAAGGGCCAAGGAGCCGCACACAAGGCTGGCCAGCAGCACTACACATACGAATTTCGCGCACATTTTGGGTTTCACTTGGGGGGTTCTCGACTCTGGGTGGGTTATAATCCTTGGGACGGCTGCCTGGGGCTGGTGAGTGCTGCCTGGGTGAACGGGAATCGCTTTGTGGTTAATTGAATGCACTGCCCCCGCGTTTTATACAATTTCGATTCGACGTCGATTGACCAATTTTGTGGCTAGAAATCGCGCGGCAGGCCAAAACGCACCGTACGGCAATGCAATAACAATAACAATACAGAAAAACCAAAAACCAAAAACAATTTATGCAAAGCATATGCGTATGCTACCTGGCCGGCAATTTCTTGACCATATTTCCACGCACGTCGCGATGTCAACGAAAGGGAAGTGGCCGCCTGGCAAGTGGCAATCGGCCGGCTGAATATGATTTTTGTATATATTTTATATAAGCAATTGGCCCGATTTCGGGTGCCCGCCGTTAGCCGGGTCCTAATTGGCATTCAATGGAGTCGCGGGCGACGTGTTCGACTCGCCTGTGCCAGATTCTTGGCCGGCTGTTCCTCCCCACTCCAGTTGGGTTCGAATGGATCTGCGCCGGTGGATCTGCGAGACCCGCCCGTATTTGGTATGCCCCGCCGGTGGTGACTTAATGCACCATTTGGCCCAGTTAGTTGCTCTCCGGCGCTTTCAACGCTTTCGATTTCATTCTCCCCCTGACAAGTGGCGTTCGTTCGTTCGGTCGTTCGCTCGCTCGGTCGTTTTCTATTTCAATTGCTTCTAAATCTGCCTCCGAAAGAAAGCTGAATTGTGGCACTCCACGCACATATATCTCTTTCCAATCGCAAAGTGACACTTTTATGAGCATAAGTAGAAAGTTTCTGGTAAACAATTAACATGCCAAGCGGCCGTCACATGTCCACTAGAAACTCCAATTATGAGCAGGGCCACAAACTTGCCAAAAACTGATTCCCCAGCTTATCAGTTGTTCTTTGTACTCTCTGTATTTCATTTCTCGGCGTGCAGCAACAGAACCTGCCACAAGTTTTAATTGCCAGCCGCAAACTTGTTGCCGCCCGGCCAGCAAAGTTCCAGATATTTGTTTTTGGGTCTGCCAGCGTTTCAATTAAGCCCTGGGAAAGTCTCGGCCCACAGGTAAACACGTGCGTGGATTCACGGATTTGTTCGGGTGCAATACTCTTGGTTTTATTCAAACATTCGACATGACTATGTTGTTGCTGTTGCTGTGCGCGTTGTGCGTCAATAAATTAGTTAATTACATTTCGAATAAATTACTACGGGCTAAAGGTTTCAAAACGAAGGCACATCTGTGGCATTAAAAGCTGGTTAGCTCTTTAAGCCAAATTACTGCTGCTGCTGGCCGGCGTAGGCCAACTGCTGGGCCTCGGACTCATCCCCAATGCTGCGGGCGTAGGGGTAGGCCGAGGAGGCTCCCGAGCTCCAGCCGGCGCTGGCGGGAGCGGACCAGGCGTTCGAGCTGTAGCCACCGCCGTAGGAGCTGCCGCCGAACTTGTTGCCGAAGCCGCCCAGCAGACGGGAGCCGCCGACGAGGATGGCCAGAAAGAAGGCCAGCTTGGCCACGATCACGGCCTTGAAGGTCAGCAGGGCCAGGAAGCCGAGCACCAGGGGGATGACTGCGAACAGCTTGGCGCCAATGGCCAGAGCCAAGGGTCCCAGCATCTTCTTGATCTTGCCACGGCCTAAAAAAGGTTGTCATGTTAATTATACATGCTGTTTATGGGTTTAAAGCACCAAACGCACCTTCATCGAGGGCACGAGCCACCTGCTGGGTGGTCTCGGCGGGCAGCTTAAACTCCAGGTTGTGGCTGCTCAGGAAGTCGGTGGCGCTGGAGATGGCCAGGTCCACCAAACGACCAGTTCGTTCATCGGCGTTTTGGGGCAGCTCGGCGTAGACGTCCTGCTCGCTCAGGGATTTTCCAGTGCGGGGAACGGGACTGGCGGGATCTCTGTAATAGGTTAGGTAATTTATGTTTTAATATGGGAAATAACTCTTAAATTAAAGGTACATTGTAAATGTAAAACCTTCAACAAGTTCAGTTAATTTGAACGATTTCCTTGCAGCTTATCATAATAGTGCTAATTTATCTACTGCCCTTAACCTTTGAAATTGATTTCAAAATAATACTGAGAGGCTAGCACTATTTTAGCATTAATTAACAGAGCTATTTTAAAGCTTTTTTCCTAATGTATGAGTTTTGTAATATTCATAACATTACTGCATAACATTAGGTACTGGATAGCTTATAGACTTTTTTTTACTTCACAGGGTAAATATGTAAGTTTTTTTTAAGGACCTCAGAAACATTATAAATTATTTAGAAAGACATAATTGATCCTACAATATATTAAGGAACTCTTTACTCGGAATCGCTTTGAAATGATCTCTTTGAACTTGGGCAACATTTCTATATTTCATAATCTAACCCACTTGGACAGCTTTCATCTAGATGCGGATGATGTCTTAATTTCTTTTCGACTAACTTTCTTATGCGACTCTGTGATGCAACCACTTGAACTAACACGCTTTGGAGCTCGGAGATTTGGTAAGGCACGTTCTGATTTCGATTTCGTTATTGTTTTCCTTTTTCGATTCTGTTTCTGATTTCGTTTGAGGAACTAGGCACTTTCACTGTAAACAAACACACACCTCTGGAAGGTGACTCCGCTGGCCAGCTCGATGTTGTTGCTCCTGGCGGCGCGGTTGAGGGCGGTGATGCCCTTGACGGCCAGGCAGGTGGCCATGTCGTCGCTCTCCAGACAGGCGCCCAGGTACCTGGCGGCACGGCCCAGGGTATTGTCGCCCTCGACGCGGTTGTCTTGGACACTGGGGGCGGCGAAGGCGCTGCTGGCCGCCAAGAGGGTCACACAAGCGATGGCAAACACTTTCATTTTGGGTTAATTCGCGGTTAATCCTGGCTGTAAAGCTGATCGGCTGCTGCTGCTTCTCTTAGGGAGCGCTGAGATGAGTTTGATGTATGCGTCTCCGGACATCTAGCCTTATATATTGGGCCCTCGGCTGAGTGCCGACGCTCAGCCGGCGTCGCAGTCGGTGCGCATTACAAAACAATTTA